TCAATCACACTTGCCAAAGGAACTTATGTCTGAAAATTTCCCAAAAGGTCCCTTGAATGCGCTGTGCATCACTTCTGTTTTAATGAAGCCAAGACTTTGTGGCAAGATGGTTCTTCTCGTCCTCGATGATGTTGATCACGTTTGTCAACTGCAAGAATTGGCTGGGAATTGGTTTGGTCCAGGAAGCAGGATCATTATAACTACACGAGACAAGAGTGTGTTAGATGAGCATGGTGTGGAACACATTTATGAAGTGAAACCTCTGAGGCCTACGCAAGCACTTCAGCTTTTCAGCAAGCATGCCTTCAAACCTCAGTTTGATCTTGGTTTGGGCTTTTCCCTTTTATGAAGAGCAGTATCCAAATCTTAATATGGTATTCAATGGGACAATACCTAAGTCAATGTCCTTGTATTGGATCCTGGCTTGTGTCAAACTGAGGGATAAGAAACCAGGGACATAGATTCATGATTTTTAAATAAGAAAAGCGATGGAAAGAAATATGTTGGTGACGAATGCACTAGTGAACATGTACGCTGAACATGTACGCGAGTTGCTCATGCCTTATTGCCTTAAGCAAGCACAACAAGGACTCAAAAACATGTCTGAGCCGGACATAGTACTGTGGAACATTCTGATTTAATGCAGTCTTCAGGAACAAAGATTGCAAAAATGGTCTTGCTCTGTTCAATCAAATGAGAAACCAAGGTGTTAGATTGCAGAATTTTCTTCTTGGATAAGAGTCATGTTTGGGATTGGATTGCCAAAATGTGATAAAGGTCATGGGAAAGATGATTCAGATAATAGTTAGACATTGTACATGTAAGTGCATGCCATGATTTATGGTGATTTGAAAAATAGAATCAATCACCAGTAGAAATATGAAGAACTAAATTAACTGCAATTCTAGAGCATAATAATGAAAAGAGAAAGCGCGAAAAACATAGGAAACAAAACGAAACGCCGTCTGTGGGGATCGAACCCACGGCCACGTGGTTAAAAGCCACGCGCTCTACCACTGAGCTAAGACGGCATTGATAACAGAGGGTAAACTCATAATTGACTAACACAGTAAGTAAAGTCAAGCAACTTTTAAGAAAAAAAAAAAAACCAGAAACCGATAGTAGCTTCAAAAAAGGAAAGAGTAACTTCAGTTACCGAAAGGAAACCCTAAAAGGCGAAGAGAAGAAGAAGACTGAGATATTTTTTATTCTTTCTTGCGTTTATTCTAAAGTGAAAAGCCCATTGGGCTCACACATAGAAAGCTCATAACTTTTTTATTTCTACGTGCTGCCAAAAAAAAAAAAAAAAAATAACGGAGAAATTACTACGATTACGATGAAACCGCGTCGAGTAGAGAGAGACTTTGCGTCGAAGCTTCAATCGATGGCTTCTCATTCCTCTCTTAGATATATGGCTGGCTTGTTCGGTTCCAGTAACACGCTTAAGCTTCCTCGATTGTGCGACTATCGCAAGTACGACCACTCAGTGCTCCCATGGCGGTTAGCTTTCTCTACTTGGCTACTCTATTTGTCTTCCTCCCCGTCTTCGTGGGACTACGCCGTCTCTTAAAGTTTCTGAAGAATTCAGAGACGCCTAGGCTAACTCGGCGTAGTGTTCCTGTTTCTGCTTCAGTTTCTTTGGCGGAGGACTCGCCGTCACCGTCTCTGTGGAAGTACGACGTCTTCCTCAGTTTTAGAGGTACAGATGTTCGTAAATATTTCGTCAGCCATCTCTCAAAATTGAAGGAATCGAAGCCTTTCACGACGAAAGAGAACTTCAGAAAGGCGATCACATCTGGGAGGGACTCGACGAAGCAATGATTCGGTCACGACACGCCATCGTCGTCATCTCCAAGGGCTACGCTACCTCTCGCTGGTGCTTGGAAGAGCTTTCGGTTATGGTCGACCTCGTTGAGAAGAACCGCCTTCAATTGATACCTATATTCTATGAAATTGATCCGTCAGACTTGAAGAGACGAAGCGGGTGCTTCTACGAAGCTCTTAAGAAGCATGAGCTGAGGTATGATCTGGAGACTGTGGATAGATGGAGAACGGCATTGTCTGAAGTTGGAAATATTTCTGGCTGGGATTCCAAAACCAGGTTCCTTTTTATGCTGATTAATCTTCTGAGTATAACAAGTGTTTAAGATAGCTGTTTGATCTAAAGTTCATATCTTGATAGAGTTATATATGACTCATGCGGTCTTATCTGTTGGGCTTGACGCAGGAAAGAGGACTCAGAGCTTGTACAGGTAGTGGTTCAAGATCTTTCTGAAAGATTATCCTTACATTCATCTGGCAGCGGCACAACTGGATTGGTCGGGATGAGTTCTCACAAGAAAGTCATAGAATCTTTCTTGTCAATGGACTCCAGAGATGTCCGAATGGTAGGAGTCTGGGGTATGGGTGGAAGAGGGAAAACCACCATTGCAAAATATGTCTTTGATGAATTTTCTATTCAGTTTGATGTTCGTTGCTTGCTAGAAAACGTGAAAGGAAATTTCAAACAATATGGTGAATCGCATTTGCGGAAGGAAATCATGTCTGAAATCTTCCCAAAGAGTCCTCTGAATGCACAATGTATCAGCTCTGATGCAATGAAGCGAAGACTTCGTGGCAAGAAGGTTCTTCTTGTCCTCGATGATGTTGATGACATTCAACAACTGCATGCATTGGCTGGAAGCTGCGACTGGTTTGGTCCAGGAAGCAGGATCATAGTAACTACACGAGACAGGCGTGTGTTAGTTGAGCATGATGTGCCTCACATTTATGAAGTGAAGCCTCTAACGACTACTCAAGCACTTCAACTTTTCAGTAAGCATGCCTTCAAAATGATTCGTCCACCAGAAGAATTTAGAGAACTGTCTGTATGTATTGTTGAGCAACTTGGTGGTCTTCCGTTAGCGCTTCGAGTTATTGGTGCATCTCTATATCGCCGGGAAATAGCATTTTGGGAAGATAAGTTGTTTATACTGAAAAATAGTCTTGATAAATCTATCTCACTGGTGTTAAAAGTAAGTTATAATGCATTGGATGAGCAAGAAAAGATTGTTTTTCTTTATGTTGCTGGTTGTTTCAATGGGGAATTTAGGGATCGAGCAACAAAGATACTAGACCCCTTTGTCATTGCTTCTAGACTTAACCTTGAAACCCTGATGGAGAAATCTCTGATTACTATGACACCAAATACAAGGCTATGGGTTCATGATTTACTTCAAGACATGGCCAAGGATATTATTTGTGAAGGAAAACAAGAAAAACCATGGAAGCGTAAAATGCTGTGGAAGTTTTTGGATGTCAAAGGCTTGTTTGCTGAAAATATGGTAAGTCAAGAAGGTCTTAAATTCCATATTTGTACTTTCCGAGCGATTTGTGGATTTATAGTCTCTCAATGAAGCTTTTGCTGATCACTTTCTATTACATTATCTTGGCAGGGAACTAAAGACATTGAGGTTGAAAGTATATTGCTCAACATGGTTGAAGAAACAGAGCTTGACATGAACCCTGCAACGTTTAAGAAGCTGTTCAGTCTCAAATTCCTTAAAATATATAATAATAACACTGTTGGAGGGAGCAAAGTGCGCATGGTCAACAATCTTGACTACCTCCCTCCACTGAGATATCTTCACTGGGAGGCTTACTCTCTCAAATCGTTGCCTTCCCTCTTCCAGACTGAACATCTAGTTGAACTCAACCTTCCTGATAGTTCAGTTGAGACATTATGGAGCGGAACTCAGGTACTACTTTTATGCGTTTGGCTAATTATTGTGTAATACGGTAGTTAGTAGGTATTTCATTATGATTAATGTTATTTTTCTTCTTTTGTCTTGAAGTATAATTATTCTGGTGTTATATTTGACACAAATCAGCTTTGAGAGGCTCTGTTTGTTTTGAATGCTTTGCTGGGTTGTTATTTTTTCAAAGGATATGTCTGATCATATACAAGTAACCAATATTTTGCTTCTTTTGTATGGCAGGACCTTCGAAATCTAAGGCATATGAACCTTAATAGATGCAGGCACCTGATTAAAATTCCAGACCTTTCTAAGGCAAAGAGTCTTGAGAGTTTAAGTCTTAGTAACTGTGAGAGTTTGGTCGAGCTCCATTCTTCTCTTTGGCATCTCGATAAGCTAGTTAAGTTGTCCATGGTAAATTGCGCAAAAGTCAAGAATTTCCCGTGTAACATCTCCTTGAAGTCCCTCCAGAGTCTTTCTCTAGACGGATGCACTAGTATAGAAGATTTTCCATTTGTTTCCGATAATATTGAGGACCTTGGACTGAGCGGGACATCAATTGAAGTAGTACCACCATGGATCGACCGTCTCTCAAGGCTCAGCGTTCTGCGACTGTCACAATGCAAGAGATTGAAGAATCTCCCAGACACCATTAGGAGCTTGGAGTCACTCAGAACTCTCTGGCTCGGTTGCAGTCCCAACGTCACAGTTTTCCCCGTACTTGGAAATGGAATTGAAAAACTGGGCTTGAATGGTACAGCGATAGAAGAAGTGCCCTCAACTATAGGTGATATGGTGAATCTCATCTTTCTTGACTTGTCAGAGTGCCTGAGGCTCAAAAATCTCCCTCACACGTTGAGAAACCTGAAAAACCTGAAGTTGCTTTATCTCCGTGGATGCACCAATATCACTGAGCGCCCACATGTTGCAGGGGAAATGAGAAGATTGGATTTACATGGGACGTCAATAGAGAAATATGGCTCTCTCTCTGAAGAGGAAGAGCTTGAGTTGCGCAATCGTGATATCGACTTAGCGAAGGCGTTTCTCACTCGGCGTGTCCGGAGATACAAGAAAGACCGGAATTTTAGATAGGTGATTTCAGCTTAGGGAATCGGATTTGCAGTAAGATGCTCTATCTGGATTTCGGTTCGGGCTTTTCCCTTTATGAATAATAGGAACATATTTTGTCTAAAACATGATTTTTTTTCTTGTTGAACCATGTTAATTCTGTTTGTTCTATATATGTTTATCCTAATTGAACATCAGTGGGGAAAATGTTTGGCGATGACGAGGTATTAGTCCTCGGAGAGACAGAACAGAAGATCATAAATGGAAGACAGAATTATGAATTAAAAAAAAAAAAAAAACAGATTCATCGAACAGTGAGTTGGTTGCCGTGTCAAGTTCCACAGCTTAAAGAAGATAATAAAATCGAAAAACACGAGATCCATCATAACAGATCAACTCCGATGTAGATTTACTTTGGGAACTTGAGAAGATTAGCATCGTTTCCCAAGTAGTGAAACGGAAACCTCTGATTAACCGGAGAGGAAGAAGAAGCACCATTGTTGTTACCCAAATGATCATGAGTAACAGCCTGGTCGTTATTATCGTTGTTGCTCAAGTCACCAAAACATTTTGCTTGATGGTTCTGCACTTGCTGATTCATGTTGCTTGTGGTGAGAAGCTTGTCCAGAAACGACCAGTCTCCACCATAGTTGTTGTTAGAAGTCAGCCTCAGTAAATTTTGTGAACATTCAATGTCAGTTGTGTTGATTGACGACACAAACGGTTGGGTTGCTGCTGCTGCCGCAGCCGCTGCTGCAGCTGAGTCAGGGCTGAAGAGCTGAGGGAGATGCATTGAGCCATGGTTCAAAGTGTTTGCAAACTCATGTAATGGCATGTGGATTTGTCGCCCAATGTGATGGTGAAGATCCAGAGGATGTGGGATCAAAGAGGAATGATTGTTTGAATTGGAGTCAATGTGATGATGGTGATCATGATCATTGTTGTTGGTGCTTATGTATTGGTGATGATGATGATGATCTTGATCTTGTTCTTGGTGGAATCCTCTGAAATGGTTCTTCTTCTTGAACACTCTGCATACAACCCACCCATCTTCCTGCAAATTACACATAAATCCACCTACTTTAAGGGAATATGATCTCTAAATCAGAATTTCATGGAATTAGCTAGAGAGTTAAGCTGGTCTGAGATATATATATACCTGGATTTCGTTTTCGATATCATCTAGGCGATATTCGTGCATGATCCATTCGGTTTTTTGGCCATGAGGAGCACGACCAGTGTAGAAGACGAGAGTCTTACGAAGTCCAATCTTCTTGGAGCTGTTTAGATGTATGGATTTGTCTCTACCCGTAGCTTTCCAGAACCCGGCTGCAGTCGCCCGGTTCGTTCGGGTCCCTGTCGGATATTTCTTGTCCTTGTGACTAAAGAAGTACCACTCGTTTTGAGGACCCGACCCGATTCTGCATTTCTCTGCACATATTACATATTACAAAATTTGTTACAAATATAATGGGAGAAAAAAAAAATTCTTATAATTATAGTCTTAATTTGTTATAATTATAATTTTTTTTTTTTTATGTTTTACGGCGATGGGTTGTTGTATGTGAGTAAACCATTGGCTTATTTTGAGGGTAATACAAAATAGTATTATGCCAATTATTCGTAGTCATGTACTACAAGACATTACACTTTGGTCTTCTGTTTCTAATCTAATAGACATGAGTGAATAGAGAACTTTGTTTGTTTCTCACTTTCTTGGTGTGTACACACGTACACACACGTATATGGTTTCATGATTCCATAATAACTGGAAAATAATTTATCAGGATGAGAAGAACTGATAAAAGGTACATTATAAGTAGTTACATGTTTCCATGGAGACAGAGACAAACCCCTAGACAATATTACCACAATCTATGTATTTTGTCCTTTGACATCTAACTTGTAGTCTTGTGCAGGGCCAACTACGTACGTACATACTTACCCCCAAATTATTTTCATTCTTATCTCTCTCGCTCTATCTAGAAATTAATTTGAAATTTATGATACTGATTGTAATTAATAGTCTATTATTAGAACAATTTACTGATCAAGAAATAATAGTGTCATTCATTAGATGCGTGGATTAGGTGGTGATAATTATAGTTAAATTACGAAGGGTTAATTACTATCGAGAGGGTATTATATATATTTTACCTTTAAGCTCCCAAGGTTCCAGCTTGTTGAGATCGACTTCTCTAATAACATCCAAATCGATTGGTTCATAAGAGACCTTCTTCTTGAGGTAATAGTAAAGAAGCTCCTCCTCCGTTGGATGAAACCGGAATCCTGGAGGCACTGAAAGCTGTCCTCCTCCAGCCACCGTGGATGACGACCCTATCTCCATTATCCGTACTTTTTTCAAAAAAAAAAAGAAAACTAGAGATGCTTTCTCTTTGACCTTTTCCCTAATCAATTATTAACCCCAAAGAAAGAACACACAAATTACATTAAGTAGAGATTTTAACAAATTGAGCAATGAGACTATTCAAGTATGAAGTATCCAAGATCTCAAGATATTGATTGTAGCTGCAGGATCGAAGTTATATTTAGATCTAAAATTCAAAACCCTAGTTTCGACATGCATGCATAGAGTCATGAAGAACAAAGACTCAAAACTTCTTTTCTTTTTGAAAACAAAAGATGGATCTCTTTTTACATATGCCCATGTATATGTAAAACCTGAATGCCCCAAGAGAAACATGAAGGTGCTGAAAAACTGAACGAGCTTTATTTTCTTCTTATAAAACAAAAGTGGTCTGATGATAGAATTAGTCATGTTCTTTAAGTAATCAAAGAGAAGAAATGAAAATTAGATAGATATAGATGTTTGAAGTGAAAAGTACACATAATAAGAGGGTGTGTGAGTGAGTATATATATATGTGTGTGTAGTTGCAGATGATGATGACGAAAATGAAAGATATATGATAGATGAGGAAAGAAACGAACCTTGGAGGCCGGAAAGTATTGCTTCTGTTAGAGGCAAGAGGTAGAAGACAATGAAAGAGAGAGAGAGAGAGAGGGCAATGAAGAAAGCAAAATGAATTTCTACAAAACTGAAGATATCTTAGCTTCAAGGGTACGACGTTTAGGGTTTCTATCTCTCTATCTCTCTCTCTCTCTCTCTTTCTTCTTCTTTGAGATAGAAAGTGAAGATAGAGAAACTTGGCTTCTATGGATCAGTGCCACTATTATTTTGTATTAAATTTAATAAACCAAAGCTGGTCACAGAAATATATGAGAATTACTTTAATATGTATATATATAAGTAATTTACATTAGTATAATCTTTCTTGTCACATATACGTACGTATTTGCATATATCAGCTAATTAAAGATCATTTCTAGAGTATGTAGTCTCTCTTAAAATGGTATCTGCAAATAAGTTTTAAGATTTTTCATGCCAATGTTGTGCGTAGCTAGAGAAAAAAATATACATGTACATGCTGATGTTGTGCCAATAACGATATTTTTTCTTCGACACTATGTTTAGTTTTTTTTTTCTTTCTAATTTTCGATGTATGCTAACCAAGTTATTCGATCTACATATTTATTATACTAATCATCAGGTTAAAAGTATAAATACATAGATATACATCTCAAGAATGTGTATATAGATAGCTACATTATTTTGTACTGTGGCATGAGTATGATTATGAGGATTAACTATATTAATCAGTGTGGATTACAGCTGTGATTTAGTAAGACGGACTAATTTGCTTTGAAAACAAGAAGCTAGGAATCGAATACTATATAGTAATACAGTACATGGTAAATAGAATACTAATAAAAAAATATGGTTTATGTATCCCAAGGACAAAAACAAAACAAGAATTGAAGCTTCTATGCCCTCAAAATTGCAGTCAAATGTTGGGAAGAAAAATGATGTATCGTACCTTGAATTATGCTCCCACTTACATTTTTTATTGCATCAATTTCAGTGCAGTATTGTTGAAAATTTAGTACTAATTTATACAAAATGACCTTAAACTTCCAAATTTGTTCCTTACTTACTGTATTAGTTATTTAATCTGAATAACGTTAGCAACTAGTATGAGATTTATACAAAGAGCTAAGTTATAGTATGATTGAACGTGTTAATTACGGTGCATTTCCACTCGTTTTTAAAAATAATAATAAAAATAATAATAATAATAATTTCATCACTTAGCAAGTTAGCATCTATTTGTATTTTTTTAATTATATAAATTATATTGTAGTTTATTGTTGAAATATTAATGCATAATTAAGTCCAATTCAAAAACCTTTTTAAGGTTGTGAAAATAGCAGAATTACTATATGACTTTAAGCATCCCGCATATCCCCATCAAACAATATCATAATACTGTATTAATATGTATGCAAAAGGCATGGGGGATATTGTAAACTATATGAATTCCTAAAATACAATTCTTATTATTAAATTATGAAATCATCCATGTTAAAAAAAAAAAAAGTTCAATATACGAAAAAATGAAATATAGATATAGAGACTTTTGATGAGTCAGAGTCATTGACAAAAGGAATAATAATAAGAAGAAGAAGAAGAATCCCTATAAAGAAGATAAATGGTAATGGAAACCGTACGTAGGAGGTGAGAATGGCACGTGCGGTAGGAAGAAGCAAAATCCAGAAAGGCCGTGGAGGAGAGAGCACGTGATGGTCCAACACCAAATCCACGATTCAAGGTCCCCTCGTTTGACTTAGCCTTTTTAGTCTTGAGATTCTCCCTTCACACAAGAAAAAGACTTACCCCTTTCTCTTCATCATTCTCCCCTTTATTTATTTCCCCCAAACAAGTAATTAATTACATTTAAAGAGTATACTGTAGTATATGATATGGTGGTGGAAACTTTAGGTCCTAAATTCTATGTAACGAAGAAACACATAGTAGTAAAAAAATAAAAAATTGGATTCTCACGGTAAATCATCTCTTCGTAACCATTTATGAAACTCACAATTAAAGGTAATCTCTGTTGGCTGGCTGCCCGATATTAATTACAATAAATCTTAGTTGAGATGTGCCGTTGCCTTCACGAAGACGTCATCTGCATTAAACCCTTATTAATGAAGGGTTTAATCATATAGATGCCAACATGTTCTGAAACTTTATAATGTTATTTTTAGAGTCCTCCATTATGGGCTATTGTGTGTGTACGTTCGTACGTATAAATTCAAAGTATAGATTGTGTATACAATAAATGTATATTGTGTTGTACATGTACAGTTTCGTCCAGGTGGATTCCTTTACTGGATTAGCTGGTTATACAGTATTATGTATATTTTTTTTGATGGGTTATTGTATATTTATAACAAGAAAAGAAATGGGTAAACTGGTTGCATCATTCATCATTGTATTGTATGTCATACAAGTGTCTTTAATTACTGAGGTTTTATCAGATACAGGAACCACCAGCCTAAATCACTCCGGTCCGTTTTCGCCGTCCATGAGAAAGAACGGCGCGTCGTTTTATGTGTATAATAAATGGGCCATAAAGTATCCCAGTTTTTGAATTCAACCCATTTAATGTAAAAAGCCCAACGACACCCACTCACTATTGTTATGTATTTATACTATCTAACCCTTAATTTCTTTCAATTTTGTCATCTCAACCCTAACTTTCTTTAATCAATATTAAATCCCACTTTCTTCAATATCACATCAACGAGGTGGGAATGGGCCGATAAACGTAAAACGAGGTCGTTTCCACCACAGCTGGTTGGGTAAATAAAGTTTTTAAAATCCCATTCTCTTCGGTTGGCGTTGCGTTACAGATTTTTTTGACTAATTTCCATTATTAGACGCCGTCCACGGGAGAGGAGCCTGTAAAGTCAGCACGACGATCTCGTTTCCATCTTCAAAGTAGAGAAGACCCGTGAGAATCACCAGAGGTTTGATTCGCGCCTGCATATAATTAATTAGGGTAAGCTTTTCGATTCTTCTCTCGATCTAAATTTAGGTCAATTGCTTTGATTTGGGGATTATTCCGTGTTTATGGATCATGGCTGGGTATCTCAGATTTTGTGCCTCAGTGGCTGATTCTTTGCTTATCCTCTTGGGATTTTGCCTCTAGTTTCTGCTTCCGCCGTCTCAATTTTCTTCTACGTAACAGTAAAGTTTTTTTTTTTTTTTTTAATCTTCCCGCCTGAATTTTCAGATAAAGATTGAGGTTTTGTGTCTGTCTGTACTGATGCATAATTTCTTCTTTTATCTGAAATTTATGTTCTTCACTGCATTTTTGTTTTGTTTTGTTTTGTTATTATTGTGAGTGACTCGCTAAAAGCTTCTAAATTTGTCGCTTTTTGGTGCAAAGCTCATACACTGCTTATGGTAATTGTGTTGAGAGATTCTCTTGTTCATTTAAGGTTTATCAGCTACTTGCATCTAGTTTTTAACCCCTCTCATCATTTCTTTTAATGATCTATTGAGCTACTTTTGATTTTCTCTAGATGATCTTTATGTAGAAGATTAAGATTGTTGCTTTCTTTTCATTACTTAGGTACTTGTTTTCAGGTCAATGGCATCTTCTTCGGATGCATGGGTGAGAGAGTACAACGAGGCTTTAAAACTCTCTGAGGATATAAATGGCATGATGTCTGAAAGGAATGCTGCAGGTTTAACCGGGCCTGATGCTCAACGTCGTGCCTCAGCAATACGAAGAAAGATCACCATTTTGGGGACCCGATTAGACAGTCTACAATCCCTCCTTGTGAAGGTTCCTGGGAAGCAGAATGTGTAAGCCATTGTTAATATATAGTTGCCTGTTACCCATAGTAGACAACACTTAAGTTTTATGTTGCCTGACCTATGTGATTATTGTTTATGTGTATGCAAATTCTGATAAGCAGTTCTGATAAAGAGATGAATCGTCGCAAGGATATGGTTGCCAATTTGAGATCAAAAACAAATCAGGTGGCCTCTACTTTGAATATGTCAAACTTTGCAAATAGAGACAGCTTGCTTGGGCCAGATATAAAGCCAGATGATGCGCTGAACAGAGTCTCTGGCATGGACAACCAAGGAATTGTTGTATTTCAACGGCAAGTTATGCGAGGTAATCTGTGGTATGTAAACTATTCTAGGACCATAGTAATTATATTGCCTTCTGTATTGATTGCCTTTTAAATGTATTTATTTCCATGATTAGAACAAGACGAGGGACTTGAGAAGTTGGAGGAAACAGTCATGAGTACCAAACACATTGCTCTCGCTGTCAACGAGGAGCTCACTCTGCAGACAAGGCTAATTGTATGTATCTGCTTTTTGTTCATTGCTTTTCTGGTTGATTATGAATTCTTTTCTAATGAAATTTGGCTTTCTTCCATGCAGGATGACCTAGATTACCATGTGGATGCCACTGACTCTCGCTTACGGGTAAGTATATGCTTTGAACAAATTAGTATCATTAGTCACTAGCTTAAGCTGATCAATTGATAAGCTAAATACCAATAAGAGGGCAAGCAAGTGATTTTTACAATACACAGGTCTATTATGTCCAAGAACGTGTCTTTAGTTGTTTTTTTAATTATAATTGTTTTAAGTTTAATTTTATTTCACATCTCGTCTTGGATTTGATGTTGTGTTTCTTGATAATGATAGCGTGTGCAAAAGAGCCTTGCCGTGATGAACAAGAGCATGAAAAGTGGTTGCTCATGCATGTCCATGCTCTTATCAGTGCTTGGAATCGTTGGTCTTGCTCTTGTGATTTGGCTGCTGGTTAAGTACCTGTAGTGCCAACATGGTGGTAACCAGTGAAAGCTTATCATGTTCTATCAGCCTCTCTTCTGTGCTTAATGGTTGTTTTCTATTCCTTGTTTCGATATTTATGCTCTGGTTTTCTCTCCTTCCACTGATTCTTCTTCTGTGAGGCAAAGGAGAATACCGCTGCGTGTAAGAAACTTGTAAGAAGTATATAATCTGTATTGCCTTTGTATTGTCCACGAATTGTAAACTTATTTTCTATATATGGTATGGCTCATACTTGGGTTCAATTTAAGTAGTAGTGGCTAGGACAACGCAGAGAACGAATGATCAAAACGACAGAATGAATTCCTTTTTTGTGCGATAAATCTTGATCTCAGTCATTTGATTCTGTATGGTTAAGCTTTTAGCACTGTAGGCGCTGCTTCTGATGGAAGTGTTGGTCACATTCACCTCCTCTTGCGTAATTTCATCGTTTGGAGCAATTCTCACTATATTTAAATGTATAATGTTTTAAATTTTTAATGTTAAATTTTTGTACGAAAAATAAAAATAATAATAGTCATAGACAGACAAACTGTAACAACAGGTTAACCGTATTTGGGCTTTTTATTTTTATCTTATATAATTTGACCATAAATAAAAAAGGACATGGCCTAAAAATATCGGCTCAACTTCCGTCTCAAACTAAAAATACCGTGTCACGCGCTCAATTTATTTATTTTAGCAAAAACAGCGATTTCCGCGAGTAAATCTAGGGGAGGTGGCGTCAACGCGCTCATTGTGAGAGTGGGCGAGAAACTTGAATTTCGCAGCTCGACGACCACGCGCGTATACCGCCCAATGGGCTAGAAGGAGCTTAGAATTTCCAAATACCTTTAGACCCATTACATTAAAAAAAAGACCCAATAGCAAAATAAATAAGCCTTCAAACCTTCACAGGCATGTTGTTGATTGATTTTCAAAAAATCATCATTTTTATTTTTTTTATTCTTCATTGCTGCTATCTCCTCTGATTATGTGACTCGAAGGGATTTATTTGGTAAGCATGTAGATTTTGGTTTCTACAACTGAAAGTAGGTTCTCTTGCATGAAAGTTTTAAGAGAGACAAGGTCTAAGCAGTTTATCAGAAAAGCGTTACTTACCCAAAGCCTTCCTCCAACAGTGAGGATGAGCATAAGCACTTAAGTTTTTGGACTGTACATTACTCAACTGTATAGACTATAGAGTGTTTTGAACTACAAAATCCCAATTTTGCAATCAAATGCCTATACTGTGGAAGCATTTCTCATCGGTTATACTTTGGTCTTTAACACAAGTAAAATACAAAGAGAAAGAATGATACTATATTACTGTAACATGATGCAATTCTGTGGTTTCCGAGTGTCTCGGCTTAATATACACTTTACCATTTCACTGATAAGAAAAGAGCATTTATGGGGTTGGTGCCGAAGATGGTGTTGTGGCTCGAAGGAGTTGTTGCAGAAATCGAGCTGCAAGTCGTTGGCCTACACCACCTGCAACACGTCCTCCAAGTCTTCGTGCCTCTGGTTGTTGTAACACCTGAATAACAAAATAAGAGTTTCTTTAGCTCATCGCACAATTACAATATGTCGATACCGATCAGTCAGGCACAAGATCAATGAAGTCACCTGTAGTATTGGCTGCAAAATAGCAGGATCAAAGCTTTCTGAAGATTGAAGAAGTCCCCAGATTCTAGAGACCTGATCTCGAAGCTCAAGCGTACTTTGAAGTTCTGTAGTACTCATTGTCAGAGGGCCATTCCCACTTCCATTGAAGACAAGAGATCGCAGAAACTCTGGAAGGGAATTGTATGTATCAACAACAGTGCCCAACGCAATCGCTTCACTAACTCGTACAGCTTCTTTAATTACTAACAGTCGAAGCTCTTCACCATTTGGATCCAGCAACAGCTTCAAAACTGGTTGTAGAGCATCTTTTGCTGAGAAGTCTCTATCTTTACTTCCCTGTTGTAAAAGGTTCTCGAGTCTATTCCACCTAAATTTTCCATCTTTAAATAGAAGCTCGATAAGGGCATCTCTTAGATATGGGTTTGGATCAGTGAGAAGCCTTTTGGCAAAGTATGGGTATGAAGCAGCTAACACTTTGAAATTAGGATCTGCGTAAAGTGCCAAACCTTCAAGCACAGTAAGCGACCTCAGAATCAAAGCATAGTAGGCCGGGACATTAAATGGATACTGATAGAAGACAGCACCTAGACCATCAACCAAAGTTTTGAAATTGAGCTCGCTCACGGTATAATTAAGTGCATCGTCAAAGAAGTCTCTGAGAGCTGGTATGATGGGAGTAACATCCACATCAGGAGACAAAAACTTCAAAGCGTAGTAATCTCGGGCCATGGCTTCATAATCTCGGTTCACTAAATGAACAACATGACCTATGATAGCAAATCTAGCTTCCTCGGGTGTCTCACTCATCATTCCAAAGTCTAGAAAGGCAAGTTTTCCATCAGGTGTTGCCAAGAGATTACCAGGATGAGGGTCAGCGTGGAAAAAACCATACTCTAAGAGTTGCCGTAAGCTACACTGAATTCCGGTATTTACAAGATCCAGAACCTTTAAACCCTGACTCTCAATGACAAGTTGTTCGTTCAGTTTCGTTCCCTCTACCCATTCCATTGTTAGAACTTTGCGGCCCGTGTAATCCCAGAATATATCAGGTACAAGAACATCTGCTTTATCAGCGTACAGTTTTTTAAACCTTCTGGCATTTTGCGCCTCTTGGACGTAGTTTAGTTCCTGGTAAACTCTGCAGGCAAACTCATCGATAAGGGTAAGGACATCGGTAGTGATGAAGTCTACATACTTGTTAATGAGTTTCCCAACTCCTCTAATGAGGTAGAAGTCAAGGCCAATGGCTTCTTCGATTCCAGGGCGTTGAACTTTGACAGCAACAACCTGACCAGAATACCTCAACTGAGCTTTGTAAACCTGGCCAAGACTAGCTGCTGCGATTGGCTCTGGGGATATAGACGAGAAAATGGACTCTAGAGACAAATCCAACTCTCTCTCAATGCAAGCAAAGGCCTCTGCATCAGGGAAGGTTGGCAAAGCATCCTATTTAGGAACTCAAACAAATAATATTAAAAGTTAGAGAATGTTATCTTGCCTATTCCAAATAAAAGTTTCATTCTGTATTTCATATACGCAATTTCGTTATACTAAATATGTAAAGGTGAGTAAAATAGATGGGTAAGAGGTGAACCTGAAGCTCTGCAAGTTCTTCAAGGTAATCGGGTGGACAGAGGTCTGGTCGGGTGGACAAACCTTGACCCAGTTTAACAAAAGTAGGCCCGAGACGAGTGAAAATGCGCCGGAGCTCGCCTGCTCTCTTCTTCATGTTCTTGTCTAAGTTGCCTTGCTTCTGATCAATCCCCAATTTCAAAGCGAAACCGCCCAAAGCTCCCAATATCTCCAAACTTCTCCGCAAAGCCTAAGTCCGAAATTGAGCTGCAACTCTCAGCGGTGGAACCATAATTTTGACAAAACTTGAAACTTCCAAAAACTGACGAAGTAAGCTAACCTTGAAAGGCTGAGAGCCATGCTTCCTGGCGATGAGCTCCGGAGAATAGACAGAAGCATCAACAGCGCGACCCAGAGCTCGTGCCTCCGCTTGAAGATCATCGGCGAGATCAGCTCGTCGGTATTGTACAACCGGCGCCGTAGTCGCTCTCGGCGATGGAGAAGGAGTCGCCGGTGCTCCATCCTCTCTAGGCCTAGCTTGAACAAGAGCCGCACGAGCAAATCTCCTCCGATTGACAAAGAAAAACTTAGAATTTGCGCCATTTCTTTTCGAATTGCGTAAGGAAAGACCATCGCCGAATAGAGTTAAACCCAGCGACTGACCAACCACCAGACTCATCGTGTAACTCTTGCCCCACCCAACAATGGACTTGGCGATAATCAGAGAGGGAAAGAAAAGAGAGGAAGGAAGAAATCAGATTGTGATTGCCCAGCCAGTAACAGCCATGAAAGAAGAAGAAGAACAAAGAGAGAAGAGAGAGATATTTATGAACGAAAGATAGAGAGATTAGAAGCGTTTTTGGTTACTACTTTGGGGATTCAACTAAAATAAACATATATTACACGAAAAAACAAGGTCCACACTTTGGGCGTGCCGTGACGTTCTCTATATTTAATTCTCTCAATCCCGGAAACAACAAAACTACAAGACAAAAAGGCCTTCATAGCATTTCCAGAGAAATTTATACGGAACAAGATTCCTGGGATAGACAAGTATACCAGTCATGGCCATCAAGTTTTTTTTTTTTTTTCCTTTTCTTCTTTTTGTGAATGTAATTAGTCCCAACCTAACAATATCCATTGAGGTTCAAAGCAACAACACAGTCCCACATTAGAGAGAACTCTCTAGAAGAAACCCTTCTCACTACTTCCTCCCATACATCCCATTTTGTTTTATGTACATCTATGCCAGTGAAAAACTAGATATCTTGTCTCGGGGATTTAGCCGCGGTTATTTAGATTTCCTCTTCTAGTAAATGGGATTCGTTCTTCTGCAAAACCCATACAATTTACATTTCATGGTTTTTCTTGTGGGAATCATAAATAAACCACTATCATAGTGAAACAAAAGATTTGCGTTATTATGATATTACCATGGTGTTGCTGTATGTTACCCTCATCATCATAATCTCCGTTGTTACTTGTGAAGAACGGTGTTAGGTAGTTCCTATCTAGTTCTGTGAATGATGCCGCACTGCATACAACAAAACAATAAACCAATGGGTTGAAAGCCCACTCAATTTGTTGTGAGGCGTGAGAGTTGATGAGTCATTTACCTCTTATGGAACTCTCTTAATTTTGTCCTGAATCCACTCCCTGACGGTGTATCTTCATCATCATAACTAGTCATATAACGACTGTTCACCACCTCAAAGCCCTGACAAAACCATATTCATCATCTCGTTTTCCACACCAAGAGACCGAGACGTTATAATAGGACAGATCGTCCGTCTTTAGGACATGAACTCTACAAAAATGGCCCCGAAAAAGAAAAAAATATATATATATATTCACTCGACTTACATCACCTAAAGATGGATCGTGGCTATCACCTACAACCTCTAGGGCTTCAAGCATTGTACCAGTGGATCCTCCAATCAGTAACACCTGCAATCAGTTATCAAGAATCACATGTTACGCAAAATAGTTTGGCTCAGCTATCAGCAACAGAAGTTTAAAGCTGTTCCTAAAAAATGATGGATTACCGTCAGAACAACAATGGCTGTAGTTGCAGTGAATATAGTTTGACCATGTCCTTCTGGGAGATCGTGAACAGATTGCAGAGCAAGAGCAAAAGCCATAGCACCTCGAAGTCCTATACAATCCACATGGCTTTGTTTTGTTATTACTGATGAATTAAAAAAAAATAACTACCTATGGGAACAAAGTGCAGAACCTTACCACTATACCAAAGTGCTTTTTGGTGCGTCATTGGTATTTTCCTATGAGCAGGTCGTGCCAGATTGACCAAATATCCACAACCAAACACATTAGCTGCCCTGAGTAAGACATATATAGAGTAACATTATCAGACACCAAAAACAACAGCAAAAGAAAAAGCTGTTTGGAAATGAATATATGTACTTGCACAGATCATAAAAGTGAAACAAAAAGCATACCTTGCAATTACGATAAATAACTGAAGTTCGTCATCAAGGATAAAAAGACAGTTAAGGAACAACATATAACTATGGAACTAACTGAATTCAAATTCAGTGAAACTTGAGTAAGAGGATACAATAGAGAAAAAGATGAATCCCACATGTGACCAACTATGCTTTTCCATGGCAATATCAAAACCCATGTAGATGAACCTGCAGATTTGGTCATTTGAAATTTTAAGATCAAGTCATCAACTAATATTACAGATACAAACTATTAATATGCACGAGAGAATAAGAATCAAATACATACACAAAAGTCTCTGCCAGTGAAGATATCAGATGAAAAAATGCAGACACAAATCGCTGAGAATTTGCAGACAAGTTTGAGTAGGTATAATGTTTCATGACCTGGAAGGCACAGACGGTTCCCATCATACTACTTTACTTGGGCGAAAATCATTACACATTGAATTCATGTAATTAAGTGCAACTTACAATCCCTGTAAATAGAATCGATACGATGCCAGAAAGACTGAGACCTTCAGCAAGCATGTATCTAGCAGAAAAAAGTAAGTTACAAATTGCAACAATTTCTAATTCTATGAGAATGAAATATAGGAGACACATAACTAATATAGAAGAGAAGAGTTTTATTACGAGAAATATGGAAAAAGAACAAAGAGACAGCACTCCAAGTTCTGCAGACTGAAAGAAGGAGCGAGAGAATCAGAATCAAATATATCATTGCTGACCATTGGAACTTGAAATAAAGAAATCTGCAAACACAGACTATGGTCACTCACTTGTCAACATCCAGTCCTGCATACTTGAATAGGTGCTTTGCATTAAGGCTAACAACTCGTCAATGAGTATATAATGAAGTGAAATATTCAGAAGAATCTAAAACGACAAAAAGGATATGAGGGCAGAGGTAAATCCAACTCCAACGCCTGCAGAAGCACATATTTGTCTTTTTTATTACCCAGAGAAAAAAATATAAGAATATATAATGACATAAGAAAATCTTGAAAGCTTGAAAAGACAAATTTAGTATGATAATTATATAAGAATATATAATGACATAAGAAAATCTTGAAAGCTTGAAAAGACAAATTTAGTATGATAATTCTGTGATATATTTTTTAGTTAAAACTTATTCATAAATCATAAGTTCAAATTTTATTAGCATGTCTGCCATGCCATTTCAAGTTGAAAGAGCCAAACCATGTATGAAATATAGGGACAAAGGAAAAGTAAGGTAGGTGATTAAAGCAAACCTGCAGACATTGAACCAACAAACGTTTCGAGAAACCTGACTATCACCATAAAGAAATTTTGTCCAGAGGAATGACTTCTCACCAAGGACATTGTCCTGCATCCCAGTTTATAGGCTTGTTAAAATACCTTACCATCTGACTATCGTGTTTCAACCCTATTTTGCATTAGTTTACAGACCTGTAGAGAGATATCGCCATCTGCCAAAAGCAACATAATAAAGAGAAAGACCTGATAAGTAATGTATAACATTTTTCATCCTAATATATACATATAGGAAGCAGAAATCACTTCTCAAAAACTACTTACAGCATCATTTAAAACTGATTCTCCAAACACCAGGGCATACAAATTTACATCTGAACCAAGTTCCTGCCAAAAAATTACAGTAGTAAGAAGTGGTCGAAGCTAGTATTATTCAAATTATTGTGAATATCCCCGTAAAGCAGTGAAAGTACCTGAAATATAGACAATACAGTGACAGGATCAGTGGCTGAGATAAGAGAGCCAAACATGAGACACTCAACGAATGGAAGTCTGTACATGAGAAACATCACTCCGCCAAGGTACCTTCAAAAGGAAAAAATACATCTATGAATGACAGAAAGAGGGCCTTTTCTGTCAACAAACTGTTACAAACATAAGCCAAGTAAAAGAAAGAGATACTTACACTAGCAATCCAGTGACCATGGAAGCTACAAAAGTTCCAAGCACTGAAAAAGTGACAATGGCTCCAAAGTTTGAAAAGAAAGGTTTCTGCATAAAACCCAGCAACAATGTAAGCATCGTCAAGAATTTGAAAGCAAGGATGCGATCTCTGATGTGAATAACAAGAAAAGCAAGAAAGACATGAGAGGTTTCTGCACTTACAGGTTGCAGACTGAAGCCTGACTGGGTGCAAACAAGTACGTCAAGGAAAACAATATATTTAGTTGCCAATTGAGAATCATTTAGAAGATTATGACACACAGAGACGTACGCAAACTAAAGGCAAGAGCAATAGCAAATATAAACTCGATTAAAGGATATAATATGATGGGAGGCAGCAGAAACAGAAAGAAGAACTCATCGTGGAAATTGAACCATGTCCTGGAGAAAAGCAAAATTGATTAGCACTCGAGAATACTTCCTATATAACACATAATAATGAATATGTGAGTAATTTACTCTCCTTTGAGTTTCCAGGTTAGTGGAGAAAGGACATAAAAGTAGCAATAAAATTAATTAATTGAGGAAATAATAAAATATAAAAATATAAAAATTAAGAAGTTCAACGAACCTTATGCTAGTCTCCGTGTTCGAGATGTTGGCTAAACCACCAACGATCAGCCCTAAAATTCCACAAGGAATCAAACAAAACAATCGATGGAACACGGGAAGGGCGATCAAAATGCAAAGGAGTAAGAAGAAGACGAGAAAACAAACCGATTAGAAGCGAAGCAGAAGCTTCAGGCAGATAATAGAACTTATGACGGCGAAGGACATGACCCAGTACAAAAGAGAGGACGAGCATCATGATCTGAAGCAAAATTCCGACTCCGGCGGCTTGCTGCTGCTTCTCTTGCCCTTGCGGGTCGTGAATCGCCGGCGAAATCTGTACCTCCGACGACATTACGCCTCGACGGAATTAAAAAAAAACCCTAGGGTTTCTATCAGTGTCACTTCGTCTTGTTTGCTCTTTCTCTTCTTCGTCTTTGTTCCCACACGCAGAGATTCACGAAAACGGAACTAATGAAACTCGTGAGATGGACTATTTCTTCTTCCTTTGTGAGGACGCAATTTGCTTTTTATAGGAATCTGCGTCCCCACTGCTGCTCTGACTTCTCAGGTGGCTTTCCGTTTTGGGCTTTTATTGGCTTACACAAATATCAAAACCCATATTTTTTTTTATTTAGCCCACATTTTCTTAGAGTAATCACGATTTCTACAAGAAAAAACGTGGCCCAATTGCGTTTGTGTACAATGGTTTTTGAGTTTTGACCAATGGGAGTCTAGACCATTCAGTTAACAATTTTAATTCGATTTTAAGTTTTTAACACAAGTCTCTCTTTATACGAGAACTCTTCAGTTTTAGAATTTTCATTCATGCAAAAGTAACGACAAAATAATCTCATAAGAAAACAAACATACGAGAGGTTTATAATTAAATTACTTAGGCTCTATTTTGGTCGGAACAGAGTAGCCACCGCTATAATCAAACGCTCCGCCTCCGTCTTGTGCTTCTTTCTTGCGCAAACTACCTCCATACAAAAGCTTCTCTCCACCCTTCACGCAACCAAATTCTGTAGCGGAAGACGACGCAGATGCAGAGGAGCTACTATTCGTCCCACTGTTCTGGATGATAGTCTCAATCTCCTTGACCACTTCGCTCATCGTTGGCCTCTCAGACGCCGTCTCATCAACGCATTTCAGGGCTAGTTCCATATAGCGCCCGAGTTCTGGCAGAGCTCCGGCGTCTCTCAACGAACGATCCATCTTATCTCTCAGTCCGTAGTATTCATCGTCGCTCTTGTTCATTACTAGCTTGATCTCTCGAACAATGTACTTGCCTTTCTCTATCGGCTGTTTAGCCGTGATCAGCTCCATCATTACGACACCGAAGCTATACACGTCACTCTTCTCTGTAAGTTTCTGCGTTGTGTAGTATTCTGGATCCAAATATCCCTGCCGTTGACCGTTTCTTCAACCATCAGAAACAAGGTTCCCAAATTGAAGTCAGAGATGAATTGATCATAAAACTTACCAAGGTGCCTTTGACTTGTGTTGAAACATGGCCTTTGGTGCAGTCTGAAACCAGCTTGGACAAGCCAAAATCGGCAACCTTGGCCGTGAGATTCTCGTCCAAAAGAATGTTGGTTGATTTCACGTCCCTGTGGATGATCGGAGGATCCGCCAGTTCGTGGAGGTATGCTAGTCCTCTTGCTGATCCGAGAGCCACTCTCAGCCTTCTTCTCCAATCCAGCGAAATACCGGATCGCCCTAACCAACAATGCGTAAAGGTCAAGTTTCGTGTTTGTGATTTACTGAGCAGCTAAAAGACCGAATTTGGAGTACCTGTTAAGCTATCTTTTAGTGATCCGTTGGACATATACTCGTAGACCAGAATCTGCTCGCCTTGTTCGAAGCAAAACCCAACCAGCCCAACCAGGTTCTTGTGATGAACTCGAGAAAGCAACTCAATCTCTGTTTTGAATTCTAGACCTCCTTGTGTTGATCCTTGTTGTGCTCTTTTGATCGCCAACATCTGCCCATCTTGAAGCATTCCTTTATACACCTACGGAGATTACAGAGAGAAACTGAGGAACATTACTTTGTCGACCCTGAAAGTGATGCCCTATTTTTAAACATTGATCTTTCAAAAACCTACCTTTCCGTATCCTCCGTAACCCAGCTCACTGCTCACAGAGAAATTGTTTGTGATCTTCTTGAGTTCTTCGTAGGAGAACCATCGTGCCCCTTTCAGTTGCGGCGCACCACCACTGTCTTTTCCACTCGATGCCCACGAAACTGAGAGAGCCAAAAGACAATTGTAAAACCTAATATTTCAACCTTACTTTTTCTACTTAACAGAATCAGGGGGCTAATCTGAAGTGGTAGTGCATCTACAGTAAGTTGGATTACCAAATGGTCTACTCAAACCGATAGCTTGCTCTGCACGTCTCTTCTGCCACATTGCGTATATTCCTAGCGCAACAAGGCACAGGACCAAAGCGCTGCAACCAGTTATTATCCCAGTGACCATCCGAGAGCTCAAAGAATGTCCGTTACCTTCAGCTGCAAAAGTTAATAGATTGTTAAGAGTCCAGTTTCTTCAACTTGAAAAAAAGCTTTTTATGTACATGCTACCTGGGAAAGTGTAGGGAGATGCAATGAAGTAGTAAGGTCCAAACAAGGGAGGAGGTTTGTATGTTTGGTTACTCAAGTCGAATCCAATTCTCTGAACTTCACTTCTGTTAAAATACTTGCCCGTAGATGGGAAAAGTGCCAACTGTATCTGAAGATAATCATCATTGTTGAAGAAAGGGTTTTGTAGAGAGACCGAACCAGGAGTGAGTCCTAGTTTCACCCACAAGCTCATCTCCAGTGAATGGTATGTGTTCACATTGGACAAGTCTCTGAACATAGGCCCTCGGAAGTATAGTGTTCCTTCGTAAGGGTAGGCGCATTCACAGCTCTGAGGGCTCACCTTTTGGTCTGATGGACAAGATTTTCCTCCACAGTTAGCAAGACTGGTCGAGTATATACGTTTCACTTGTTGCTGCTGAATCTGGCAGTAGTTTGTGTTTGAGAGAGCCGTTGTGCATACAGGGTTTCCTACGAGTCTGGACCAGGAGAGGGCTTCTTTAATAGATTGATTAGATAGTTTGAAGAAAACATAGGAATAAAGAAGCTATTTACATTAATGTATTGGTATATCCAGAGCTAAGTGTCACTGAGGAAATGTCGTTATCTTGTAGATCAACAAGTTGGAGCTGTGGACCTACTGTGTCTCCCAAGCTCAGTGTTCCATTGAATGCGTTCTTTTTCAGTTTTCTGTGAAAAATCAATTCAGCAAGTCAAAGGTTTAAGCTATTATCAACCTTCAGTGGAGACCAAATTCTGAAACTTACACTTGTTGAAGCTGTGGAAACCCAAAGAGTTTATTAGGCAATGGTCCTTGAAGAGATCCATATTCCATCACACTAAATCCAAGAAAATAGTAACATATTCTGAGAGCTCCATATGCTTGTTTTCTGGTTTGTAAACTGTAGCAGAGTTGCACTTACAGTGTGGTCAGTGAAGGTAAGGTTGAGAACCATAGAGGAGACTCTGATGGATCAAATGAGTTATTGCTGAGATCTCTGTAACAGACACCAAATTTAATCAAAACACACATACTTATAAATGTAGACAAAGACATTCTCTGTCGCTGAGAAATTTACACGTAGTTCATTGACTTCATATCTGACAAATTTGGCAAAGATCCTACAAGCTTGTTGTGAGCTAAGTTCCTGATGAGAGACAGAAACAAAGATGTATACATTCGTTACACCGATGCCTAAGATGATGATCGATCTGGATAATTTACAACTCTGGTTACACTTACAGTTCAATGATATTTGTGAGATTACTGAGATTCTCTGGAACTTTTCCGGTGAGAGTGTTTCTGTCAAGTCGACTGTTGCAAATCCAAGAAAAGACATAAAAAAATTTGAAGATAGGGAAGTTACATGAAATTAAGGACATAGAGATGGTGTGTTACTCACAGAACCTCTAGTGTCTGAACGAGTCCTAAAGTGGAAGGTATGCTCCCTGTGAACTGGTTTCCATCGAATAATCTAACATTTGAACAAATCTGTTGTGATGAGTAACCTTAAGCTTGACAGAAGTTTTCTATGATTAAAGATTATCTGACTTACACATGGATCAGTATCATCTCAGAGCTGAAAAGTTTTGGTGGAATGGTGCCTGAGAGCTGATTCTTGTTGAAATGACTGCAGTTTCAATAACATTAGCATCAGATGAGAGATAGTTGCGGCTGAAGTAGATGTCTCCAGAGAAAATAAAACTACTCACAAGTGTTTGGCTTTTAAAAGAAGATCAAGACCAGGACTAGAGCCTGATGAAATTGGAATGGGTCCTGTCAACTGATTATCCGCAAGATCCAACCAATACACCTTGGTGAGGTTTCCTAGAGATGCTGGAATTTTACCCGTGAAGTTATTTGAGTTCAAGGCCCTGAGAAAACATGGTGGAACCCAAAGTGGCAAGTCTCATCAAACACAGGTTGGTTTTAAGGTAAAGTACAAGACAACACAACTGCAAAACGCAACAATCATACAAGAAAGATAGATCTTTGAGATAGCCAAGTTCATTTGGGATGCTACCAGTGAAGCCACAGCCAGCAAGGATACTGCGAAAAAAAAAAACTATTTAGATAGATACACAAGGAAGAACAAGAACAAAGAGATCACTTTCTAGAATTATTGCGCTATAAAGATGTTTACAGGATGTTGAGCTTTTGCAGGTCTCCTAACCGAGAAGTAAGTGAACCCGTGAGTCCTGGATTAAACGAAAGGTCCCTGAAAAAACACAAAGCCGTTATGTTGTGTCACAAAAAGAAGAAGAAGAGACGTTCCTCTTTGTAATTGTGGATTAATCATCAAAAGAGACTGACAAGGATCTTAGTTCAGCTAGTTCTCCAATGTCCCCACTAAGCCTTCCTTTGAGACCCATCGTTGACAAACCCCTGAACATAAAAGACTATGCTTGCTCAGTAAGTTAGCAAAATAAGTAAGGAAACTGGTCTAATATTTCTTCTTTTTCACACAAACATAACTATGAATGAGTGATTAAGGAACACTCACAATGCAGTGATTCTGGAGTTGTTGCAGGAGACACCTTCCCAAGGAGTTCCACAAGGATCATCAGAACCTCCCCAACTAGGCGGTGTGTTGTCCCATTGATCCATCAAAGAACGCAGAGACGCCGCTAGTAGAAAGCAACAAAAGGAGTAAAAATTACATATCATTCCCACGAACGGATACAACGCAAGGGGAAAGCATAATTCATCACATACCATCACGAGGGTCAGTGACTGACGAAGTCAAGGAGAAGACAGTGAACGAGTAAGAAAAACAGATCAAGAGCAGCCGCGATGTAGCGGTTACGGTGTTGGAAGCCACCATATTGTTCCCAAAGAGACATGAGTTCTTGAAGTTTGATATTTAAGTGAAATATTGGAGAAAGAGCAAACAGATTAAAGGAGCTTCCTTATGAGACAAGATTCATCATTGTCTCATTAAGAAAAAAATGTACAATGTGGGAAGTGTGCCAATAGGAACACGAGTGGCACCAAGAAAAAGTAGGTTTCAATCAATTTGCCTTCTCTTCGAAGCCAATTTAACGGTTCATGTGTCTCTTTTACAAAACACTTTAGTTATTAAAACACTTGAGTGTTACATCTCTATATAACTACAAATAGCCACTACAAAACTAATGATGTAAGCTTAGGTTACCGTTAAGCTCTGTTTTCGAATCAAAGCAACCTTCGTTGATCATTATGCTGAGAATCACAAGACAGAGAAGATTGTGGAACCTACCAAAAAAGAAGAGTGGGGTCTCGCCTGTGTCCAATAATCCAACCATCTCCACAAAATTCTATAGATATAATTAAACGTAAAAGCCACTTCTTCCAGTTTTCAAGAAACTACTCCATTTTGTCTACATGTGAAAAAAAAAAAAAAAAACTTAGTTAAAATATAGAGACCAGATCCAATTGGCCAACCCAAAAAAAAAATTAATAAATCCAAAAGATGTTTTGTCTATTAGTGAATGATCTCTGTCTAGTGTCAACTAACATGAACAATCTCACATGTATGAAATGTATTGAAACAAACAAAAGAACATTATATATTTGCAAAGAACTTCCATGAAAAAAAAATGAAAAAGAAAAAAAGAAAGTTGGATATGAAACAAAAGAACATCGTGATATGAAGTGTTTTTGTCGGATTTAACATGGAATCACAAGTCAAAAAAGTCACAACCATTTTCTCCAGCTTGTTGATCTAAGCTCACCAGAGAAGAACCTTGGAATGCTCAAGAGACTATTAACCCTCGTCAACCCTTCCAAAGCCGACCACTCCTCGTCATCCTGTGCAACCGAAATACATTCCGCAAGTGTCATTGTCATCATCTTCGACTCAATCCCGCAACTCGCAGGGATTTTTTCTTCTTTAACGGGGACAATCTCGTCATCCTCCTTGCTGATACTGTTACTGACACTCTCTATGGGCTCTTCTTTGTGTGAATGCTTCATTGCATTGCTTGACACTTCCATGGCCACTGATGAATCTTGTAGAAAAAGGCAGACTACAGTACAGTCATCGTTCTTGGAAGTTGGGTACTTGATTCTCCATGATCGAACCGCTGTGTCCACTAGAGCTCGAGCCGCTGTGCTTCGGCTAGGAGCTGAAGCAACTATATCAACAGCTTCTTTGTTCGACAACACATCCCATACCTTTAATACAATTCAGTAACAAAACATTTTTCAGCTCTAACGTTTTGGAAAACTTTGCAATTAATTTAGTGCAAGTAACCGAAGATTTAATATTTACCCCATCGCTAGCAATAATAATGAATTGGTCTTGTTCCGTTAGGCGGCGGTAACTGATATCTGGTATAGAGATCAATCCGTAATCTTTGAGACAAAAGTCTCCAAAAGCTCGAGCCATTGCTAAACCAGGTGAATCGCTGTTTGGTAACCATACACGAGCTACCTCAGGCTCGTCTTGCAATGCAAAGACTCTTCCTTTACATTTCTGGATTCTCGCTGATTCACCTGAAAGTACATCGAAAGAGACAGTTGAGAAATTTGCCTCTGGCTTCTGAGAGTTTAAGATCAAGTTATTGTGATAAAGTACCTGGCAAATCCGGTTTTAAGTCTACAGTTAATTGTACAGCGATCAAAGCATTGTCTTCGTCTCTTGTGGCAAGAACGGCTCTGGAGTCACCAATATTTCCAACCACCAAATCCTCACCCTAAAAGAAATCATCATGAGCAATCACAGAAATTAATATACAATGAATGAGTCTTCTTTTTTATGCAGGCAGATCAAAGCTGAGAACCTGCTTGATCAAAGTGACTGAAGTTGTTCCGCTGCAGAAGCAATCAATAGTTGGATGCATTTTCAGCTCTTTATCTATCTGCTGACAAGACTTAAGCAACGCATGTTTAAGAGGCAGATACATCTCGGGAAGTTCATCATTGCTCTCATTTGGATTTAGCTCACACCATTGCTCATCCATTGTAGTAACGGACTCAGTTTTCTGCACTTCTTCTTCCTCTGTACCTTTGATTTGCAAATCGTTCTCATTCACTAACAGGCTTTGTTCCGATTCTGAGGTCATTTTCAATTGGGTTGAGAGAGTGAAGGGCAATGTATCTCGTACTTTCTTGGCAACCATGTGACCAAATGGTCCATGTCCATCGAAAACACCGCAAAACACTGTATCATCTCTCGAACAAAAGTTCTGGAATTTGAAGTAGTATTCACAAGTTAGAAATATGTTTTCATATGTCAATGTAACAATGAAAGAAGTAAACAGAAACAGAATCTACGGAAGAGTCAGTCAAGTAACTAGTGGTCCCTGTAGAAAGAGGTCAAAGACTCGAGACAACACAAGAACAAACAAAATTGGCAAAACAAAGCCACCTCAATCTTCAAAGTTATAAGCTTTGTAAAATGGTCCCATAAAATTGATAGTAGTCATGCATGATTCCAAGTTTCTCTCTCTTCCTAAGCACTAGCAACTAAAGAATCATGTTCTGGATCATCCGTTTGATCCACAACAAGATACGTATCCAAAGAATCAAGTAGATTTCCTCTTACATTAACAACATTTTCCACCGAAATCTCTGAATTTTAAACGAATGAGGAACACGATACCCTGAATTGTTCTTTGAGAAATGATCAAAATCCAAATGGGTTGCAAAAACCGAGTGAAAAATTCAATTTTTAGAAAGATATAAGAAAGGAACCTCAAAGACGAGCATGGCGTCCTGGTTAGTTCCTTTCCTGCCTTGCTGAGTGTAAAGACATGCAACCTTACTAGAACCATTCGAAACCAAGCGACCCAGAACCTGTTGAATCCCTTCGATTTCGCCGCCGCCAATCAAATCTCTCGGCCGCCGCCACCGGCCGGAGCCTAATCTGTCATCAGTCGTCTCCGTCGCAGAGGCGGTGGTGCTGGTGTCTCCTGGTTCTTTCCCAGTAGTTCGATCTACTGAATAACACAGACCCATTTCGAAAATGATCCGGAGGAAGAGCTCAAAAGCAGCTTTTTAAAAAACAACGAGTTCAAAATTGTAGAAATTGACGATCTTTCTGGGGGATGAGGTTTTGTCGGCAATGATTTACGCAACAGTTCCTCGGGAAAACGGATGTATTGCTCGGCGAATAAAGGAGCCAACGAGAAAAACGAAATCCAGAAAAGAGCTTAAAACTTAAAAGGCTCAAAAATCGAAACTTGGCATCTACAAAATCCACTACTTTAGCTTTTACTAGTTTCTAGCTTTAGCTTTAGGGACCTGGTTTTCAAATTTTTCTCGGGAAAACTGCTATTTTTCTCGGGTAAAAAGACTCATACTTTAGCATGTTGCAAGAATTAAAAGGAAAGATTTCAGAAAAAAACACAACATCACAGATTCTGTGAATTAATTGATTTAGGATCCTTATTTTGAAAACAGTGACGCAAATACTTGCAGACCCACAAAAACTCCCAAACGTTTACTAATTACTACTACTAACTCCACTTCTGCTTATGATGCAAAGAAACAATTAAGGGAAGGAGAGACGAAATGATCAGACAAAGGTCACAGTTTGGTTCCGCACGTGAGATTTTTTTTTCTTTAATTTGAGAATTTTCTTCTTTTGTGAATAATAATTGAGGGAAAAATTTGGTTCTTGGCTGTATCGTACCCTCCATTCACCAGAAAATAACCCAACTACGCGTTACCACGTGTCATAAGCTGGGAAGTAATTTGTCGCCTGGTTCGAATTTGATTAAATTAATGGATTGGTTTAGTTTAAAAGTATAAACAATTTGATCAGTCACAAGGTCCCTTTCTGCCTTTTTTTATTAAACCCTAAAGCCAGCCAAGTTTGGGAAAAAAATACCAATGGCTCTGTTTGTCTTTCCTTCGAAATTTTGATAATTGAAGTACCCCCACTTGTGTTGTTAACCTTTTATCACATTTTTAAAATCAAATAAAAGGGCGTTGCTAATAATAATATCTAGTTCAATTATACTGCATTAAAGGTGTTTGATCTGGCTTCGCCACTGGTGTCCTTTGAGCTAGCTATTAAATTACCAAACCTCATTTTAGTACGAATTGTGTAATAGTTTCAGTTTTATGCGTATTATTGAATAACTAACGAATTTCAATGTAATAAGTAATCTAGAACACAGATGACAGAACTGTATGTATGTATAATCGATAGAGAGAGATGTACACATTTTTGAGCATTAAAGAGATACAATTATGACTGTAAGTGAGAATTCACGGATTGTGTGTTTGCCAATGCGACACGACGACAACTCCTTAGTTGTCCCACTGAGTTGGTGATTGAGAGATGCATTCATTCGCACGCATCCAAAATACATTACTACTAATACTCTTTACGAAAATGTTTCTCAATAACCCGTCTTGTATCAATATATTACACAAATCAATTATGTAACCATGGTTATAAAATAGCTTCCATGGTAAACATAAATACATATTCCGTAGACAAACCTAAAGAGACTAAGAAGTAAGGAGCGATGTATTTTATGAATCAAATTACAAAACATCTGAAAGCAAATCTTACCTTCATTTAGATGTATTATCTTATTAATAATTCTTATTCTTGAGGATGAATCACACTTCTTCTACTTAGCCACACATCTTCTCAGGTCATTTAGGAAACTAAACCTGGAGTTTGAACAGGCTGGTATGAGTTGAGTGGTCATACATTCTTTTAGTTAAATGAAAAAGACTGCAGAAAATGAAGATTGTATTTTAAGCTACTATGCTTACTTGGGCGTGTTCGGTTTTGTATTTCTGAAGCTCTTCTTCTGCACAGATGAGCCTGTGAACACAAATGAAACAGAAGAAAGAATGTTGGATATGAGCCTGAGAGAGCTACACAAGGAGTTTCTTTCGATAGTTACCTCCATTGCAGCTCGGTTATGTCGTGGAGCAGTTCTTTCTCTCTTTCGTGAGCTGCTTCAAGCTGTGATCCAACAGAAGAACAGTTCCGTTAAGTACCAATCTTTGAAAAATTGTGATTCAATACATTTCACCTGCAAACGATTAATTGCTTACCATGGATTTCTCAGTAGGAGGTACAGTAGGTTGTTGTACGTTTCCTTGTTCAACTGCACGTCCGTCTACATCAGAGGCATAAAAGATATTCAAATCCCTTGGCAAGAAATATTGTAATCAGAAGGGAGAATGGAGACAGGAGTAAGAGTGAAAGTTGCACGAAATAAACCTGTTAACTCTCTGTTGGTGAGTACTTTCATCATATGCAGAATGTTATCCTGTTTTTGGGATTAATTAAAATTATGTTATGATATTTCGTATGATATAAAGAAAGTGAGTATAGTCTAAGCAGTGGAACGCATACCCTTTCCAAAATATTAGTTTGCAGAACTGGATACACCAGGGGGTAAACGTATGAGCTGGTTAGGTTTGGTAATGACACATCAGAGGGAGGTAGAGAAGCAGAGGAGTGTTGGCAGAGCACCTACATAAGCACAAGTAAAAATGTTATTTGCTTTTCATTGAGAAATTTTGAGATGAATAATTGAGGATAATAGACATTTGATTGGTTGTCTGCAGCTGATCAGGCTGACATCGAAACAATTACAAACCTGCATACTGTGACTCTTTTGCAGGATAGGAGAGGGAACCACCACCTGATGAAGATAAAGTTAATACAAAAGGAAACCTTGAGAGGGTGACTGAAAAAAAAGAAAGCCCAATTTTTTCCTCCCAAAACAAAAGAAATAGTTACCTTCTCGATGTCAAGATTTTCAGAAGTTACTTTGAAACGCCCTCTTTGCTGCACAACTGGCGGCTTAGATTTGTCATCAGATTCATCTAGGATTGCTGATACCGAGACATATTTTATTTAATTAGAAAAGCATTGATCCACAGGGATGTCTAGATAGGATTTCAAGTATAAAGAAATTCTCTATATGCTTACCTCCTGCTTTGGGTGGTTTAACAGCCAGCTCTGTTGGTACTTCATCTCCTCCCACAGTAGCATGTGTCCCATTGCAGGTTGACCCATTTTGAAGATGCTCGTGGGTTTTATCACTGGGAATACACATATTGCTTTAAAAGTTAATGTCGCATACAGGATATATGTATACTAAGTAGATATGAGCTTTCAAGCAATAAGACTGGCAAACTGAACCAAGAAAAGCTCTTAGAATAGCAGTACATGTTAAAAGACTAACCTCTCTCCTTTATTGGGAGCACCATTTCTATCTGCCAAAACAGAGCTCCCTGCTAGAATCTCAGTTGGTTGATTGGTTGGGATTGATGAGGAATCCATTGGTTTCCCATTGACTGCATGCGTACTACCAACAGTTGTATTGTTTAGAGATAGATCCTCGTGACGAGGGGAGGAATATACGTAGCTATCATAACTGGGGCTGGCAAGACTTGAATCATCATCAGATTTATCCCTGACCAACCAAAATATTATTTGTTCAGTTTATTCATCTCTAGTTGTTACAGATAGGTAGAGACCTATATAAAATAGAGACCACAGAGGAGATTGACCTTGCGATACTTAGTGTTCGGTGAATTAGGGGTTGGAGATACTTATTTGTTATTTGACCATTATCCTCCTGCAGAGATGGTTATAAAGAACTTTAAACCTCAGACTAAATAACAAACGAAGATGAAAACAAGGAAACATTTCTGATACTGGAGAGCATCTAGCAATATGCACTCTAGAAGTTGAGAAATATTTCTACAAGCAGACACCTGAATCTCCGATTGGGTATCCTGTGAATCTAGAGCCTGCAACGAAGTGGTACTTCCGGATAAACTGTCTGATAAGCTACAGTCTATGTCCTGGATCTGATATTAATAGGAACATCATAATATAAAGCACAGTGAGCTTTACAGTTGGATAGTTTTTATGGGTTAAAGGAGACCAAACATACCAATGAAGCCTGGGCTTTCATATCATCGAGATTGAAATTCCATCCGCTGATACCTCTCTTATATTCATTCTGCATGTTACTACGACAAGAGGTCAAAGGCTAAATACTTTGCAGAAAAATTGGTACTAGAAACCAAAATTCAAAGAGTCTACATAGATAAGTAAAGCCAAAACTGGAAACTGGAAACACAAACCTGCGACAGTTCCTCCTTCTCTCCATCTGCCATTTTCTCTTGTGCAAGCATATCCTCTTCCTTTTTCTGCATGAAGAAAGCATATTCCCATCAGTTTTCGTCATAAGAAGTTGATTAATAATACTAAACACTAGCTACTGGCTATCTATTTAGTTCTACATATCCAACCTTTATTGCCTGAACACGGTTAACAAGATCTGGTAACCCATCCAGAAGTTTTCGTGCAATGTAATCGCTTGATCTTGCTTGCTTGAAAAAGGAATGTTTCAACAACTTTTTTGCAGACGGGCGTTTGGAAGGGTCTTTAACTAAACAACTAGCGATCATCTGCTTGAAAGACTGAAAATAGCAGGAAAATAGGCAGAATTGAGATGAGAATAAGCAAACATTCTGACTAGAATGTGTAGAATTGACACAAAGAGTATATATACCCTTGAAAACTTCCTATCTCTTTCATAATCCAGCCCTGGTGGTGCATTTTGCAACGTCATAAGCAGAACCTGAAAACATATTTGTTTTAGATTGATGCGAAGATTTTGGAGCTGAAATCCAGATATCACAGGCCATGTACCTTCATTGGTGGATACTTAGAGAAAGGAGCGTGGCCATGTGCAAGCTCTAGCCCAGTTATACCAAACGACCATATATCAGCCCTAAAATAGATGCTCCAAATAAGAAACACTATATAAGCAAATAGAATGATAAAACTTTGAATATGAGGCTGGACTAACTTGAAGTCATAACCATGTAACTGCTCCATGACTTCAGGTGCCATCCTGTGAAAAGAAGAAAAAGAAGGTCATGCACAGGAGAACCAAAATACAGACACTGTTACAGTCCTCGACACAGAAAAAAGAGTGTTGGGGCAGTAGTTACCACCTAGAACTTACCAACAAGGTGTTCCAACAAATGTGTTCCTTGTCCGTTGCCTATCACCTGAATCAAAGAGACAGGCAGATACGCCAAAGTCTCCCAGCTTGACTGCACCTCGAGCACCAAGCAAAATATTACCCGCCTGAAATAATGACAAACAAAGGATATTCAAATACCAAGATACAAAGTTGACAGAGTCAGTGATGAAAAACACTAGTCAGAAGCACAAGATTAGAATGTAACATGAGCAAAAAGAATTGTCAAAATGAAGTGTGATATACGGAAAAGTTGAATAACAAACTTTGACATCCCGATGTATGTGGCCATGCTGATGGAGATAGTCTAATCCCTTCAAGGCTTCACGCAGTATAGTGGCTATAATAGCTTCCTCAAAACCATCAGGATATGCAGCTTTTAGTATGTGAAGACAAGAACCACCAGACATGTATGGCATGATGACCCACAAATTGTGATCACTAACAAAGGAGCAATGTGATTTCAACACATTGGGATGATCCACAAGCATCATCGTCTGCGCTTCACGAGAAATATTATTCTGCACCACACAAAAGAAACGTAATCAGCTTAGCCAATTCCCAGAAAATAAAAAAAAAAGGCAGAAAGAATCATCATACAGAGAGAGCTTAAGAGGGTAGATAATCACCAGATCGCAGTTGTCGCGTTCAAAGTCAAGAATCTTAATAGCAACGACTTCATCGAAGGGAATGCACAAAGCACGATGCACTAAAGCACTAACACCTTGCCCGATCACCTCGTAGAGGGTGTAATGCTCAGGCCCAATCGGGTACTTCTTCTTCTCCATTGTTAAGATCCTTGGTTTCACTAAAAACAAAAACACTCAATATCTTCCTCTCAGCAACAAAACTGGAGAGTGGAATCAAAGTTTCTTTACCTGTAATTGAGAGGCGAAAGCACAAACACAGCTGGTTCCAGTCGAGTAAATCTAGAGAATAAAAATCAGAAAGAAAAAAAAAAAAAAGGAAACAAATAAGAGATTCGAAAAAACAACAACAATTACTATCCCGTCGTAACGATGGAATAAAAAAGGAATCGTACCGGGAAAATTACGACATCCATGTAAACATAATCAGGAAACAAATTAATGACAAGTGTGAGAGAAAAGGAAAGAGATAGATATCGTGCTGATGAAGATATTGACGATGATGACTGATCTTATTAATTATGTAACGCCCTTTTTGTGAACTTTCTATCAAAATTTTCTCGAGAAACAAAAAAAAAGAAAAAAAGAAAAGAAATATCGATCCCAAAAGAAAACGAGAGAGAATGAGAGAGAAAGAGAGTCACAATCGGATCGCCGCTCAAATGGGAGAGAAGCCTTTTGGGGGCTTTTGTTAAATTTGGAATCCCGCCACTTTAGGTCTCTCTCTTTTCTGCTTTTTCGCTCTTTCCTCCTCCTTCCTTCAAATTTCCTTTTTGCTATTTTTTTTTTTTATTTTACTATTGATTTGCTCCTATTAGGTTTTTTTTTAAAACATATTTGACATAACAAAAAAAAACTACTGACCGTCATCATTTGTTTAACCTAGAATGGATAAGGTAAAGGAACCTATTTTATTGCCATAATTTTAAAATTTTCAGAACTAATTTTTCTGCTTTTAAGTCCTTAACCAACGCGAAGACGATTCTAAATCAAATTGCTTTTAACAGTTTTCAGAATTTGTACCAAACCAGCCGGGATACTCTCCGAAGGTGAGTAGCAAAAAAATCTAATGGTTTTTCTGAACTAAATACAACCGGTTTTCTTAGTGTTATTTTACTGGTTCAGGTTCACTTTTCAACGTCGGATAATCCGTGAATTGCCGCCATTAATCACAAGAACATAGGGCCATGTTAGTTAGGATAAAATATCAATTACACTTTTATGTGTTTATCCACCCCTCAAGATTTACGTGATCACACTTTTGTATCTCTGCTTTTTTTTTACCCCATAGAAATATCTATCACAACCGCACAAATCGCCAGAAAACGCAAACGCATGAACAGAATATTCCAGCCCCAAAAGAGAAAAAAAAACTAAGTCACAGAGGGAGAGACCAAATCCCACACATTACTTGTCGGACCATGAGAACAAAATATTCAGCGTCAGTAAAGAGCCAAAACTTTTTCGAATCGAGATAATCTGTTGTGAACTCAGTCTTCAAAATCTCCTGAGTTCTCCAATAGATAGTTAGCTGCCAATTCTTCGTTACGTTCACATGCCAGGAAGGCTTCTATTACTAAGGCTCTATCAAATCCCATTGCCTCCAGCTGTTGGAGAGGTCATAGGCCAGTGAATTATAGTTCAGAAGGATCGGAAAGAAAAAGAGTGTTACTATTATTGGTGATTTACCCGTTGAATTGCTTCTTGCTCTGCTGGGGTTACATTAACGGCATGTGGCATTTCTTGCTCGGGTGGATCAAACATATCAGCATCCCTGATGTGTTATGTTTTTAAACTTTTTCAATCAAATTATATAGTTTAGTGAAACATCCACAAGAAGCATAAAATTACATCTGACAGAACCTTAGATTACGACAAACAGATTGGAGGACTTACCCGTCAGATCCCTCATAGGGCTCATTTACTAACTGAAGAAACTCTGCTTGGTTCTCCTGAATTAGTCTCAGAAGTTGAGGGTTTTGCTTTCCAAGTTCCTGAAGCATGGGCTAACAAAAGCAGCGGTTCCAACACAAGACGTTCTGAATCAGTGAGAAGTCTTACAAATTACTGAAACAGAATTACAAATATAAGACTACTCTTACCTGGAGAATTTGAGGGTTGGAATGGACCATGGTGCGTAATTGTTGGAACTAATACAATAGCAAATACAAGAGAATGAGTATATGGATGAAATTTACAAAAGTTAGAATGGACAGTCAAAGCATATTAAGTTGTTAACATACATCTCAATTAATCATCTCCAGCTAGAATGGCTATAACAGATAAACAAACCCTGCATAAGGTGATGAAATCTGGTTCTAAGCAAATGCCTTATCTTTCATATTCACAAACATTTACTCAAATCATGTATGATGAGGAAATATCCAAATTTGTTAAACAGATAATAGCTACACAATTTAGAAGAGATGCAGATGAAGTTGGAATGGCAACCTGGTCATTGTTTCTAAGAAATTCAAGCGTCCCATGATCACCAGATCCAGCAGCAGCAACTGTTTCCTGGATTAACTATAGAGTGAGAAGGTAACAAAATATATATCTACCAATTCTTATGGATACAAGATTAATACTAATTACCTGAGGGAATAAATCCAAAGGAGATGAGTTAGGTCCTCCAGATGCAGGTGTGACAGGGGCTGCCCCAGATCCTGCCGACTGAGCCACAGGTACAGGCACCGCTACTTCAGCAGTTTCAGGAATTCCCTAATGTACAAAACGATGTCAACACTTACATCATCTAAACTCATAGAAAATAATGTTACAGAGAGGGGCCATACAGAATATAGATAATCCACTGCTCTCTCAGGGTTGTTGTAAGCTGCACGAAGTGCACGAGTAACTGTTTCTTTGTCCCAGCTTCCGCCTCCCATTTCCATTATCTGTTGGACCATTTGCTCAAGACTACTGCCACTAACCAATGTTGACGCAGCTTCTCCATAGGTGTCAGTCTGTGCCCTGCCACATATCATTGAACTGTGGAGATTATAGTCTATCAATGAAATCCAGAACAAATAAAGTATACAAAATATACTAAAGATCAAACATAGAAGCTTTAGGAAAACCATAAAAAGAACAGTCGGCAAACCCAGGAACAAACAAATGAAAATGCTGACAATAGAAGGAGGGAAATAACTTTTTTCCAGAGAAGCTCATTATCAACAATCAAATTTACCTCGGTTGTTCTTGAGAAGGAATAGAAGAAGTAGGCACGGCTGTAGACTGTATTGTAGATGGAGCTGCAGGCTGCTTTTCAAACACGAGCTTATATTAAAACAACCAGTGGAAGGAGCTGCTCATCACACATTTGAACAAGTAAACATATCAAGAAATTTACCTTAGCCGAAGATGTGGTAGACGTGGTAGCGGTAGCAGGCTGTGAAATAGAAGCAGGATTTGACACTCAGATATATCAGACTAAACCAGCCATATAATAAAATACAAGAAGAAGAAGAAAAGCTACCTGAGCAGAAGACTGGCCAACTGAACCTGCCGTTTTGCTCTGCAGTTAACCAATAAGCAAAGTCAGAGAAATGTCCGTGCCATTTCAAGCTACATTGTTACATAGTAATGGGACGATCATGAAAGAAACATCTAGCAACGTTTTCCTATGACACTCATTCATCAGCTTATATCCTTGTCTAAGGAAATCCCAAGTAACTAATGATTACAATTCCTCTCTTAGTTATGATTTAAACTTCCGGTAAGATGATTGTAGCAGTTGATTTAAAATGTTCCATAATCAATTTTATACAATTGGATACTCAACTCCAGTTTGCTTAGAGCACATTCTGTTAAAAACTACCAAAGCTGCAACAAATAGAAATAAGAAGGCAGGCTCACCCATGATAAAGGAAATATGATATTTGCAGTAGGCTAATTTTGAATAGAGGTACCTTGCTAAGCATAACGACAAGAAAACCTTCCTCGGTAACCTTGTTCTCCACCAAGCTAGTTTCATCTTTCAAAACTTTTCCATTGTGAATCAACAATTGCTGCCCGCATGGATAATTGTCTTTGCCTTGTGAATCCTCTATATTCTTCTTCACCGCCATTATCTTGAAAAAAAAAAAAAAGAACAAGCACAAATCCAGATTGAATGATTTTAAGAGTGATATAAACAATTGGACCAAACCAGATTGGATTCCCCCGTTATAATTTGAGCAGTTAACAAAGCTATTAAAAACACTTGAGAGAATGGGAAAAAAAAAAATTGATCAGCAAACATTAAAAATAGTGGATCTGAAGCTGTGTAGGTGAGACTCCCTAGTTTCTTTCCTACACTCCGAGGCAGAATTACGCATACGCCTGAACGGAATAAAAGCAGAAAAGACGAGGACTAACCGTATCGGAGGGTAGAACCCTAATTTCAAAATGATTACCCTTGAGAGTCTTGACGGTGAGCTTCATATCTACGTGAATGATGAAATCGACGGCCGAGAGAGAGGGAGAGAGAGGGAGAGGGAGACCTAGTCAAGAGATCGAGGGGCGAAAGTTACAGAAAAGCCGACCGTAGTTAAACAACAGTCACCATCAACGGAGCGTTTTAGATTTTAAACGCGGCAAGAGATCTCCATGTGCAATCCACGTGACGAATACCGCTACTCACACTTTTTCCTTTTTATTTCCTCCTATTTTCCATTTTATATAAATAACTAGATTTTACCCCGTGGTACACCATGGGCTAGTATTTTATACGTGTCTTTTATATAAAACTTAAACCGTTATAGTTTATATATATGTACGGGGTTAGAATTTACCCTATGGTACACTATAAGACTATTTTTGTTATTTACTTATATATATAATTTTTTTATGATTTTTATTATAAATAGATTAAATTTCTTGAAAAATATTCAGTTTTCCTAAAATTTAATATAGATTTTAAAAGTGATTATTTACCCATGTTGTAGCAACGGAGTAATATATTTTAAATTTATATGAATGACTGTTTGAGCCTGTCCTACCATATAACCCCGTCTCATGATATTTTATATTTTTAATAAGATTAATGTTTATGATATTTATATTTTAAATTATTTTAAAATTATTATATCTGGTATTAATGTACACCGATGTTTTAGAATAAATTATATTTAATTTATATGATTTTGTATAATAAAATTAAAAAACAATATAAATGTTAGAGTGATATATATATATATATATATATATATATATATTTTCAGTAATTAATAATATTTATTATTGAACTTATGTGGGTTGAATTTGAAAGATAATATGTCTATAATTTATTATAATAATTCTTTCTACTTGTGCGTGATTTTGTAATATGTTAATTATAAAAATGTTCTTAAATTTTCAAAGAAGATAAAATATGGATTCAACAAAATCGACACACAATTAGGAGGATACATAGAAATACAAAGGTAGAAGGCAATATTTGGAATAATTTAAAATAAAAAACATTTGTTTCCTTACGTCTTATGTTTTTTTCTTTTAGACAGAGCTTTCAGTCATGTTTATTTAATATGTCCATATAAATTGTGAGATTATTAAATTTCTTTTAGACAGAACTTTCAGTCATGTTTATTTAATATTAATTTTTAATTCCCATATGTCCATATATATTGTGAGATTATTAAATTTGTCACCGTTTAATGTAGTTGAACCATTTTTTGCAACAAATAATACTATTTTTTTGTTGAATATGTAAGTTAGTAATTTCACAATACTATAATTAATGTATACAATCCTTCATCTTTTACAGCTCGAATAACTTCAATTTTTTTAGAGAATATAAAACCGTAAATATTATATTTTCAAAAAAACAGAAATAAATTAAACTTCTTTAAATGATTAATATTTTACATATATACATCACTTCCTTTCTTCATCTCTTGTAGAAATAGTACTCGATTCCAGTAACGTTAGAGATTAAGTTTTTTACGGTGGAGAATCACTGAAAAACGTGTGCTATTAGGGTTTTTACCAAATATAGATATAGATGTTAATATTGTGGGCTCTTTTAATATGTTGGCCTGAAATTTGAAAATGATTTGTGAGTTTTGGGCGGATTGTTGTATTTTTTATTGTTTACATTATCTCTTTATATATTGTCATAATTTTTTTTTTTATATTTTTCTTTTTTGGATTTGTCGTAATTTATATCTCGTAATGATCATTTTTATACTATTATATATTTGTTTCTGATTTTATGTTCTACATATTTTTTTTGAATTTTCATATGGAACAATTTTTAAATTTAACATATTAGTATAATTTACTTTATATTTAGTTTATTTCATTAATAGTGTTTTTATTTTAATTTTCAATTTTTATAAAATATAGTTAATTTTTTTTATTAGTTTAACATATGTGTTTATTGGAAAAAAATTATTAATTCATATTGGAAACCTATAAAGAAATATTTTTTTGTATTTTTGCCTTTTTATACGTTTTTAAAAAATGATAATTCATGTTTCGGTCCGACCTATCTCCTTTATGTTGGAAAATTTTGTGAGACATAAATTAGATAGAATTATATTCTCAAAATTTCTTACTTTTTGTTCTATTCTCGTTAAATCCCATTATAATTTAGGTTTACATTGTGTAAATATAATCATATATATATATATAGATACATATATATATATTTTTAAAAAAAAAATAATAACATTCACTTAAAATATAAATATATTTGTTAGTATAATCGATAATTAGTAAAAAATTTTAACTTTTGATCAATTAATTTTTTTTTAGTTTTATAATGTATAATATAGAAAAAAACCTTTCATATCCCTTTTTGAAAAGCTTATTTACATAGGTTTAAATCTTAAAATTAAATGATAAAATGGTATAATTAATTTTAAAAATTAAATAATAAAATGAAGTGGATGATGATGTGGCTTAAGGAGAAGAGAGAAAAAGCTAACTTTATATATATAGATTCTCCCAACGAAATTAACAATTTCGTAAATTTTCCTCTCTTGTTTCTACGATATTCAAATATTTACTACAATCAGAAGGACTTACATAATTTAAAAATATGTACTTTTTAGGTTTTTATTGGTTTTTAATCACGAATTTTACAGGAAGATCACCTATCTAGCAACATTCTTTTACCATGTTATCATGTTTATGCCTATTTTTTCAATCTTTATAAAGATTATGTCTGCTAGATTTTACAAGTGATGAACTATATATCTTAGGAAATTAAAAGAAGAGAAAATAAAGGATGAAATAAAACAAAATTGTTTCAATCAAAGAGAACAAGAAATACCTCAGAATTAAATTAAGGCTATTATAATAACGATTAACCATACATACATACAGTTCGGAAATGCGCCCAACAAAGATAAAGCCCATTAATAGCTTCCGAAGGCCCATTCGCTTTACTTATTGACACTAAAATTAGTAGACCAACTCAAAAGTCAAAACAAACACTGATTTGATTAGTAGTAATATTTGACTATTTGTTGTCGGTAATTTTAGCCAATCAATAATGCTTTGACATTTAAATCCGAGCAATTTCGTATTATTATTATTAGCATACGATCGATATCCATGTCGGTCGAAGACTTAAAAGCCAGCTAGAATAATTCCATAATAAAACAACCACCACGCACCTCATCAATTCCAGGCCAACCGAACACGCTATTGCAATTCTCTTTCTTTCTTTTTTTCCTTTCTTTTTTTCTTTCCTCTTTCCTAAATCTAAATTTCCGGTTAATGTAACAGACTGTGTTTTTTTAAGAACCCGCGTTTACCGGCGGCGAAGCAGCTCTTACTCTACAGCCCGTAAAAGTAACTCCACGGAGACGACGAGATCTACGATTTGGCGACTTCGCCGAAGAAGATACCTGAGAGCTGGATTCAGCTATTCATACTCCTTCTTCTCCAGATCCATGATTTTTTTTCTTTAGCTCTTTCTCTCTCACCTGGTTCGTTTATCTTTTTCCCTGATTCGATATGTTTCCTTTATTTATTTGTGTCACGTTCTGAGTTTTTTCTTTCTTCTATTATTTAGATTTTCTCTATTCGTCGCAACGTGGTGAATTGGATAATTCAGATTTACTTAGCTTGTAGGTGATTTCTCTACGTATTAATCTTATGTGAAAGATCCAAGCTTGTTTGTTTGTAATGCCTAATGATTCTTTATCTCGTCTTCAAAATTGTTGAAAACCTCGTCTCTTTTTTTTTGTTGTCCCTCACCTCATTGTGGCTTCAAGGAAAATGGGTTGTGAAATTTGGCAATGGCACAAGTTAGATATTTATTGATGGTTTTGGTATCTCTTATCTGCAACTGTAATTCTCGTCGAAGCTTTTGGTTTTCCATATGAACTAATAACACCACGCATTTGTGTTTTTCACAATTTACATTTTACAATATCAACCCATCTCAATCTGCAAGCGTATTTTCTTGAAGACCTCGTGCAGTTATGTGTAGATGAATACTAACTCATTTTTCATTTCATGTAGGTGTTAAGCTAGTAAAAAGGTCGGTCTTTTAGAAGCTATGGTTCTTGATGGGATTGTATCATCACCATTACGGAGGCCACATGCGCTAAAGAAGCAATGGGATGACTTGGGTAGCTGCTCAACTGTTGTTCGGAGGCATCGCTTTCTTTTGACTGCGATGGTTCTTTTGGCATTCCTCTGCACCATTTATATCTATTTTGCCGTCACACTTGGCGCTAGGCACTTGTCCTGTTCAGGGATGACTGGAAAGGAGAAGGCAATGTGTCAGCTGGAACATGTCCAAGCCAGTTTCTCCAAAGGAAAACTGAAATTCTTCTAGAGTGTCAGCCAAAGCTGACTGCATTGTTAACATTTGTTTTCATTTCTCTCTCTCTCTCTCTCTCTATTCCATTGTGTGTGTAACGGCCTAGCTATCCTACTCTTACCTTATTCTACTTGGATTATGTCCCAAGCAAGATTCACAATTATTGTACAAATATGAATCTTCTGTAATGGAATGTATGCGACAAGTTTTTGGCAATTGTATTTTATCTTTGCCATCATCTTACCTTGGATTAATGAAGAGTGGAACATTAGAAACCTTTGTTATCAAACGAATGAACAATACTTTTTTTGTACATTTGCAGTGCCATCATCACCATGTTTGTTGAGGAACCAGAGGTTCAACATCTAACTTGGGCGATAAATCAAAGAGGGAAGCTGGAGCAGTCATGTCGACGCTCCAAGACTCATCCATGTTGATTTCCATGGCAGTTTCTTCTTCTTCTTCCTCCTCTTCGATATGTACCTCCAAATCTTCAGGTGATGAACGGATCCTCTCGAGCTCAATCGAAACCTCTCTCATATTTGGCCGTTTCTTCCCTTTTAGACTTAAACACCTTCTGGCCAGTTTCGCCACTGCCATCACATATATAGCCTTGCAATCTTCTTTGATTCGAGAATCAACAATATCCAAAATTCTGTTCTGTTTCATGGCCTCAATGAAATGAGATGCAAGCCCCATGTTTTCTTCAGGCCGCATAACAGAAAATGGCTTTTCTCCGGTTATGAGTTCAACCAAGACAACCCCAAAACTATAAACATCACTTTTATCCGTAAACTGGCTAGTTTGAAAGTACTCTGGATCCAAATATCCAAAAGTACCTGCAACTAGAGTTGTCAAGTGAGTTTGATCTACGTTTATAGATCGTGAAGTCCCGAAATCCGATACCTTGGCTCTATACTTCTCATCCAAAAGTATGTTTGTGGTCTTGACATCTCTGTGATAGACCGGTGTTGGGTAGAAGTGTGAAAGGTTTACTCAAACTGGGTCGCTTCCGGTTTAGTGAAGCCAAAAACAAAAAGTAAGGTTGTTTTGACGGATATTGTAATCTTTCTATAAATTAATTGGGCACTTTTTTTTTACGCAGAGTCACGGAGAGAGAGAGATAGCTATGGCGGAGGAGCACTTTGACGTTCTGACTAAATCCGGTGAAAAGACCGGTGTTTCCAAACCCAGGCATGTTTATTGTTCATGTGCTTTCCCTTTCTTGTTTGATGAAAATATACCCAGAAATCGGATTCGTGTATTGAGTTGTGATTTTGACTGACTCAAACAACTCTTGTTTATACAGTGAAATTATAAGTCCTTGCTTCGTTGACCCATCGACTGAACAAATTGAGTTGTTTTATTCCCCAGTGAATTACATCAAATGCCAATTATTGTCAACCTCAATTTGTGTCTGTTTTGTCTACTTGTAGGGGAGAGATTCACCGAGACGGAGATTACCATCGTGCAGTTCATGTCTGGATCTTTGTGGAGAGCACTCAACAACTCCTTCTCCAACTCCGAGCTGATGACAAAGATTCATGGCCTGGACTATGGGACATTTCTAGTGCTGGCCATATCACAGCTGGTGATCCTTCTCTTTTATCGGCCCAGTAAGTCTGACCTATTCCTGCATTCGCTTTGTTTTTCTTTTCTTTTTTTACTCAAGTTGCTGTCCCAATTGTCTAGGCGAGAGCTCGAGGAAGAGCTTGGTGTTAAACTCCCAAAAGATGCCTTTGAAAAGATATTCGTCTTTCTGCAAGAATGGTGTGTACATTCTATTTCTTCGCCTATGTGTTACATATTCTCTCTCTCTCTCTCTCTCTTTCTCTGTCTTTTCAATCTTTTGTTTCAAGACTCCGTTTGTTGCTGAAAGTGTTTAGCGTGATTGGTATGCTCAGTGCCTCTGGAACCTAGCTTGGTCTCTCTGATCTAGATATGCACTGTGATTTATTACTCTCGAATATCACCGAGATCCTTATCAGACAATGTGTTGCTTTTCTTTTGTGTGCTTTTACAGTGTCACAAACAATGGAAAGTTCATAAATAATGAGTTCAATGATGTGTATCTTGTTACAATTCTGCATCCAATTCCATTAGAAGCCTTTACACTTCAAGTAAGAATTCTTCCTTTCCAGCGCTTCAAGTTTAATTTGTATATGCTACTTGGATTCTTAAGTAACCTGTCCAATTTTCTTTTTCTCTTTTATGTTAGGTAGAGGAAGTCTCTGCTGTAAAATACATTCCTTACGAAGAGTACAGAAACTTTCTGGCTAAGGAAGATCCTGCTTATGTGCCATATGATGTAAATGGAGAGTATGGAAAACTATTTGACATAATCAGACAGAGGTATGTTACGCTTATTGGTCTTTCCCAGGTTATTTCTTTTTTCCGTTTGTGCTCATTTCTGATATATTCCATGATATTGAAGAAAAATAATGAGAAGATTTTTTGTAAGCTGCTGGTTTTATATGGAAATGCCTATCTTACATACAGTGTTTCTTTTGAGTTTGCTGAAGGTGCCAAGTGAACACTGAGGCTCGTAAACTATCTCTGCAAAAGCAACTTCAGAGATATTCCCCTGTCACCCTTGAAGCAAAAGTAACAATTTGTCACATATGTTATTGTGATCTCTTTGTTTCTTTTGTACCAAATAAATTGTATTGTTTTAGTCCATGAAACAAATTTGCATTTTGAGACACCTTTCATTTTTATGCAGTTGACAGAACTCTCTGAAAGAGATCAGAAAGCGTTGGGGCTGATTGTGAAGGCTGCAAGAATTATGGACGATATATTTTTTGAGCAGGTTGTGTGGATCTGTAGTCCGAAATTTCTTTCTTTGGGCTGTAGGCATAAAATCTCATGACTGATCATAAACTTAATTGGATAACTCTATCAGGTTTGGAACAGCAATCCAGCTCTAAGAGATTGGCTGAAGGATCATGCCAATGCATCAGAACTGGACAAATTAAAATGGGAATACTTCCTCATCAACAAAAGTCCATGGTGATTATCATCAAACTGGCTTTGTTCTAAAATCTAAATTCTTGGGAAGGGGTTGGATTCATCAAAGAAACTGGTGCAGAATTTAGTATTTTGTTAATAAAAGATGTTGTCTTGAACATAATTGTTAACATATCGTCACTGGTGTGTAAGCCTCATTATGATTAGGAGAGATAAGTCCAAGGGATTGATGTTTCGTTTATTATTTGCAGGTCGTCTCTTGATGAAAATGCAGCATTTTTGAGTACGGCAGATTCAGCTGTAAAGTTGCTTCCTGAAGGAACAAAATCCGTTGCTGGCTGGAAGGGTCTTGAATATAGAGCAGCCTTTCCAGTTACTAAACCACCTGGTTCTAATTTCTATCCTCCTGATATGGATAAAACGGTACCCACACGTATTTAATGTTTCTTTTTCATTTTCTGGTCTGTTTCCATGCCAACTGTTAGTAATGACTTTCTAAAATATATAGGAGTTCACCTTATGGCTCAATGGTCTTACGGAAGAGCAAAAACATGCTGCAACAGGATTTTTCAGTGTTATAAGAAGGCAAAGTGAATCTAATCTAGCTGATCATCTTGTCAGCAGCACAAAGAAACTAGACACTGATTCCGATCTGTATAGTATTCCTTATTCAGAAGCTTATGGACCTTTCCTCAAGAAAGCTTCTGAACTTTTGCACAAAGCTGGGGACTTGGTCAGTTCGCCAAGGTATAGTTAATATAAAGTTCCTTACCTTACCATATAAAAGGTATTCTCCCGTTCGAGTGGCTTACTATATAAAAGTACTTAACTATGATTTCCCATAGTTTGAAGAAGCTACTGCACAGCAAAGCTGAAGCCTTCCTTTCAAATGAGTACTATGAGTCAGACATCGCATGGATGGACTTGGTAACTCTTTTCAGCCCACTCATAGTCTTGTAAAATTCTGTGTTTTTCCTTTGTTATAAAAGAGGATAGGTTTTGTAAGACTAGCTCTGTCTATTTTAATAATTCCCAATTTCGCTTTACAATTATTATCAGTCTTGCACCATAGTTTTGAGTCTCTCTTTTTATATCGTCTTATCATTTTTTGTAGGATTCAAAGTTGGATATTACCATTGGTCCATATGAGACATATGAGGATGAAATCTTTGGGTACAAGGTAAGAATTTACATAAAGATGTGCCTTTGAAGTGATGTTCTTATGTTGATGCTTGCGATACTCAGTTTTGCAGTCGTACATTAACCGTCATGAAATGCAACTCCTTTTTACCATTTAGTCTTAATCTATGATAGGTTCGTTGCATTCGATTTCTATCTAATCTGTATTTGTTTTTCATCTAAGGCTACCTTTGAAACCTTCATCGGTATTCGAGATGATAAAGCCACAGCTGATCTGAAACTCTTTGGTGACAATCTCAAGGTACTTTTTGCAGCTGCGTCAATCAAAGTTGGATTTGTTCACGTTTTCTATTTTCTATTCTCTAAGATCGTTTTTGTTTTTCAACTTTCTGGTAGCTATTGGAAGATAATCTCCCACTTGACAGCGTATACAAATCGAAAGATGTATCTGCTGCTCCTATTCGGGTCATCCAGTTAATTTACAATTCCGGAGTAAGTTCCCCTCAGCATCCATCTGAGAGAGGGAAGGGAAAGAAATGTATTGCATTGATTTATGGTTTGCTTGTTTCTTGATTGTGACAGGACGTGAGGGGTCCTCAGACAGTTGCTTACAATTTGCCGAACGATGAGAAAATCGTCAAATATAGAGGAACATCAATGGTTATGTTGAAAAACATCCAAGAAGCAAAGTAATGTTCCTTCTTTCTCCATATGTCATTTATAAACGGTATCACAATTACTTCTAACTATCGCCTTTTTCTTTTCCAGGTTTGAACATATTCTAAAGCCTATAGCTGAAATCACCATCAGCAAGGAACAGCGAGGACTAGTTGATTTTAATTCTTTCTTCACTCACACCATCTGCCATGAATGTTGCCATGGCATTGGTCCTCATACGATAACACTTCCTGATGGCCAAACGTCTACAGTGAGAAAGGTTTTACTTCTTTTGCAAGAATCCAGACATCTAACTAGAGTCTTTGTCCTGCTTTCGCATACCAAGCACGAAACAACTTTGAACCTTTACCTTTTTCGTTTCCCTTGTCTTTTACATTTGGTCTAGGAACTGCAAGAAGTCCATTCTGCAATGGAAGAAGCAAAGGCAGATATAGTTGGTCTTTGGGCACTAAAGTTTCTCATCACCAAGGTCAATGATCAACTTGACTAGTAACTTTATTCATCTAATTCCAATTTCATAACCTTGATTTATCTCAGAAACAAATTCTCTGGAATCCGTTGTCTACTCAATTGATCCAAAGTGTTTTCGGTTCTGTTTCTGTTATGGATACAACAGGGTTTGCTTTCCAAGAGTATGGTAGAGAGTATGTATGTTTCTTTCCTTGCTGGATGCTTTCGATCCATCCGGTTTGGTCTCACAGAAGCTCATGGGTAATGAATGAGATAGAGAACCTCTGCCTTAGATAGTCCACACTTTATGTAAAGATCCTGACATTATTGTCTCTATTGGCTTCAGAAAAGGGCAAGCATTGCAGTTCAACTGGTTATATGAGAAAGGAGCCTTTGTTTTCCACAAGGACTCGACCTTTTCGGTTGATTTCGCTAAGGTACCCCATCCAAGTTCTTGTTTCTTCCATGAAGAAATTTGTGATGCGACATAAACTGTCCTGAAACTTTATCTTTTTTTTGCATCTATAAAGGTCGAAGGTGCAGTTGAGAGTCTGAGCCATGAGATACTAACCATCCAAGGAAAAGGTGACAAAAACGCAGCAACATTGCTTCTGAATAAGTACTGCAGCATCACCGGACCATTGAAAAAAGCTCTGGAGAATCTCGAAAGCGTTAAGGTACAGTATCTCATCATGAAAAACCAAAACCTAAATTGAGTTTAAAAAATCCACATGATAGAATGATCTGTGTTCCATGGTTTGTTTGTGTGTGTTTAGGTACCAGTGGATATATCTCCAACATTTCCATTAGCAGATGCATTGCTGAATTGAGAGATTTGTCTCAAGCAATGTTTCAGTTTCGCCTGAGTCTACGGTTTTGCAAATAAGAACTCAGATGATCCATCATAACCAACTTCTGAACTTGAAGAGAGTTATCTGAATAAGGTGTTGTGTTCTTATGCTGACAAAGTTGCTACCTTTAAATCATGATCCATTTGAATGTTGATGATTCCATTGAATAAAGTTTGAGCGTTTTGTGATAGAATCATCACTAAGAAATAATGTTCGATGCATTATAGATGATAAAAACAAACACTTGATCAAGGTCCATAATCAAACTCGTTATAGAAACTAGGATTCATGAATGGATTAAAACCGCCGAATATGACGTCTTCCTCCGTCGCTGGCTTGCCGGAATCTTGACACCCAAAATACGTCTGGATATCGTCGGGGAAGCTCCGGCGAGGTGGAATAGCTTCCGGCGGTGTAGATGGTTCGGATATCTCCTCTGATGTCGGAGATCCGTTATCGGGCTCGTGATCAGGTTTTCGAATCGGCTTGGAATCGGAATCGGAATCGGGTTTATCCGGGATATGATGATTTGCGGCGGCGCTAGGGTTTAGATAACGGCTGACGTCGAAATTGGTAACGGCGTGAAGTCCACGGTACTCTATTGCCGCGATGTCGTAGGCGATTGCTGCTTCTTCTTGCGTGGCTGCACGTGAGCAGGACAGGGTTTCCAAATATTACAAATCGAAAAACATTTGTGTATAATTTCATAATTTCACAGAACTTCCATCCCATTAGTATAAATATTGTTTTTAATCAAATGTATCAAGTGGATATCTGTCACGCATTTGTTGTCTAATATAGTAATATATGCATGTTATGTGATATGTCATATGTACAGAAATATACATGTCATGTGATCTATATATATGTGTAATCAAATAAATGTTGTCCGTGGCATTGCATATGTGATTTTTAATACTTGAAACAAATAAAATTTGAGACATAGGGGACACATAGCCTGATTATAATTTGTATAATATCATATCATAATTCGGGATTAAATTTGGTAACGTACATACATAATTACATATATAGATGAGTTGCACACGACAAAAATCATAATACAATAGTTGGGAAATATATTGTATGATATAATATCGTAGTGGTACTTAAGCCATATTTTAGTTTAAAATTTGCTAAGATATGTTTTTATATAAAAAATAATTTTAGCAAATCTTAAGTTAAGATATGCCTTAAAATACCACCTATACCATTGACCTTAACTCTTAAGGATTGAAATTGTCATTATAAAAGTTTGGATGAATATTAATGGCAGTATTTTAAACTAAGATTTTCTTTAAGAAAGTATTTAAGGAAAAACTTAGAAAGTGAACACAAAAACAATAAATATAGCTAGAGAGTAAGTGTTAGATAGGGGTTTGGTGATGTAGCTAGTTCCCAACCAACAAGATTTGATTACTACCCTCTCCCTCTCTCTCTCTCTTGAAGGTTCACAAAACACTTTAAGTCCACATCCCAAGCATATACATATATATTCAATCAATAGTATATATTCTTTTGAAAATTTCCATGAGATCTAACATGTGTGTGACTTTAAATTTCGTTTCTTGGAGTTGTTGACAAGAAAAAGAAGAAAAAAACTAATCTTAAGAGTTGTTCGTTTGACGACGTTCATGCATAACGTGACATATACAGATATTGGTTTGTTTCATACAATTTATTAATTATACTTTTTTATATATATATATATGCATAATCTAAATATATAATCTGAAATGATCATATGTCACCTGTCTACTAAATGTCCCACTTAGCAGGAGAACAGATAATAACTCCAATTTTTCTATTAATCCCAAACTCTAAGATTTGAATTTGTTTGTGCTAAAGTGGGAAATTTACACATTAAATATATATAAAAAGTAAAGATGAAAAAGGATTAAGTACCGTATGTGCCAAGGTATAGATATTTATTACCAAACACCCTTCCAATTCTAGCTTCCCATCTTCCATTATGGTGATGCCTGCAAAGTGCAAATTCATGGTTCAACAACTTATCTATATTCTCCTACACTCCTTTTTTATTTTTTTTCCTTTTTTCATTTGGCAACTTCTAAAATCTTATAATATACAGTATATAGTAGATTAGTTAACTAGCCTGATAGGACTATATTTATATATATGTATTGAAAGGTTTTATTATTTACCTTGCAACTCCTCTGTATTTTGATACACCGCGAGAAAACCCACTACTTTTTCTACATATAAAAATATGTACGGTGAGTATAAATATAATCATCAATTTGGTGTATAGTTTGAACGCTTGAATGAATATAGTTAAATATATACCTTCTCAATGATCCAATATACTCTTCCTTGGAGTGGCCTTCCATTTCTTTGATATCATCTTCATAAGTAGGCAACTATATAAAGAAATCAACCAATTAATAATTAAACACACAAGTTTTAACAGTCCAATCCCTTTACTATTTTGTTTACCAAAACATTTTGATGGACGTCCTGCACTACAATTTTACAAATTACAAGTGGACACACATGCATGTTCTTGTTTCTCGTGCTCTACGAACTAGTAGGCGAGAAGATTGTGTGGCAAACAAAAAACAAAGATCATAACAAAAGCATATGTTACATTGTAAGAAAGAAAAAATAATTAACAGTAATATTTGTATGTGGATTTTTGGAAAAAAAAAAAACATACAGGGAAGTTCAAGAGTGTGTCTCGTCCCCAGTACTTCAATGCGGCCAAGTCGTAGGCACGTGCTGCTGCTTCTTCTTCGTCGTAAGCCCCTATCCATTTAACCCCATGTATATTATTAATTTTATAAGAACAATAAGATAGGGTTTCTAATTATTTTAATATATTGTAAGTAATTAGAAAATGACAAATTAATATGAATTGCGTTTGGACCCCAAAAAAGAAGAAGAGAACAGCTAATAATAAACCGGCTCTACCAATTTCGGTGGAATTCATTCTTTTAAAAATTTGCAACCATATCACACATGCATATGTGGACTTTTTTCATCACTTTGTCGAATAGTATTTAAAAGAAAAAGTGACAAAAAAAAAAAAGGAAAGAGTACAATACTTTATAAATTATGTATTTTCTTCAACTTTTTATATTAAAATGATATGGATATTGCCTATTATAAAAAATAAAAAAAAAGAGAGAAGCTCACCTAGATAAACTGCACTTGATGAGTCAGCATTTATTCATCATCCATTGCACATCACCATCATAAAAAATACCACACATTAAACAAAACAAAAAAAAGAAGGAGAGAAATCAAGAACAGTGAAGGACAAAGTCTGTCCTGAGAAAAAGGAGTTTCCGAACTAATCGGAATCTAGCTGAGACCGAAAAAAATATCGAACAAACTCTCTTGATACGTGTAACACAGAGGCATATGTGGTACCTTGTCGACCTTTCTTGGTCTGAGTATCGTTCCAGCTGTTCTTATCCCACAAATGTGCTTCGTATCTCCCCGTCCATCTATGCCTGTTCCACCGGGAAAACATCACAAATGACAATGAACTGCCCAAAAAGATAAGGAAATAAGGGAAGGTGTTTCTGAAAGTACTGGGGGGAGACCTTGTGACGCCTCTAAAGGAGGAGCTGCGTTGGGGAGGAGTGTTTTGTGGCGGCGACTTACGTTTGCGTTTGGATTTAAAGGCAATGGACGCAGTCTCAGACTCAGACGCTGTTTTATCCCCGATTTCTTCCATTGTTTTCTTGCTCCGACGTGAGACTTTTGCCATTACCGGTGAATGAGAGAAATAATAATAATAAAGGGATGAGATACTTTGAAAATGAGAGAAAGATAGTTGCAGATGGTTGAGTATTTATATTATTAATCCATCACAGATTCTTCTTCTTTTTTTCGATTTCTTTTTTCTTTTTTCTTTTTTCATATATATGTAAATCAATAACAGTTTTGGTTTAATTATAGATTCTCAGCCGACTAATAAATCAAGTTTGTAAAATATCGGAATAATTTTCGCAAGTTGCCAAATATTATTTTAGACAAATTTACAGATTCACTTTAAAAATATATAAAAAGTTGTACAGATGGAGTAAGTGTGATGATACCATCAAACCATGCACCAAGCTATCTCTTGTGTATGTATTTTGTAGTCCACTGTCACGTATTCTTATAATTGGATTCATATATGCTACCATTGTTGCACTCTTGTTATTTAAGATTGAACAACTTCTCTAAATGGGAATGAACCATTTTAAAAGTTGATTATGAATGACCAGCAAAAATAAAAATCGACATCTTCTCATAAAATCGAAGTAGGACACGTGGAAGAGCAAAAGAAAATTGGAGATAGTAGGGAAGCTTAAATAGGATGCCTCAAAGATTTATGGCTTCTTGGTCGGCCCATGAGAGATGTGATGATGCCAACAACATAGCAAGAAACTTTGTTATCTTTTTCTCTTTTACTGTATATATACGTGTGTCTCCTCCCAATAAATTTTAGCAATTCGTAAACAAAGATGATGGTTTTGATCGATCGTAACAGCAACACACAAATAGAAGAATTTATTATGGGACAAAAAAACAAAAATATATATCAAATAAAAAGATATGAATTACATATGTAACATAATAATAATAACTAGTCATAACTTCCAAACCATTATCTGCTTTCTTAATGTTATGTATGAAATAAAAGTCATGAATTTATTAAAGATATAATAATGTGTCTGTCTACTACTTACCTGCAACTCAAATTTAATTGCAGGTGGAAGGAGAGTAGAGTTGTCAACAATTCTGGTACTTGTTTGCCAATTAATTAGCGTCCAATTTTACCAACTAAAAGCAAGCACCATCCTTGGAATAAAATTGCATATACTGTATATGGTTATTAGTGACCGGTGAAAAATCTGTGTGATTAATTGTGATATTTGCCCTTCGTATCAGAAAGTTGCAAAAGAGATAATTAGATAAAAAAAATCATCGGTATTACAGCTTCAAAAAACTGAATGGACAAAAGATGAACAAAACAAAGGCCTTGAGTCCTTTGACTAGTGACCAGTTTTATAATCCTCTAAAAACAAGTATCCATCCAATCAAAAGATAACAACGAACAATGTTTGTCTGGCGGATCGGGTCAAATCCAATTCTGAAAGCTTTTTTTTTTGTTTTTTTTTTTTTTTTGGGCCGTAAAGCCCAATAAAGTCTATCAGACTGATTGACCATTGTTGTTTTAACTGAGTTGAGAAGTTTCATATCATAATTCATAGAATCGTTTGTAAGCGTAGCTCTCGTCTTTGGACGTTGGACTCAGACTCAGAGCTTCAAATTCCAAAACTTACCCTCTGTGATTTCGTCATCAAACGAATAATAAGTACAGTAGTTATATAACCACTTTAGTCAAGATCCCTTGTTCCTCAATTAATCCCAAAAAGATATAATAATGGCGAATCGATCGGGCGAAGCGGAGCACGAGACTGCTTCTCGGCGAAATCAACAAGACAAGAGCAAAGCAGGGATTTTGGATCTGCTGTTGAAGCGGCCTCTACGGTGGCTAAGAATGCTCATTGAGGAGCTTCACTGGAGCTTCTTCTTCGGTGTTATTATCGTCTATGGTGTTAGCCAAGGCCTTGGTAAAGGTCTCAGCAAAGTCAGCACTCAGTACTACTTTAAAGACGAGCAGAAGATACAACCCTCTCAAGCTCAGATTTACGTTGGTCTCATTCAGATTCCTTGGATCATTAAGCCTCTCTGGGGACTATTGACTGATGTTGTCCCTGTTTTCGGTTATAGGAGACGACCCTATTTCATATTCGCCGGTAAATTCAAGCTTCAAAGTTTGTTTCTTTGCTTTCTTGATAAATGAAAGATGTAACTTTTTTTATTTCTTCATTGTAGGTTTCCTTGCTATGATCTCCATGATGGTGTTATGGCTACACACGAATCTGCATCTTGCACTGGCTTTGTCCTGTCTTGTGGCAGGAAGTGCTGGAGTTGCTATAGCAGATGTAACCATTGATGCTTGTGTAACCCAATGTAGCATAAGCCATCCTACGCTTGCTGCAGATATGCAAAGTTTGTGTGGTTTAAGCTCTTCGATTGGATCCTTGGTTGGCTTCTCCCTTAGCGGCGTTTTGGTGCACTTGTTTGGGTCCAAGGTAGGCTCTTTGAAGCTCTCTTTGAACTCAAAGAGTTTAATTGTTAATGTCGCCTCTTACGCCAGTTTACACGAGAAGTAAGTGTTTTTTATTTTTCTTGGCAGGGTGTGTATGGTTTACTTGGTTTGACTGCAGGGTTGGTTGTTGTGGTGGGAATGGTTCTGAAAGAATCTCCTTCTCGCAGCTTAGGTCGCAAGCATGTACGTTTTTGCTACACTTTGGCCCAACCATATTCTATAAATTAAACTAGTATGTAATCGAGTAACTTTTCTTTCAGGCGAACGAGAAGTTTCTCGATGCTGGAAGCGCAATATGGAAAACCTTTCAATATGGTGAGGTGTGGCGACCATGCTTGTTCATGCTATTGTCAGCTGCAGTGAGCTTGCACATTCATGAAGGCATGTTCTATTGGTACACAGATTCAAAGGATGGCCCTTCCTTTTCAAAGGTTGCATAAATTCTAACACAAATAGAGCTGGATTTTACCTTCCCTGCCCTTACTTCAAACATTTTGGAACTCTATGTAATGTTTTTGGCTAAGGTAGTTATTTTATGTTCCTTAGGAAGCTGTTGGATCCATTATGTCGTTTGGTGCAATTGGCTCTCTTGTGGGCATACTTCTCTATCAGAACTTTCTGAAGAACTTCCCTTTCCGGAATGTCGTCTTCTGGGCACTTTCCCTATCTGTCCTGTCTGGATTTCTGGATTTGATCCTGGTGCTGCGCATAAATCTGAAGCTTGGTCTCCCTGATTACTTCTTCATTGTGGTAGACGAGTTAGTCTCACATATGATAAGTAGGATCAAGTGGTTACCCTTACTTGTTCTGAGTTCCAAGCTCTGCCCTGCCGGTATGGAAGGAACTTTCTTTGCTTTGCTTATGTCGATTGAACACGTAGGACACCTAGCGTCGTCATGGGGAGGAGGAGTATTACTCCATGCCCTGAAAGTTACGCGTACTCAGTTTGATAATCTCTGGTTGGCTATTGTAATCAGGAGTTTATTAAGAGTAATTCCAATCGGATTGGTATTTTTGATACCAAATGTTGATTCAAACTCAACCATTCTCCCAGCTGAGATGTTAACAAACAGAAGAAGTGAAGGTGTTGATACCGAGAAGATAGAGATGACTGCTTTGATCGGTGATGAAGCTTGAGTTGAATCATTTTTGTTTTCAGGTACAGGAACATCATATTCTAGAGAAAACCTACATGAACATTAGGTATTGCTGTTAATTTAAGAAATTTCTCGAGTTGTGTCTCTTTATTCATTGTTTATTCATGTGGTTTACATCATTTTCCTTGCTCAGAAGATCGTTAAACAGATTTTCTTACAATTCATCATAAGCTCTACCGCTGTACGGATACATACATAAATACTTATAAGAATAGTGGGAGAATTCAAATTGGCTTTTCATGTTATATAAGGGAACACAAAGGAGTTTATAAGTTATGGGGTAGTCAGCCGATACTGCAGTTTTCTCTTGCAATTCCAAGACTCTCTTGTTTGGTATCATATATTACTCTCTGGTTTTTCTGCTGGTAATTTCCTATGATCCCGACTTCATTTTCATATGACAGACTTGCCAAGGCCAAGCAAACCAGAGACGCGTCAGGCTTGACAAAGTAGAACACACCAGTGACATCCACTTCGAGCTCAGTGTTACCTTCGAAGATCATTTTGATAGTGGGAATGCTAATGTCTTCATAACTTGTGAGGTTAAAGCAAGTGTCTAAGATTGAATAGCTAGGAGCTGAAGGAAACCCGGAAAACTGTTTAAGAAACTCTGTTTTCACAGCTTTGTAAATGGAAGGTGGCAATCTCGTGATAACAGTTCCTGAATCGATTAGAATCCCTCTGCCAAAGCTTGTTGTTTCCAGCTCCACGCCACCAATGCTAGCACCGGTGAGATTCAGAATGTAAAAGGAACTAAGCCGAGGGTTTTGAACTAACGGCGTGTAGGAAACTGAAGTTAAGTTCTTGTACACAGAGGAATCGTTACCGAAAGACAAAGAACCAGAAGCTCCATCCTCAAGAGAAGGTAAACAGTATGAGAAAACTCCGTTGAAATTTTTCAAAGTTTGGGAGACTAAAGAGACTGAGCTTCTTCCCAAACCCATTAAACCAGAGGCTCCCCCAAAGAGGCCTTTGTTGTTTCGACCACAACCAAAGACAAAGTTTTCGAGCTTTGAGTCGCCCAATAGGATGCTTTCACTTGCCAAGTCTCCTCGAGTGTATGATCCATCTCCATAGCTGACAACGTACTCACAAGTTGTCTTTGGGACACCGTTGTTACCTCCACAAGGGCCTGAATTGCCGGTAGCTGCTACAAGGTCCTGACAAGTGGATGAGTTACAGAACACCGTCTTGTAAGAAGATGAGACTGATGGGTCATACAAAGGACCTTGTTGGTTGTAACAGGATCTGCAAGGCTGGCATTGGACCCAAGTCAAGTCACTTCCAGTGTCAACGATCAAAGTCATGTTTTTCCCTCCTAATCCAACTGTTACGATGTAGTTCAATGTCTGAAGTTTTATCCCTGAGGTTAACGGAAGCTGAGTCTGGGAAACAGATTGTTCAGTGGTGCTTGAGGTCATTGCTTTGATTCTGAGTTGAAGTGACTGAACTCGAATATTATCCAAAAATAAGGTTCTTCTCAGCTTCTTATCCCAATCTATAGACTCTCCTGAGCAAAGTTGTCTATGTTTCATCTCCAGTGTAGTCGATGCTCTTCCGTTTCCTAAGTTTTCAAAAAAAAATCATCAATTTTTTTATAAAGTAAACAGAATGAATCATCATTGTCTCTTTTACAATAAAAATATAACACAAAGAGAGAAAAGAAAAGAGTCAACAAGAAGAGATTAAAAAAAAACAGAGGTTTAGTAGTGTGTGTGTTACAGTGAGAGAGTATGCGACGAATGCTCTGGATATACAAAGATATGTGATAGATGAGTTGTCTTCCATGGAGGAAAGTAAAGAAGCTCAAGATTCTATAAGTAAAGCATTAGAATAAATAGCAATACTAATCCCAATTCGAGGAAAAAGGATATTATAAAGTAGTGTTAAAAAAGCTAATGACTTTAATTAAGAGGTTTATACAAAATTTGAGACTTTTGCTAAATGAATGTCACCTTAAATCACGCCATTGTATTGTTTAAACTAAAGTAAAAAGGAAAAGTATTCACAAGTCTCGCAACTCTCTCTGGTTTTGATCTCTATGGTTGGTGAGCGTACGTACGTTTAAGGAAGAAAGAAAAAAACATACCAAGAGTGGTGGGAGAGAAACAACAAGTCGAAGAAGCTTTGTAAGATGAATGCCTGGGAGACCAGATGTTGTTGTGTACAGAGAGAGTCTTCTTGTCGTGGACGCCATAAATAACAGCAGACGACGATAGAAGGAGAAGAAGAGGAAGAAGAAGCAAAGGAGGAAGAGAAGTTGCTTTATTCTTCAACATTCTGGCAATTAAGGCCGGAGAGAATCGTGAGAGAGAACTCAGAGACGAGAGGAGAAAGGAGAGATTCTTGGGGAAGTTACACGTTTGGAGGTAGTGAAGAGAACAAAAGAGCAATGGGCTGGCGAGAGAGACAGAGAAGAAAGTGCCTCTAAACACCAAATCCAAAATAATTAGGACCCCACTTTTTTAATTTTTGTGTTGCATGAGCAAATATTATATTATATTGATTGGGGATTCACGTGATTTACTGCACCTAAAGATTACAATTTTTTTTTTTACTTTTGTCTTTTGGTTGATGAAAAAGAAACTCAATATGTAGTAGTACATATGTGGATGGATAATACTTGTAACTTGTAAGTGGAGAGTGTTTCAATCTACCGCCTGTAATTAATAATCTTTATCTGCGCACTCTTCTTGTAATTAACAAACGAGTTATACTGATACAGTCAGTATTGCCAAATTTGCTTGGCTTAATTACTGTTAGTTACAAGAGAGAATCCTTATTATACACAATACCATATTCTGTCGACAAAAAAAAAAAAAAAAAAAAAAAACACAATACCATATTCTTCTTCTACTGTATTTACCAAATAGAACGAGTCTTATAATACCAAAACATACGAAGACTACTTAAAAACAAATGATTAATCTTGGCAGCTGAAAGAAACATGCCTTGTGGTTGCGTACGGTTTTATTATACTAATAGGTTTGAACCCGCGGTACACCGCGGGACTATATATATATATATAATTTTTTTTAAAATACTAATTTAATTCTTATAAATTTGTATATGAGTACAGTTTGCATTTGGTTGAAGTAAACATATTATGTTAATTAACATACGTCACGTCCTTGTCGAGTGTCTCCATCTCTCCTCTGTGAACCTTCATCACGTATCTTCTACGGTCGTCTCTGCAACCAGCTTCAGCTCCAAATGTGGTAATGTAAATTGGGATCTAATAATACTTTAGTTTTTGATTCCAACCCAACTCTTTGTTAACAGAAGATATCCTCCGTGTAGTTTATTTTTTTTGTGGTGTCTTTGGGGAATCACACCCACATGAATCGGTCTATACACTCATCGATGGAAAGGTAAGCATAAATAAATATCTTTTTTAAATCAAATGGTTTTTTTTTTATTCATTGAATACGACCTGGTTTAGATCGATGACATGTAATATCTAAGTCATTATCAACAAAACTATTATGCTGAAAACAGGTCGTAATATCTGTACTGTACTGCTTATGCTGAGCTATATATAATTGAGAGATTTTTGCTTCCGGGCAAGTGAAGTCAAGTATGATCAACATCGCAAAAAAGGTTAGATCATCCTATCTTATTGTTATACAAATAAATTTCATTATAAAACACCACTGTATTGCCTGAATTTAAACATCTGAATCAAATTGACAAATGGTTACTACCTTAGATTTTTGATAAAATTGACAAAAACCATGCAATTTGTTCATTGTTACTAATATCTGAAATATCCTGAAATGCTGAATCCAGCTTTCCTCTCCATTCACCTTTTCAATCTTAAATTTGTTCACTTCATTCATCATTTCAGCATTGCTTAGTTTTTCTTTCTTAATCTTAACAACACTAAATTATAGCATCATGACAAAGCTTCTCTGTTGTCGAGGAGTGATCAGCTAGAGAATTTTCTGTAGACGTGTTTAAAGAGTTTAAACCAATTTAAGTAAACCCTCATCAAATGACCCGTTGGAAGCTTTAACGATCCATGCAGATTATTGTTTGCTGGGGATCCAAAAATCTCTGAAAGCATCAACTTCATCTTACCAGTTCCATCAATAACTTGCACATGAAGCTTTATACCTTTTCAAAACAAAACATGATAATTATCAAATTTTGAAAACGCAAAATAGATGTTTATAGTTTAAAGCGAGTAAATCTGACAAAACAAACAAACAACAATCTCACCAGCAGCATTCTTTATTGTTCTAGAACAATAACATTTTCAAAACGTTCTAGACGCACGGAAGCATGAATCTTTGTACCTTGTAAAAGAAAGTTTACGTGAGCACTTCTATATGATATAAAAAATTTAAATAGGTGAGATATTATTAGAAGAAGGTGTATATTACCTTCACATTACTTAGACACCTTGTCGAATGGTTCATTTTCCAGGAAGTTTTGTAAGGCTTGACGTCTCTGAAAAATGCATAAGAGGCAGACATATCAAATGTATTTGATAATGGAGGAAAATCAGCTATAAAGGTAATGGTGATTATCGAAAGCATATTTATAGTTAGAGGACATATGTAGGGTTTAGTCTTAGGCTGCATAACTTGTCAGTAAAGGTAGAAAATATTTGATTGATATGGATTTAAATTAGTTACAAAAAATTAGGAAAATATGAATATTACTTGACAAATATATTCCGGTTAGGCTATAAATTAGCAATTGCTTGGAAGAACTGACTATAAATTAGCACTTGATTAGGAAGTAGATATCAATCAACAAAGAAATAGCAATAATTATAGACTATAGTGTGATAAATTCCTTATTTAACTCGCGTATTTAATCTTTGTCTCTTTACATAGTTACATTGAATGTCTAATATTTTAGGAGATACTCATTTTTCGTATTTGTTTCCAGATAGGGCCGAAATTAGATATGCCTCTTGATGGACGATATAACACACATTATTTTATAAGCCCTTTAGTTGGTCAAGCCCAATAAAAAACAATAATAAAGCGTTTAACTAACGTTTTGATGCTGGATCGAACGCATGTTGTGTGTTTACCAAATTTTCATGGGCAAGCGCGCGGGTTACATGTTCTCGGGTCGGAGCATTTAAAATTTTGCATTAAAATGACGAAAATTAACCTCCCCAATTCACAATACTATTTTCCTTTGCAACTAATTAAGGGTAATTTTTGGAATTGAAAACATTCTTAAGCCATGATTAAATGTGTATTTCTCTTTTAATAATAGAGTAAGAAGCAGGGCATGTTGGTACGTGATTTGATTTGCTCTGTTCGCCACCAAAGATAGAAATAGTTTTATTACTAATTACCAAAAACAAGAAAAGGCTTGTAAGGAATCAATCTGGTCCGACCATTTACTTACTTTGTTTAACTTTCTACATGGACGATACATATGCAAATTTATTTTTGTATAACCTGAAACAAATTATCTCTGCAGCCAACTTTTTACGTTCATTTTCGTCGTAATTAAAAAAAAAATGTCATATCTCTCTACCTTATTTTTTTTTATTTTTTTTTTAAAATCTTAGGGTTCTCATCTTATATGGATGTGCATCAAATTCAAAACAAAATATTATCCAAGAAGTTAAATTTGTAACACGAAATTTATATCCAAATCAAACGAGGAATTTCCGTCTGGATCAAGTTTTTTCATTAACATTATCTGTAAAATTAAATTATACGTCTTTTTTTTTTTTTCTGAAACACGTATAATATATTCATGAAAAAACAATCGTGGCCTGTTTTTTTTGTTCCATCTAACGGTTGAGATAGATGAGCGTATAGTAAGTTAGCATGCACCTTGTTCCACAGAATTATACCACTTGTTAAGTTTCATGTTTTACCTTTTACGGCGAATCTATTAAAAACGTGTGCTTGAAAGCTGAAATCTTCACGGGAAATCTAGAGACGGCGAAGGGAAAAGAAAAGAAAAGGATGACACTTTCGTCAGATCCATCATCATCTTCATCCATGTATCACACGAATCCACTCTCCGTCGTGTAATTCCAATACCTGAAACCCTCTCTTCCATAAAACAAAAAAACAAAAAAAAAAGAGTAGTTTTTTTAGGTTAGGTGAAAATAACAATGGAATCAGAGCTCAAAGATATGATTTCGAATCCACCTTCGAGCAAAGAGGAACGGCCCTTACTGAAATCAGAATCCGATTTGGCTGCTGCCATTGAAGAGCTAGACAAAAAGTTCGCACCTTACGCGAGGACGGATTTGTATGGGACGATGGGTTTGGGTCCTTTCCCGATGTCGGAGAAGATTAAGTTGGCTCTGGCAATGGTGACGCTTGTTCCACTGCGGTTTCTTCTCTCGATGAGTCTCTTGCTTCTGTATTACCTGATTTGTAGGCTTTTTACGCTGTTTTCTGCTCCTTATCGTGGGCCAGAGGAAGAGGAAGATGAAGGTGGTGTCGTTGTTCAGGAAGATTATGCTCACATGGGAGGATGGAAAAGGACTGTTATTGTGCGCTCTGGGAGGTTTCTTTCTAGGGTTTTGCTTTTCGTTTTTGGGTTTTACTGGATTCACGAGAGCCGTTTGGATCGTGACTCACCCTTGGATTCCTGTCCTAAAACTACTTCTGCAGAGGTATAAGCTTAGCCTAGTCAGCTTGGGGCTTTGCTATAATTGGTTTTTGCGTTGTATATGATGGTGTGGGAGGATTGGATACTTAGTTATTAGGAACCTTAAAAAGTGTCAGACTTTGTTGTAAGGAGATATAGTTTAGGGGCAATTTATTTCTAGGATGCTAGCTTGGTACGACAATGTTGGCTCAAAGGAGAAGTTAGGTTGCTGTACAATTTATTAAGATGCTCCTTATTTGGGACCTCTTTTTTGCTGAAAATTGATTCATTTTTTAGTCCCACTGATGGCTTGGCGTTTGTCTTTTATCTTAATTCCTTCTCTCTTTTCGCTGCAGATTAGCCAGAAAGGGGAAGCCGCCACAGAGGAACCTGAAAGACCTGGAGCCATTGTGTCCAATCACGTTTCATACTTGGACATTTTGTATCATATGTCTGCTTCTTTTCCAAGTTTTGTCGCCAAGGTTAGTTGATAGAAATACGCTCTCTTAAAACTGTCTGAATTTCACATTAGGTATCGTTGTGGCAATGACATTAACATTTATTTCTGTTCTCCCTCATGATTTTGATGCTGAAGAGATCAGTGGGCAAACTTCTTCTTGTTGGCCTCATTAGGTGAGTTGTGAATCACTTATCTTAAGTTCTTGAAACAATCTCTGTACCTCATCTCACACTTGGTTAATATCTTGTTTCGTTTTTTTTTTTCTGCCAGCAAATGCCTTGGTTGTGTCTATGTTCAACGAGAAGCAAAATCGCCTGATTTCAAGGGTGTATCTGGTATGGGATTCATACCAAAAAAAAAAAAAATTATCTTTTTAATCTTTCCAAGAACCGAAAAGTCTTCAGCTAGAGTATTCTTTTCTAGTTTTACTTCCTTTCGTTGGTAGTCTGTGTTATGCACTTGATAATAAGAAATTATGAACCTAATCTCTAATGCTACTCTAAATAGTCCTCATATTATATATTTCACCACTGTTTTTATATTTGCAGGCACAGTAAATGAGAGAGTTCGAGAAGCTCATAGGAATAAATCTGCTCCAACGATTATGCTTTTTCCAGGTTCAGTATTGCTCTTATAATCAATTTATCAACCAAACTATCATTGATTCCTTAAAACTTCTATTTGGTATTGCTACAGAAGGAACAACTACCAATGGAGACTACCTACTTACATTCAAGTCTGGTGCATTTTTGGCTGGAACTCCTGTTCTTCCGGTAATCTTAAAATACCCATACGAGCGGTTTAGCGTGGCATGGGATACAATTTCCGGGGTAAGTGATTCTTATGAAAAATTTCCGCTTTTTAAAAACAGCTTTCTCCTTAGTATAGTTACACGAATCATGTTTCTTGGTTTCCAGGCACGCCACATCTTATTCCTTCTCTGTCAATTCGTAAATCACTTGGAAGTCATACGGTTACCTGTATACTACCCATCACAAGAAGAGAAAGATGATCCCAAACTTTATGCTAGCAATGTTCGGAGATTAATGGCCACCGAGGTATTTGCTTTTCCAACTGCAGTAAGACTTTTTGGCATGTTTGTTATTGCTAACCAACATTTGATTGTGCTTTTCTTTCTGTTGCTTTCAGGGTAACTTGATTTTATCGGATTTAGGACTTGGCGACAAAAGGATATACCACGCGACTCTCAATGGTAATCTTAGTCAAACCCGTGATTTCCATCAGAAAGAAGAGTGAAATTTTACTGGCCTGACAATGTTTGTAATGTATTAGTCATTACCAAAAACAACCATGACTGTGATTGAATGAATAATGGATCTTTGATGATAATAAAAACCAAAAGTTTGATTACACAACTCAAGCTTTCTATCTGTCTTTCTAACTACCGTGTTATAGTGAGTTTTCTATAAATCAGAAAAGAAGCTGTGGATGGGATGGAAAGTTTGGACATGTAAATCTGAAGCATCTCTTTCGTGTTCGTGCAGGTTTGTTTTGCAAAAGCTAATATGGAAACTCGAAATTCGTGGTCCGTATATTTCATTTATTCATAGGAGAAGGAAACCGTTTTAACACAACTTTAGTGATACAGAGAATATATCTTATTTCTGAAACTTGTACTATTTGCCTCTGTTCCCAGCTGAAGCAACTTTAGACACACACCATACACACACAGCATATAGTTCTTCATCCTCCTGAGAACTTCAATGTAGATCAATGATTCAATCGAAATACCAGGTTAAGATCTTGCAGGAGAACTGAGAACTTTAATGTACATGATTGTTTTTGTTCAAACAGGTGGGAACAACAGTAGCTTAACCAAATAATAAATGGTGCTAAAGCTACTTTTCCTTCTTTCTTCTTATGGAGGAGACGAATCTACAAAAGAATAAACAAACAGAACAGACCTATTATAGGGTGGCACATAAGTTTGATTAAAACTAGCTTAGGGTTCTTCAGCTCCTTCTTCATCTTGTTGTATCATGTTGACAAGCATATCGACTTGCTCTTTTAACATTGTGTTCTCTCTTTCAATCTCTGTTCTCTTGCTTCTCTCTTGTAGCAGCTGAAGTTGCAGATGCTCTAAGCACCGTGAATCCTCTTCTAGCTGCTCGTTTAACCCATCTATCTCTCGATCCTGTCACATACCCAAAATAAAATAAAAAAATTCCACACCAACCACAAAACATGAGCAAAAAACCTGCATTATGTATGGGTTGACTTACCTTTCTGTTCATTTCTTGGACAGCGATTCTTCGCATGCTCTCAACAACATCAACATTCACAAGTTTCCTCTTCTTACCGATCAACCAGCCTTTAGGGTAGTTGGCAGTCTCGAAATCCGGAGGTGGCAACAAGGAATCAGCGGCTGTTGGTCGCTTTCCGTTAAGGTTTGTAATGGGTTCAAGTGGCTCAAAGAGAGCTTTTCTTTTCTCGGACAGAAGAGGAGTAGTGGTCATAGGTTCCCCAACTTTCTCGGTGTCCATTGCTGTAATCTCGTTCTTCTCTGGTGTGACCTCCAGAAAAGTCTCCGTTGCCTTGTCTGAGTTCACCGATGCTGTAATCAAAATAATTGTAAAGTTCCAGAGTCGCATGCAAATGGGTCAGAGCAAAACTAGAGTTATAAAGTGGTTGATTTTCCCAAGCAAAAGGTCCATGTCTAGATCTCTGAGAGCTAAATTTAAAGCATGGCTTAAACGATTAAATTTGAAAAAATAAGATCAGACCAGCGTAAAGCCCAAATATATTTCTGGACCAGAAATAGTAAGAGATGGCCTCTGAGGAAACAAGAGAGAGAGAGGGATAACCTGATCTTTTTCTTGATTTCCAAGCGATCTTGGTGGTAGAGACAGGGAAAAAACCTCCGACAAAGCCATCACTCACTGTCTTGTTTGTCTGCGTATTCTCTTTCTCAAATCCAACCCCTTTCTCCATATCTCTCTAAATCCTTAAAAGTTTTCCAGAGAAATTAAAACCAACGCACACGAATAATTGGGAGAAAGACAAGTTGGAAAAGAAGAAGAAAGAAGATAACGTACAAAGGGATCCGAAGAAAAAAGGGCTCTGCCTCTCTCTCTCTCTCTGTTAGATTTCAGTTGAACCAACGACGGTAATGATTTGGCGTTTTGGTTACGACTACGAAAAGGCTCTTTTGCTTTGTTGCTTCAGACTTGTGTTAATTCTTCTTCTTCTTTCTATTTTATTTTGTGTCTGAAAATTTAGAAGTCCAAAATACTTGTCTTATCGTATTCCTCTTATGTGGGACCTCCTCTTCCCCCTCTTTACTTCTCAGCTAAATTTTCATGCATCCTTTTTTCCTTTTTCCTTTGTAAAATTCATATTTAATCCTTTCGTAAAACAAATCTCTAGAAAAAAACAAACAAATTACGTAATAAAAATCTTAAAAGGATATATATATTGATCAAACGACAATTATATTCTTTAGAGGGATATACTGATCCACAAGCCTTCTTCGTCTTCTTTTTTTTTTTTTTTTTTTTTATAACTCTAGTCAATGGTAATATTATATAACTAATGACCGACCCGCTGAGACTTATTCAAAATAATGTCCTTTGATTTGTTCAGACTACTAATTTGCACTTATATATTATTATTAATTAGGGACTTGTTTTGTTTTTCTAGTGAGAGAGTTTTGTTCTGATCTTTTTTTTTTTTGTCAAGTCAAGACCTTTTGCTTTTTCTTGAAATATTCCATGCAGCAAAAAAAGAAAAAAATAATAATTAAGGTACAAAATAATTAGCTGTTAAAAAAAAAGGTACAAAATAAGTTTACCAAATACAGTATGTTTTTGGGGTCAAAATAATTAGGTGTCTTTAGGACAAGAATCAAATACTGAACACAACAACTAAACAACTTTGGATTTGCTGAGTGAGAGAGCATATGCCACGGAACAGAGCATCTTTCTTGAAGTTAGTGCAATTCTTGAAATCTGCGTTTAATTTTTGCAATATTCGATTTTGGATGATAATGTTATCCGAACCCAACCCATATTGAAAATAAAATGAACTCTTGGGCTCATGTTGGGCCTTGACCCATTAGATTTATTGTTTTTTTTTTTTGGTTTTCGCATCGAGCCGTCCACGAGAGAGCGGCGTTAACAAAAAAAGAGAACTAAAGAAAGAAGATTTGTTTCCCCCAGTCTATCACCACTATTTTGCTCGCCGATTCCAGATCTCAGGAGGAGTAGTAGGGTTCTTCTTGCTACAAGGTTTCAGATTAGGGGATAGGCTACGAGAGCGAAGGCTTTCTCTGTTTACTCGATTAACGCTTCTTACTTCTTTCGCCGTTGGATTTTGTGTTTCCTTCTCATCCATGGGTAGGCACGATAGTTCCTCCGAGGAAGAAGAGAGAGTTAGAAGAAGGGATAGGAGAAGACGAGAGAGGAGCCCAGATGTTAGACGATCTAGGATGGAGACTGATGACGTTGGTCTTCGTGCTAGGGTTTCTGATGATGAGGACCACAAGAGCTCCCGCCGAGATCTTGAGATTGGTGAGAGACGCCGTGGAGATAAGGTCAGAAAAGAGACTTCTTCTGATGAGGAATCAGCCAGGCGGTCCAGAAAGGATCGTAGAGAAGCAGACTCTGGTTCTGATGATGATAGAGGTAAAAGAATTGAGGTAGATAATGATGCTGATGTTGAGAGGAGGGTGAGTAAAGGGAGAAATAAGGATGGGGTTAGAGCTGACACTGCTTCTGATGAAGAAAGTGGGAAGCAACTTGACACTGATGATGGAACAAAGACCCGTAGAGGTTTGGACGATGAAGATGTTGATGATGTTTCCGAACAGAGAAGCAGGAAGAGAAGCCCTAAAGTCATGGAGAAACAGAGTAGAGAGAGGAGTCACAGGGGTAGTAGAGTCGTAGCAGATAAACCTTCCGATGAAGAAGATGATAGGCACAGGAGTAGAAGGGGTAGGGGAGAAAGCGAGAGGAAGCGTAGGGATCATCGAGCATCTGACGATGATGAGGAAGGTGAGATTAGGAGTGAGAGAAGAGGAAAAGAGAGGAATGATAGAGGTAATGAAGGTCTCTTAAAGAGGGATCGGAGGGACAGAGACTTGACTGATGGGCATGAGAACGGGAGTCGGCGTCGGGAAATTAAAAGGAAGGATAGGAGTCGGAGGGATGATGGAGTTAGAGATGAAAAAGATAGGAGACACAATGATAGATATGATGATGGTCAAAGAGACAAGGTGAGAAAGGAAGATAACAGTAAAAGGGAAGTCAAGGTTGAGGTTGCAAAGCCCAAGTTGGCAGAACTCAATCCATCTGAGAACAATGCTATGGCCTTGGGAAAAACAGGAGGAGTTTATATTCCTCCGTTCAAGCTAGCACGCATGATGAAGGAGGTGGAAGATAAGAGTAGTGTAGAGTATCAACGGCTTACATGGGATGCCCTCCGTAAAAGTATTAATGGGCTCGTGAATAAGGTTAATGCAAGCAACATCAAGAACATAATCCCTGAACTTTTTGCTGAAAATCTCATCAGAGGAAGGGGACTTTTCTGCCGTTCATGTATGAAGTCTCAAATGGCATCTCCTGGATTCACTGATGTCTTTGCGGCTTTAGTCGCTGTTATTAACGCCAAATTCCCTGAAGTTGCTGAACTTCTATTGAAAAGGGTCGTTTTGCAGCTAAAGAGAGCGTATAAGCGTAATGACAAGGTTTGTCCTTTTTTTTTTTTTCCGAATCTAAATGTTTTCTCAAGCATTTTGATATATATATCATATTTATACATTGTTATCTATCATGTTTGTTTGGCAGCCTCAATTGCTTGCTGCTGTAAAATTTATAGCGCATCTAGTAAACCAGCAAGTCGCTGAGGAGATTATAGCACTTGAATTAGTCACTGTACTTCTTGAAGACCCGACTGATGACAGTGTGGAGGTGGCTGTTGGGTTTGTGACCGAGTGTGGTGCAATGCTTCAAGACGTTACACCAAAAGGATTGCATGGTAAAAATTCTTCAATCTCTTTTTGTTTAATAGAATTCTTGTTTTGGTATGCTGACGTGATAGTAGACTATTTGTATTTACACTTAATCCATCTAATTCGTTCACAAGTCAGTGTCTAAAGGATGATGTTGAAATTTGGTTGTATGTCTTAGCTTTTCATTCAAACTTCAACAATTTCTCATATCATACAGGCTCTATATTTTCACCGCTCTTCCTTTTATTTGCGTTTCTAAGATCTTCCTGTTGTATATAGGGATCTTTGAGCGGTTTCGTGGGATACTGCACGAGGGAGAGATAGATAAGAGAGTTCAGTACTTGATTGAAAGTCTCTTTGCTACTAGGAAAGCGAAATTTCAGGTAATATAGCCCTTAACACATTGAATTTGAATCTGATATCATAAGCCGTGATAGATATAACAGTATGCTTATGTTATGTATAGCATAATGTTCATAAAACCTTGTTGATGGTTTACTTTCAGGGACATCCGGCCGTTCGTCCTGAGCTAGATCTCGTTGAAGAAAAATATTCACACGATATCTCTCTTGATCAGGAAATTAATCCTGAAACTGCTCTTGGTAAGCTTGTTTTTGTATGAAAAGTTTACCACATGCTCTAGAGAGAGGTTGTTTTTTTAAAATTATTGAAACTGCTCTTAATTCTACTTTGTTCTGATTGCAGATGTTTTCAAACCTGATCCTGACTTCGTTGAGAACGAAAAGAAATATGAGGCACTGAAGAAAGAGTTACTGGGTGATGAGGAGTCTGAGGATGAAGATGGCTCTGATGCTAGTTCAGAGGATAATGATGATGAGGAAGATGAATCTGATGAAGAAGATGAAGAGCAAATGAGAATAAGAGACGAGACAGAGACTAATCTAGTTAATCTTAGGAGGACAATCTACCTGACCATAATGTCCAGTGTTGATTTTGAGGAAGCAGGTCACAAATTACTTAAAATTAAGCTTGAATCTGGTCAAGAGGTAACTTCTTCCAAACTCTGATAATCTATATTTTCCTGTGCTTTTTGCTTTTCTGTTTTATTGTTTGGTTTGGAAACAATCCATCTTAAAATTTATGACTTGCTGGAAGTACACAAAACTTATATAACTTTTATCCAATCAATGTTGCAGATGGAACTATGCATAATGCTCCTGGAATGTTGCTCCCAGGAGAGAACTTATCTGCGTTACTACGGATTGTTGGGTCAGCGTTTCTGTATGATCAACAAAATTCATCAAGAAAATTTTGAGAAATGCTTTGTTCAGCAGTATTCGATGATTCACCGTCTGGAGACGAACAAGTTGCGTAACGTGGCTAAATTTTTTGCCCATTTATTGGGCACGGATGCTCTCCCTTGGCATGTGCTTGCCTACATTCGGTTAACTGAGGAGGACACAACTTCCTCATCTCGTATCTTCATTAAGATCCTTTTCCAGGTAAATAAAATCCTTATAACTCATGTTACCATTTCAGAGCTGTTCATCTCATTAATTTGATTGGGAGATAGGTTCACGTGATTAATTAATTTCTTGTTTCACATGAATTATGAAACTATGGATGTGTTAGGTTCACAATTAGGACTCCGCCGATGAATTTTGTTATGAAGCCGTGGAAATTGCTTTTGGAACTGTTGTGCTGATTTGGCTACAACTTTTGCATTGATTGCAGGAATTATCAGAACACTTGGGGATTAGGCTACTAAATGAGAGGCTTCAGGATCCAACGATGCAGGAGTCACTTGAATCTATCTTCCCTAAAGATAATCCAAAGAACACGAGGTTTGCAATCAACTTCTTTACATCCATAGGTCTTGGAGGCATCACAGAGAATCTGAGAGAGTATCTGAAGAACATGCCACGCCTCATCATGCAACAGCAGAAGCAAGTTGCAGAATCAGAATCAGGGTCATCATCTGGATCTGAGAGTTCTGGTTCCGAGTCTGAATCTGAGTCAGACTCATCCTCATCTTCCAGTTCGGATGAAAGCGACAGAGAGAAGAGGAAGCGGAGAAGAAGATCATGAGAGTGTTTTGTTTGCTTATCTCCTCACCAAAATTGATGAAATTTTCACATCTTGGCTTGGATGATTCAAGTTGAATTTACATGAGTGAGAAAGAACTCAACGAGTGCAATCATCTGGTTCTGTTCTTGGATATCAATTATTACACAAAAGCTGATAACATGAGACTAGCTTAGCCAATTTAAGGTTGTGAACGGAATTATTTTTATTATTGTCTTTTGTTGTACTAAAACTGTTTAAGATGAATGTGATCGGTCGGAGTCGGACCATAGAGATAAGTAGTAGTCTTTTGGTACATTTTGTAGTCTTTTTGTGATGCAAATCTATTTGCGTGTTTTGATAGAAAACCATAAGAAAGATATTTTGAAGCATGAAAAGTATCAAATTATGAAGGAATCTTATTTTGCATATATTTTGTTCTTCAAAGGATGATTTTTGGATAAGAACGGATATTATCGGTCTTTCTCTGAGATGTCAAAGTCAATATAAATCACCATTTAAGGAAAAATAAAGAAAAGAAAAGAAAAAACAAATAGCAAAGTATCTCAAGCTGCATATATATATTACTCTGTCGTCTGTGGTGAAGAGCATTCCAATTCGAACCAATTGATTTATTTTTTATATTTTTTTGTTTCTTAGTTTTGTGTGTGTGGAACAAACCCAGAGGAGTCTAAAACACACACACTTAATTGGTAAAGAAAAAGGGGATAAATTGTAATAGTACTTGATTACAACTTAAAACATGCCTAAGAACACACCAACCTATCAACCATTTCCTTCACCTTGATCATTTACATTTTGTTAAATCCACACCAGAGAATTTACATCTCAAACACAAGATGATGCTTGCTTATCATCATCACTAGATATTTGAATAAAAATATTATTTTTTTAAAAACATAATAAAAAAAAAGTAGGAGTGGATAATTTTTGGTTTTTCAATCTATATATTAAAAATAGTAAAAAAGGGAGGGGATAAAAAAACAATTTTGGCCGTGGAATCGGGTAGGCTATATAGCTTATGGATAAGGACACTTTGAGATGACAAAAATATGAGTCACCGCTACTACGTTCCCTTCCCCTTTATAAATAGTCCCACTTCTCTCTCTCTCTCGCTTTATCCAAATCCATTTAAATCCATTATTATTGAACCTTCCTGAAAGGAAAAAAAGAAAGAAAAAAAGACAATCCTTTAATTATCTTTCAATTTTCAGATTCCATTCTTTTGAGTTTTCGGTTTGATTCCCAACTTGTGAACTTTCAAAAGAAAAATGACGATTGCTTTGACGATCGGAGGAAACGGGTTCTCTGGTCTACCCGGATCTTCGTTTTCATCATCCTCTTCTTCGTTTCGATTAAAAAACAGCAGACGAAAGAACACGAAGATGCTCAACAGATCAAAGGTCGTTTGTTCTTCATCTTCTGTTATGGATCCCTACAAGACTCTTAAGATCCGACCCGATTCATCTGAATACGAGGTCAAGAAAGCTTTCAGACAACTCGCTAAAAAGGTTTGGCCTTTTTTTTCTTTCTTTTCAGCTCCATCATTTTAGATCTGATGATTCGATTTTTGGTTTCTTAAAATAATTTGAAATTTATCTTTTTTTTTTGGTGTTGTTGTTGTTCTGATCGAATTTTGTTTTGATGGTTGCGCAGTATCATCCTGATGTTTGTAGAGGAAGCAATTGTGGTGTGCAGTTTCAGACAATCAACGAAGCTTACGATGTAAGCGTGCTTGCCATGAAAGCAACTCTTCTCATCTTTTGTTTTTTGGTAATAGAAAAAATTGATCTCTAATTATTTTTGTTTTGCATTTGGAAGATTGTGTTGAAGCAAATAAAGAATCAGATGGAAGGGACGGAGGAATTTGAGCCGTTCGATGTATATGACGAGGGATTGAACGGAATGAATGATCCAGATTGCGACACGTGGGAGGAATGGATGGGATGGGAGGGAGCAGGAACCCGTGATTACTCCTCTCATGTGAATCCTTACGGTTGAGAGTTGAGAGAACCAAAACCTAAACCAAAACTTTAATCATCCCAATTGTGGAATTTTACTGAATGTGTGTGTATGTATATAAATAACAACAATCATCCGAGAAAGAGAGACGCTTAAACTAAGCACAATGTAAATTTGGTGAAATTTGTCTCCTTTTCAATGATTGTTTGAAAATTGTGAATAAAGTAATTTTCTCCTTCCTTCGTGTAATGTAAATCTTCTAAACATTTAAGGATTTTAAAGCGTCTTTTAGCTTTCCTGAATTTGGAAGTAATCTTATATTTCGAAGGTTCCGACTTTTTCAAACCGTCAAGGGTCAAGTTCCATACGTTTACTTTTTGGATGTAGACAAGAGTCACCAAATTCTCATTCTTTGCAACGGTTTCACCTTACAATGATATAAACATCTCAAAATACTTCAGAAAACACTTTCCTTTGCTGTGTTTGATAATGGCATACAAAAACACTTGCCGAATCTAATCCATGGAGAATGCTCCGCTGCAGTACCTGAAGAAATTTGTTACATCATTTCGTTTTTCTTCTTTTTCAATTTCACGGAATGGTACTCCTTTAGTAAATAGCAAAGTTTTACCTGTTGCTGAATCTTTGGACAGAGTCTGTAGCATCAAGAAGAGTCTCACTTGCCTTCTCTAAAGCCATGTAAAGCTCTTTACCTCTGCTTACACGCGCTATGGCCCATGCGTTGTTCTTTGCCCTAATGCATATTTCCATGTCTTTCTCTTGCTTCGAGCGGCTCTTTTCTGTATCCACTTCTTCCCTTACCTTGTTTAGTGCAAGCAAAGACTCCTACAAAATCAAAGATAACTTTCACACACTCTTGGTTGCACTATCCGAATATGATTGATGGGTTTTTTTCTCACCTTTGCTAGAGTTGCTACCTTTCCTGGTGGAGAAGCTCTTGAAACTTCCATGTCATTATCAACTAGTAAGTAACGGTAACCACTTACATGGTAAGCGTTCTCACCACCCCATCCTTTCGATAGCTTCTCTTCGACTTTCAAGATCTTCGTCGATGCCTGCAAATATGCATAGAGATTACGAGGGATGGAGTCTAAAGATTTTACAATGAAGCAAGAGAGGGTTCACAGATATGAGCTAACGTTGTCAATAACTTGCTGCTTCACGAATGAGATGTCTAGCTCTCCATTAACAATTGCAGCGATAGGCACGAGAAGAACCAAGGTGAGACTTTTGTATTGATAAGTCATAAGGTATAATCTTTCTTGTGTCGTCTGTAGCAAAATTGTTGGGGTTGCATCTGTACCCCAAATATCAGTTACAAGAAACCCGTCTTTCCCTTTTAACCACTTATCGTGCTGCAAGGGTCTAATAACACGAACTGTGTTACTACCATTTCCTGAAGGCGATGTACCACTTGAACCAAGAGGGGGAACAGAGGTAGATCTAGAAGATATTTGGGGTGAACCAGATCCCTTGCGTAGATATGACCAGGAACTTGTGCCAGAGGATAATGCGTTTGTGGTCAATCTCATGACAGAAAATGCAAACAAATCTACGGTATCATCCTGACAAAACAGAGAAAAATGACAAAGACTAAAAGTTTTAGTATTAGTGGACTGTATAGCCTACACATACCACAGCAGCTTAAGAATCTTATTGACTCAACAATCTTGGCTAAAATGAATATTGTGAGTGAAGGATTTGAAAACATACAGGTGAGAGAGTTGTTGACACTAGTAGATCATGATATAAAATCACAGAGTGGCATCGAACAGTCCCAGCACATGAATCTAGCACTCCGACGAGAGACTGCACATCTAAATAAATACTAGTCAAAATAGTGAACTATTGTGTTAGTGCAAAACGGATCATCTGATGGAGAAACAAACCTGAACTTCAAGTGCAGCATCTCGTGCTAAAGTTAGCATCTGAACTGTTCCACGCTCTTTCAAAGTTTCACGGAAGGAAGGTAACTGATGTTTCCTACCAACAAAAAGATCTGCCCCAAAATATAAAACCTTTTGAAATGTAATATTACGCAGGGATTCCATGGGCTAGATATGGTGGATATTGCTTACCATTTAAATAGTCTGTGATGAATGGATACAAGTGCGATCTTATAAGTCCTCCAGTTGGTTCTTTTTCAAGCAATGCCCTAATTGACCCTTGAAACATAACAAAGAGAGAGTGCACTTCCTTAAGCACTCTCCGCAATGCATCAACCCTCCATACGGCTTCAATCTCCTTATTTTTCTCCACAACCTGCCAAAATCTAGATAGATAAGATTTTGTTCTCTTTATGCATATGAATGAAGTGCGATTCAAGTGCTAAAACAAATAAAATTTTTGATAAATCTGTACCATGACCATCCATATATCGGGCTCGGCCTCATAGAAAACATGGGAATGTCTCTCTGCTTCTATAACTTCACAAGCTGCCTCCGGGGAGAATAGTCTGTGTATATAAAACCCATAAACCACGTCTCAAAAACACCCAAAAATACAGGCAAAGCTAACAACGCTCAAAATTTAAGTGAACATGAGACAACACCAATCAATCCATGAGATGGAAGTAAAACATCTCAGTAAAGAAGGAAAAACTCTAGTAGCTGACCTCGAGAAAGTGATAAGCCCTTCGCTGAGCCCTATAACCGATAGCTGAGTCGAAAAGGTTAGATCAGGAGGATAGAAGAACAAGATCTTGTCCAGTTCCTGACCTTCGTTTTGGCCTCTCCTCAAGTCAAACACGCAAAGACGAAGGCTTTCACCAGTAGAGCTCATGGACGCCATTCCCATAGCTGCACCTTTAAAGCACACGAAAATGTGTATCGGAAAACAGGCAATAATTCTAACTCTGTATCCAAAAAATCATAACTTTAAGGCACATCAAAATGAGGAAAAAGAAAAACGTCATCATCATTGAAGAAAAATTTACAAATTTTGGGGGTTCAGATCATGGCAACTTTATCAATTTCGTCCAGAAAATTGCGTAAGCCATATAAATTAGGGAAATTGATTACCTTTGAGAGGATGAACCCTAAGAACAAAGCAGGGTCCAAGGAGTGATCAACGTTCAATAACGAGAATCACAAAGTGGATTCAGATCAACTAATCAAAACTCGAACCGATCAAACAAAATTAGCAGCAAAACTTCGCGTAGCGTCGTCGTAGGGTACGTAGCTGGTGAGAGGAAACCAGGTAAACGGGTCTCCGGGTCAGGATCTTCAGATTTTCATCGGCGGCTTACGTCATCGTCCGTTGTGTTTTCAGGAGTTGGATTTCTCCGTGAAACATCTCAACTGGGCCTAAATAAGGCCCATTCATATAATTTTCTTTATTGCCATTTTAGAGCCCGTATTTACTATGTATTAATTTATTAGCCCAATCAACCAACTTCTAAATTTCATCTCCCTTTCTCACTCCTTTCACTTCCAGTGAGCTATGGCTGCGATTGTTGCCATTGCTCGGAAACTAACGCGAACGCCACTATTTAAATCTCAATCTCTGCTACGTGCATTGTCGACATCGTTTTCGAGCTCATCTTTCCAAAATCCCTCCTTCTCTTCAGCATTTCATCGAGCAGGTCTTGTGCATTCTCAAATCTTAAGCCATGTACCACGTTTTGTCTCCTCATCTCGCTTCTCCACCCAAGTCATCTCCGAAATGTTAGATATCAACCAAGCCTTGGCCCCGCTGGAACAGGGTCTGATTGATTTAATCAGACAGGTCTCTGAGCTAGCGTCAGAGGCGGATGCCATGGCTTCTCTAGAGGACTCATCATTTGATCTAAATCATGATTCTTTCTACTCTTTAATCTGGGAATTAAGAGATGAATGGAGGCTTGCATTTCTGGCATTCAAATGGGGAGAGAAACGGGGCTGTGATGATCAGAAAGCTTGTGATTTGATGATCTGGGTCCTGGGTAATCATCAAAAGTTTAATATTGCTTGGTGTTTGGTCCGTGATATGTTTAATGTTTCAAGGGATACTAGAAAGGCCATGTTTCTCATGATGGACAGGTTTGGTTTCGTCTTCTTGATGAAAGCTCATCTTTTGTTGAATTTGTTGTGCTATATAGAAAGATTTTACTAGGTATTGAATTGATTGTGTCTTGGTATTGATGTAGATATGCTGCTGCTAATGACACTAGCCAAGCTATTCGGACATTTGATATTATGGATAAGTTTAAACACATTCCTGATGATGAAGCATTTCAAGGATTATTATATGCCTTGTGTAGACATGGACACATTGAAAAAGCTGAAGAGTTCATGCTTGCAAGCAAAAAGCTTTTTCCAGTGGATGTTGAGGGATTCAACATAATTCTTAATGGTTGGTGTAACATTTGGACCGATGTGACTGAAGCAAAGAGGATTTGGCGAGAGATGGGAAACTACTGTATCACGCCTAACAAGGACTCTTACAGTCACATGATCTCTTGCTTCTCCAAAGTTGGGAACCTTTTTGATTCTCTCAGGCTCTTCGATGAGATGAAGAAACGAGGATTGGCTCCTGGGATTGATGTTTACAATTCTTTGGTTTATGTGATGACCTGTGAGAATTGTTTTGACGAAGCTATGAAGCTTTTGGAAAAGATGAATGAGGAAGGATTAAAGCCAGATTCACTCACCTACAACTCGATGATACGCCCCCTTTGTGAGGCTGGAAAGCTTGATGTAGCAAGGAATGTTTTGGCAACCATGATAAGTGAGAACCTAAGTCTAACAGTCGATACATTTCATGCATTCCTTGAAGCTGTGAATTTCGACCAAACTTTAGAGGTTTTAGGCCAAATGAAGATCTCTGGTTTAGGTCCTACAGAAGAGACCTTTCTTCTCATTCTTGGAAAATTGTTCAAGGAAAAGCAACCGGAAAATGCTTTGAAGATCTGGGCAGAAGTGGGTCGTTTTGAGATAGTGGCTAGTCCAGTTCTTTACTTGGCTACAATACAGGGCCTTTTGACATGTGGGGGGATTGAAAAGGCCAGAGAGATTTATTCAGAGATGATATCAAAGGGGTTCCCAGGAAATCCTAAGCTCCAGAAACTTCTGGAGGAGCAAAAGGTGAAGGGGATCAGAAAAAGCAAGAGGATAGATCTTCAGAAAGTTGGTTCTCAGGGAGGCTTTAAGGGTCAACGATAAAGATATAAAAAAGTATCAGAAACGGGTCAGACTTGAAGAATGTGGATCATATGATCACTCATGTATCCGTTACCTCAGGGTCTCCACTCTTCTGAACTGTGATATGTGCAATCTGCACAAGACCAGAAGCTTCGTTCACAGCTCACCTGTCTCATTTGGCTTGTCTGCTTTCACTACATCCGCCGTGCGGTTTTCCCAGGTAAACTTCCTTCCATTCACCAGATTTGGTGATCGTTTCCTGTGTTTATTCCTAAAGGATCATTTGCAACCATGCTGATTCAGGAATCTCTCTCCAGACTACATGGAAGACGTCAGAAACTAGTGTGATCCTTGAATGTTACACGCCCATGCATAGCTGCATGTTGAAGTTACGAGAAGTTAGAATTACAATGTGTTATGATATGAACCAGACCGCACAACAGGCAAAGGCTGAGTTCAATGTGTTTAAAATGCAAGATCTCGTTGTTTATTTTGTGCCATTACCCATGAACCGGTGATGATTGATATGGCCTTGGATTCTTTGAGTGTTGCAATTTTCATGGCATATATCAAGGATTTGGGGCGGACCCAGCCAAAAAATAAAGTGGGTGCAATATGACATTTTTAGGAATCGAACTCACCATCTCCCATATATTATGGGTGTAAACATAACCATTTTGCTACATTGACCATTATGTATAAAGAAATTTTTTTAACATTTTATAAGTTACTGGTGGCAGCTGCCACCACCAGCTATAACGTGGGTCCGCGGAACCATCATTTTCATCCATCTCAAAAAGCAAAGTGTCTTGGTTTTGACTTGCTTACTTCAGTTGCAGGTTTCTGGAAATTAATTATTTTAAAACCTAACTTTGTTATCATTGTGAGCATACCAATTAAACACAAAAGAAGAATATCTTTTGGCTATAGTTTCCAGGGCACTTCACTAGCGCAACAAGTTTGCCTGATGATCAAATCGAAAGATGTCTCAAGACAAAATCGCAGTTGAACTAGAATGATATCTATCCTTCAAGGTTTTGATGGAATTGCAACCCGTTCATATATATATATATATAGTTTACAAACATTACAACATAATACAATTCTCAAAAGCTAAAACTCTCAAGTTACATCCAACAATTTTGAAAATGAAAAGATGAGATCAGAACTACTACTCTGCATTGCCCTGTTTTAACTTCGCTGTTTCGATCTACTGCCATAAAATTTTGCAGGAGGCGATGGAGAGAACTCGAAAGCAGTGGAAGAAATGTCCATTTCCCCTCTCAAGATTCTCACGACTTCACTAACATCAGGCCGTAACTCAGGTGCTTTCTGCAGACAAGCCAAAGCCAAGTTAATGCACAATCCTGCTTCTTCCTTGTTATACCCATCCTTCAATTTCTCGTCGACCAGCTCAAGAACATTCCCTGACTGAGCCAGTTGCCTACACCAGCTCACCAAATTCGCCTTTTCAAGCTTTATTGGAGATGCAAGGACATGTAAAGGCCTTCTACCAGAGATTATCACTAGAATCAGTACTCCAAAGCTGTAGATATCGCCTTTCTCCATCAAGTAACAGCAACCGCCTCCATATTCTGGCGCTATGTAACACAATGTGCCTCTCATACTTGTCGTGCTGCTTAGTTCACGGCTGAACAAATCCCCACTCCACATCTCACTCCCCATTGATCTATTGTTGTTGTTCTTCTTCTTCTTGCTGCTGCTATTGCTTTTCCTTCTCCATCCCTTTCTGAAGCTAAACTCTCCCCCTGCTTCTCCTTCTCGGTCCTGCACACTGTTTTCACCCTTTTGATGGAAACAGTAACGAAAATGTGGAACTTTCAAACAATTCTTGAACTTAATTCTCCGCATTCCAATCTTCTTTTTGTTACTAATCTCATCTTGATGCTCTTCCTCTTTCCACCATTCCTCCATATTCCTATGCTTCTTCTTCTTTTTCAGTTTCTTCTTCATCTTTTCGTTGATCTCTTCTTTGGCAAACTTCTCTTGTAGAGTGTCAAACCTAGATTCATTCAAACCAGACTCATCTCGATCTTCCACTTTATCGATTGTCCTAGTCGAAACTCCCAGTTCAGGAGTATTGATGATCTTCTTCTCATCGTCCCAATCAGGATTCGCCGTGTCAATCTGACTCCCTATCCATTCTCTAACATAATCTTTACTACACAGTTCACCACTCCCTTCTTGCTTCCACCACCAATCTCTTCCCCATTGCTTAGATGATCCCTTCCCCAAATCAAGAACCGAATTCGGACTCAAATTCATCTCCTTGCTCTGATCAAACTCATGATCCTCACATGATAACACAACATGATTGGCTTTAGAATCATGGTCATGGCCATCGTTTGAAACCTCTTTGCCCTTCGTCTCACCCTCCATTGCTAAACTCATCGAATTCAGATCCATCCCCTTAATGTTACGGCTAGTTCTACTGGTCTTGGAAGACGAAGAAGCTTGTAGAGCAAGAGCAAAATCAACCTCATGATGCGTTGGGGTACCAATGGCGGTCTGAGGAGTGCTCTCTCCTCCGAAAGTTGCGGAAAGTTCTTGACTTTTCCCCAAATCTTGGCTGAACAAATCGACACCGTAGGCTCCCTCCACTTTGACCCTAGACAAACCAAAATCCGAAATCTTTGCCCTGAATTCAGAATCCAGAAGAACATTGCTGGGCTTGATATCTCCATGAATCACTGGTGGGTCACATCCGAAATGCATAAATTCGAGAGCTTTCGCTACATCGAGGATGATACTAAATCTCATTCCCCAATTCAAGCAAGAATCTCCAGCTTCGTTGAACAGAAGCTCTTGAAGACTCTTGTTTGGCATATACTCGTAAATCAAGAACTTGTGATTCTTCTCGACGCAATATCCCAAAAGGGTGACCAAAAAAGACGATTTTAGCCCGCCGAGAATCTGTAACTCGTTCTGAAACTCGGCCTCTGTTTGAAGAGAGAGGCTATCGAGTCGCTTAACCGCGAAAAGCTTGCCGTCTCTTGTAATGCCTCGGAACACGGTGCCTGAGCCGCCTCTACCAATCACATTGGACTCGTCGAAATCGTTAGTTGCTAGTTTGAGCTCCTTGTAAGAGAAAATCTGGAGCTTTAATGGTGACGCAGCAACGTCGAAAGGGATGGTTCTAGAGCGGTTGAGAAGAGAAATCCAGAGGTGGTAGATGAAGTAGAGAATTGCGAAGAAGATTACAAGAGAGGATGAGATGGTAAGAATCAGGAAGAGAGTTTTTGTTCTGTTGATGAATAACTTTGGTCGGGTTGGATTTGGTCTTGAAGGCATGTCTCTCTGTTCAAAGATAGAATCGTTTGTGGAACATTCGGTATCTCTCTCTGTCTCTCTGATCAGGTTTTAACTCTGAACCTAGCTATAGCTATAGGAGTAGTCGTTGAGAATGTCTTACTTAAGAGGAAAAAAGCTGTTTCATGAGTTTGCTTTATTTCTTTATAGTTTTACTTTTGACAATATAAATTTATTTTATTTAAACAAATTAAATTATATATTACGTATTACAAATTTACAATACAGAGAAGATCGAGGCTCAAGCTGCGTAATAATTACATATGGAGAAAAAAGAATAGGAAAAAGAAGAGGTTATTATTTTATAGTGGTGGATGGATTTGAGTTTTGACAAATACATAAAAGGACAAAATGAATTGTGCAGTTAATAAAGAAAGAAAGGAAATGATAATGTTGTTTATAATGATGATGTTACTATAGTTGCTTTTGGTAGTGGATCGCATAGTGTGCATGATGTTAAGATTAAACTTTTTTTTTTTTTGTCCGTTAATTAACTCTCTCTCTCTCTCTCAACTTTTATTTGGTCATAATCGTTTTAAGATTTGGATAATTAGGGTAACTCAATGAAGAGATTAGTTAGTTTGTTAACGAGATTGAAGAAAGAAAAGAAAAAAGAAGAGATGATTAGTTAACGAGTTGAGTGGCGAAGTGTTCAAGATCCGCTTTGACTGCTTCGGGAGTTATGCATAAATAATAGATTTTGTACTTTTGCCCCATATCTTTTAATATTGCACACATCCCACCCAACCCCCTTTTGCACATTAAACAGTAGCCCTAATATTTTAGCAGCATATGAAATTATATACGGACTATAAGAAAGAACGAAGATTGCTTTGATCACACCCTCGCTCGGTTGAAAAGGACATTATAGCTGTTTGGCCAAACGTACACGAATCTCAAAGATTGCAGTGGTTATTTTTTTTTTCTTTTTAGGGATGTCGACAAAAACTTGTGAGAATTGTGGTATAGAAAGATCCGTAACGATTGTTACGACAAATGTAGTGTCAAGTTCGTATGGAAACAAAACAAACTACTAACTAAAAACTCTATGGGATGTCAATTGTCTCCTCCTTTATGATGTGATAAAGTCGTAAGTGGGCGTCTCTGTGGACCAACAATGTCATATTGTCATGTGCACTCCAAATTTTTCAAAATTTTCGTTATTCAAAATCAAAAATATACAAAAAGAAACAAAGTGCGAGCTAGTCAGAAGTAAAAGAATCTCCATCCTCCACTGTCTTTTTTTTTTTTTTTTTTTACAGTGTTCGATTTGAACCATTACATCATAATTTCTTCTTTTCTTTTTCGGAATTGGTGAACTGGAGAGACACGATTGAGTGCTCTTATTAGTAATTCGACCGAGTCACTTTTGTTTTATCTTATGTATATTTTAGCTTATGGACTATTTTGCTTGATTTATATGTAAAATGTAAAAGCCTCTGGTCCAACAATAAGGAAAGGCCCATCAATATCTTGTTAAGGCAAATGTGCAGAGCTCCTCAAAATGGTTGAGGGTGTCTGGTCGAACGCAGAGCAGTCATGACGTCAGGTAAAGTGACGGTGGTGGATTGATCGGTCCTCACGTCACCGTCAAATCCTTGTACGGTGGACGAGGGGTCGTGCGGCGGCTGAAGCAACTATGTTGGGTTTGTTTTAAACTGGCAACAACTATGTTGCAACTAATAGCATTACAGACGCAGTGTACTGTGTACATATATGGCATTGTAATTAAAGGAATACATATATAGTATTAATCTAAAATATAAGGAATATGTGGTAAGACTGTGACTCTGGTTGGATTAATTAGATCAGTTTATAACCAAGAATGTGCCTCTCACAAATGAAAAGGAAGTTATGCTCACACCATTCGGGCAATGAAGTTCTCTGTTTCCCTGTTGTCCGTGTTGATGTTCAGTAGTGTAAAGTCGCCGCCTCTCACCTTCTATTGGGTTGTGTTGGAGTTGGGCCTATGTTAGTCGGTCATAATTATGTATTGTACACTCATGTATATATAATTCTTGAGATGGATGTTTCGAGATATATATGATTCATCAAAATGAATAGAAACATCAAACTTTTTAGTCGCCCTAAACAGTGTCAGAATCCACCTCTTTGCTTCTTTCTAACGTTGGATTATTTTTTCCCTTAGCTAGTTTTCTGCATTGCAAAATGGTGCTTCACAGATTTAGGAAATGGAAGAGAAATAGTTATATAATAAACTGGAAAAGAAATAGGAAAATAAAGAAGAGAGATCAGTTAATTTGGTTATAGTTACAATCATAGTTCTGTTGGATCAAGTTCTAGATTGCGTTCCTAGGTAATTCATCAAGATTTGCTGCTAACGCACTTATAAGGGACATAAGCTTGATATCTCTAAGGAATCAAAAGATTTTTGTAAATCTGAGTGAGAAGAAAGCCATCATAATTTGATTTTGATGCTCTTGATACAGAGGAATTCAGCTAAGTAGTACTAATAAGACTATTCTACTTCAGAACACTCTTAAATACAGTATGTAAAGAGTCAGATGATTAAATGTTCTTTTCTTTTTTTGTTTGTTTAATCATCTTTATGTACAGTAGTAGGGTAAAGTTAAATCTTTTTGGAGCATTCGTTAGATATCACGAGGATCAACGAAAATCACAGAGGAAGAAGAAGATCTCGACCTAGTCCAATCGGACTGTTCAGGTTCATCGGAGAGTTTCTTGAGACACCAGAGATCTTGGGCCCATGAAAGCCGTTTCCAGTGAGGTACGACCAAAGCCACCGCGTCTGATGGACTAAGCTCTGCTGCTAGAGCTCCACATCCTCCGTCGTATCTCCCAATGTTGTGCACAAAAGAGCATAAACTCTTCATGAGACGTGGGCCGTCTTTGCCTTCCATGTGCATGCCATACATGAAATAAACCCAAAACTTGTCGAACACGTTAGGGAACGAAGGTAATTTCATCCATGGCATGCAAGAATCGAGGAGTCTTGAACCGGAGCAAAACGCGTGGGTTAACCAAGAAACGCCTTTCATTTGCAGCCTGAATACGTCTTTGGTGCTCCAAACGCTTAATATCGCGAAATTAGCTGACAAGTCATCGAGGTTTGATTTGGGGCCGTGATTTTCATTTAGTACGGCTATAAACGTTCCCAAGCTGTTGCGGCTGGTTAAGATTGCGTCGATGTCACGAGGGAAGAATTCTGAGTCTTTGAAGATTCGAGTGTAGATTGACTCGGCGGTTTGGGGAGTTAATTCGAGGATAGATATATCTGAACCGATCGGTTTGCTATGGGCGTGAACCGGTTGGACCAGCATTGTCGGTGTACGGAATTTGACATAGGAACATTTCTTGGTAAACAAGTTAATGGAAGGCTCGTTGGTATAATCAGTGGCCATGTACGCGTAGGTTGCGCCTTGTTGCTTGAACCATTCTTCTAGTGCTCGCACTAATTTTGTTCCTATGCCTAAGTTCCTGCTCAAAGAAAAATTCAAATTCAGTTATTGCTTTGATCTTTCATAAAGATTAATTTTATATGTGAGAGTTAGGAAGGAAGGATGAATTGGTTTTGGGGTGAATACAAGTGTCAACAAAGGGCAGCTTCTTTCTTTTGAATATTGTATTTAACTAAATCTTAGAATCAATCATCAACTTTTTCTTTTATTTATTTAAATTGAATTGAATTCGAATTTTGTAAAAGCAAAACATATATTCTCATATATTATAGTAAATGGATATATATTTGTTTTGTTTAAATGATATTATTGCTATTAAGCTAAGTGGGGTTTATGTAAAATAAAAAAATATTTATTATAGTAGTACGTAAGAGAAATCTATTTCGAAATTCATTGAATATAAAAAAATTTAATTTTCTGCGTATGTATATGAATTAAAATTATGGGTAAACCGGGAATGGAAACGTAAATTCTACATTTTTAAATCTAAAAAAAAATGACTTGAAGAAAAGAAATAGCGAAATATAATTGTGAAGAAATTTGTGGTTGTCACGTTTATGATGATGATTAGATAACGGCAATGGCAAAATTACTCGTCCATGATATTTGTGAAAAAGGCATGATGATGACAAGGACTTAAAACTTGCATTAATTTTTCCCAACTATCATAAGTTAATATCATAAATTTTTGTGTTGTTTAATTTAGTTAACAAACTAGATTTTTCATGAATAATTATAAGTAAAGGTAGAATGGAAAGAAAGGGAAAAGGAGTACCGATGGGAAGGAGAAACACGAAGACCAAGAACACAAGCGAGTTTGACAAAAATGGGGTTGCCGCCTCCTCTAGTCACAGTTTTAACGCATCCTCTCACAACTCCCACCACCTTCTTCCTCCCTTCTCCGTACTCTGCTACCTACACACCACACCCCACCACACCTCCTCCCATTATATGTGTATATTCATTTCAATCACATGCATGCATGCATGCATCATCAATTCAGATTCCATATATATAATTATATAGATACTGACTGTAATTTGGAGATAAAAAACGGATACTCTTTTATTACACAATATTTGATTGATTTCAGTTAAAGGAACATTCTGTATATAAACCTAAAGTAGCCAGATGATCACTCTAGAGAGTCACCCATAAAAAGAAAAACAATAACTCACCTCTATACACATGTTTGAAATAGTGAAGGTGCAATATACATATGATCTAAGAAGAGATGATTTTAATTAAGGAGATTAATTAGTTATATACCAACATAGTGTGAGACGGAAAATGACGAACGCGACAAACCGGATCGCCTAATAGATCAGAGACCATAACCGGTTTGCCATGTTGATGATTCCCGGTTTCTTCACATTTTCGTTCCATCTCTTCCACGTCATGCTTGTCCCTCTCCTCCTCGTATTCTCTCACCACCACCACCGCCGCAGCTGCTACTGCCTCCGCGGCCGCTATCTTACTACTAGACATAAGTAGGTGTTACGACGAAATAAAGTTTAAGTTGTGGTTTTAAACGAGAGAGAGAGAGTTTTTGTTTTTGATTTATAATTGGTGTAATTATAAGTTGTGACTGATTCTTTCGTGATGTCATGACTCATGTATATATAGAGAGAGAAGGCTTTAATTTGCAAAGTTTATGGTAACCTTTTTATTATTAAAAAGGAAAAATATCTTTGAATATTGTTTTAAGATTGGTACAATAATAATCATCACCATTTGAGTTTATAGAAAGAAAAAAAAAAGCATCATCACAATAATGCTTCCGTAAACCGGTTGGTCAGGTACTTTCGGGTTTGTCGAATCACAAAGGTAGGTAAAATGTGGTTTTTATTTACAATTGTGTGATCCGAACTGAGACATGCAATCTGGTATATTGATGGACGAAAAATATACCAATTATATGAGCCGACTAAAGTAGCTAATTTTATCTTATAAATGTTCAAATCATTTTATTCACAATTGGTCCATATTAAGATCACAGGGTCGTCCCCTAACAAAAATTTATAAAAATTCCAAACAAGATATGCAAAACTATGTGAGTAGCTAGTATTTAACTAAAGTTTAAATGATATGCAGGTATAAATTCCCAAGGAGAAATTAAAAGGCGACTAAATAAAGCTGTACAGCAACTTATGAGGGGAAAGATGCTGTAATTTAGTCAAGTTTTATAATCTGTGTAGTGTACTTAGTGCATATGGCGGCGGTTCTTTACGCAAAATAATAGTTGTAAGAGTTAAGATTTAAGGCCACGTAACGTACGTACAATTTGGATATATTTATAGAAATAACTTTATTAATATGATTAATTATATCGGTTGTTATCATTATATAGGACGGTAAGATTGCTAGTGGGTTCTTCATTAGATGCTATTATCATAGATATAATTTATTAGATAACGACACGACACAAACATTTGAAATACCTAACTGATATAAACAACCAAATTTAGAAAAGGACAAATGTCAGGTTCATATAATTGAGTGTTCTGAATATTAATTGGTGGAATAGCTCTAACCTATAATTATGGATTTAGAACATGATCAGTTGACAAAGATAAACAAGAAACATAAAACATCGTACGAACCACATATCTTCTTTCTGATCGTTTGGTCGTTGGCTCTATTTCATTGGCTAGTTAATCTCTTTTAGATTTTGTGTCTTTGGTGTACTGAAAATGACGTCGAACGTCCGATAAGCTTAGGCCTCACAGTCTCTAAATAGGCCTCAGAGTAAATAATGACGGTGACTATGAATTGGGCCAAAACATATATTGAGGCCTATTCAGAGACCCAATATGAGTTGTTTCAACAAGACTCAGAGTTTGTCAACAGAGAAAAAACAAACAAAACAAACGTAAGCTAAAAAATGGGAATACTGGCCGGGATCGGAGTTCTGTTGCCATTTCCGTTCTACTGGTGGCTATGGACAAATCCTCAGTCATGGGTCAATCTCTGCGGCCGAGGAAGAGACCCATCGGCGGTGATGGCGCGTGTATCTCACGTCCTCAAGGCTGCTCAACTCCTCTCTCTCTTCTCCGTCGCGTCTCTCTCCTGGCCACCTCCGCTCTACTTCTGGCCCCTAATGACCTTTGGCCAGTTTCTCAACTTCAGGTTCAATATTTTGTCTCCCATTCCTCTCTTTGCGTTGGATCGATGAAATTAGGAATCTTTAGTCAAACCCCATCAGGCATTAGCTAGCTCGATTCCACATTGTGATGCCTCACTTGACTTGTCCCCCTGTCTAATCTCTGCTGGTTATGAAAGCTTTGTCCTTTTCAAATTTTAACGACCGAATCTGGTTTAGGCTTGTAAAAATTTATACTTAAAGGTTACATCTTTAATAGCTCTAGGTAAAGTTTTGTTTTTGTGGCACCAAAAATAGATGATTTGAGTGATGATGTTTGTTTGATATAGGCACTTGTTGTATGTTGTGTTACTGAACTCTCTTCTGGTCAAGTTTTGTTAGCTTAAGATTTCACATCTTTGCAGAGTATACCAACTGTTAGGTGAAGCTGGAACATATTACGGTGTTCGATTCGGGAAGAGCATACCTTGGGTTACAGAGTTCCCATTTGGTGTTATTAGAGATCCACAGTATGTTGGGAGTATCATGTCTCTATTGGCATGCCTCTCCTGGGTTCCATTCCAATACATTCTCCTCTGGTCTCTCGGTTACTTTTTCATGATGTTTCTGGAATCAAAGGAGGATCCTAGTGCTCGCGCCAAACCCCTCTCCTGATTCATCAGCATAACCCACTGGTTAGATATAACGTGTAGGTCTTGTTGTTTGACTGTTTACTTTATGAGTCTGTATCCTCCCTATTGTAAGCGAACTTGCAGATACCTTATCCTCTCCTGTTTCTCTCAACTATGAGATTATATTTGCCCTTTATGGTAAAGCCAATGATGGACCTTCCTTTTTAGCAGCCTCTATGTTTGATAATATCTGCCAGTTTACCATCTTTGAGGGCCAACAATTACACATTTCGTCTCTTCTGCATCTGTTGCAAGGAATCAACTAGGAGCAATTTTGCTATACTTCAATATGTAGTAATCATTTGTAATAAATACAAAATACCGGGAATATATGTAATTACTCAAAACTACAAGAAATATAATATAAAAAGATACGAAATGTCGGGAGACACTCGAGTACGATTACAAAGAAGACAAAAAAACCATTCCTAATCTGTATATAGTAAATTAGTAATCAATTAATCATTAAGCAACAAACGATTTGTTTCAATTTAGTTTTGTATAGATCTCAAACCTATATTTTTGGCTTTATCGGGTTTTAAAAGAGTAGAGTTAAGACTTAATAGTTTGGTACACACTACACAGTGCTAAATAATGTAGGTGGCTAACAGAAGATTCGACCCGTTTGTTTTCGAGTCGGGCAAACCAAACGATGACGTGTCCAACCGTAATTGGATAGCGACAACATTCCTTCCGTCGTACTCTTCTCACCCTCTCTCCTCCTTCAACTCGATTCCTTTCGTTCTCGATCGGAAAAGTCATCCTTATTTTTTTTTTTGGTACTTCTAAGTCAAAAAAAAAAGGATTTTTTTGCGTCACTCTGGCAAGGATTTTTGTTTTGTTTGTTATCCCCTTTCACTTTCTTATGAATGTGTTGTAAACCTTGCACTCATTCCCGTGAAACAACTTGGGCTCTGTCTTGATTTCGCTAGAAGAATTGGGACACATTTTAGGTGAAGACTTCATTTAAGTTTTGTAAATGCAGCTCCTTTATTTCTCGGGTTTATCGAAATTGGTGTGCACCTCTTTGAACTGGTTTCAGATTTTTTTTTTTTTTTCTTATAATAGGAAATTGCACTTGTTTGATTTGTGATGCAGTGTTTAACGAGGATAAAATCGGAGACTTAAGATTAGGTCAATGTCAGCTCCACCGCGTGTTCGTTCTGTGGATTCATCCGACCGAGAATTCCGATCAGTGCTTGGTCCCGTCGGTAATAAGCCGGTGAAGAAGCCAGTGGTTGATAAAACTAAAAACCTAACCTTTACAGCGTCTCCCACTAAGAAGATGCCGCAATGCTCGCCTCTGAGACGAAATGGTATCTCGCTTACCGCTTCTTATTCTTCAGATGCGTCGTCTTCGTGCGAGTCGTCGCCGTTGAGTATGGCGTCTACTTCCAGCGGGAAGAGGGCTTTGCGCCGAAATGGGTCATTCTCTTCCTCCTCTTCCCTGAGAAGGAATCTTACGGAGGAGCGATATGAGAAGCCTGGTGATTGCTTCTCTGATGGTCGCAAAAGATGCGCTTGGATCACTCCCAAATCTGGTAATCATCCTTTTTCATCATTTGTTTTTCTTTGTGGAATACGATTTTCCGCATATCAGAGTTGCTGTATGTAGCAACAACTCTAATTGATGTTTGCCTTTACCGGTTAGTCAATTGAAGTCTCAGTGTCGATTTTGAGTTTCCAGGTAGTTTAAAAGAGGGATTACTTTCCTCTTTCTTTGCGAGTTAGTTTTGGAACTTAGACCACAAATCTTTGAGTATGCTTTGTGATCAGGCCTACTCAACCACGACCACATAAACAGGAATTTGTCGTGATCAGTTTATTTGTCATTTCTTTATGCTGATGGGATAGGCTAAGGCCTTAATTTTGTCTTTGGCTCGACTCGATTATTTACCTCTGCTATGACCGACCAGTAATTTTTTTTTTTTGTTTCTTGTAAAAGACCAATGTTACATTGCTTTCCATGATGAAGAATGGGGAGTTCCTGTCCATGATGACAAGTACGTGATGGTTTGTCTATTTACCTACATAGTTTTACTGATTTGGGAAATGCTTTTTGTGATTATACACTCTGTTTTCGTTAAATTGTTTGCAGGAAACTTTTCGAGTTATTAAGCCTCTCTGGTACTCTTGCTGAACTATCTTGGAAAGACATACTTTCCAAAAGACAATTATTCAGGTAACCAGAGCTGTTGTGGTTATATCTTCAGACTACTTATGAGGTCGATTCTCAAAAGGCTTTTGCTTTTTTAAAAACAGGCAAGTTTTCATGGACTTTGATCCAATTGCAATATCTGAACTAACTAATAAAAAGATAGCATCCTCTGACATTGCGACCACCACGTTACTATCAGAACAAAAGCTACGGTCAATCCTCGAGAATGCTAACCAAGTTCGCAAGGTATCTTATCATTTATATAAGCATGATCGTAGTTTCTGAACAAACTCACTGTTTTTCTTACCGCTATCGTTTTCTCAAATCCAGATAATAGTTGAATTTGGATCATTTGACAAGTATATTTGGAACTTCGTTAACCATAAACCTACTCATAGCCAATTTCGGTATCCACGCCAAGTCCCTGTGAAGACTTCCAAAGCTGAACTGATAAGTAAAGACCTTGTTCGCAGAGGCTTTCGCAGTGTCAGTCCAACTGTTATCTACTCCTTCATGCAAACAGCTGGTCTCACAAATGACCATCTTACTTGTTGCTTCAGACACCATGATTGCATGACAAGGGACGAGACTGATAATTAAAGAAAAACCAAGAGAATAGTTTAACAATGCACTGCTTAGAATAATGGCTTGCTATGTGCTGTGTTTACATTTGTACAGGAAATGTTTCTAAGCCGAATGTATTGGGGATTGTATGAAAAGGATTACATGTTACATTTTCAGTATCAGTGGATTATAATCTACTCTCTCTCTTTCTCTTCCTCATGACAAATTTTCAATCTAAAAAGACTACTGGAATTTGAAAATAAACTATTCTTCAGTTTGATTCTGTTGATACAATCTTCCGGTAACAGCTGCCGCTAAAGCTGCTGTAAAGTTAGGATCTTTTGTCAAGGAAGAAGCCATTTGCTCTACTAAAAGTTTCTGAACTTCTGGAAAATCGATTCTTGATGTTGGGCTTGTCACTTTCTTGGATTCAGTCTGATCGACAGTAGTCAATGGTGCAGTACTTCGGTTGGCTGCTGTAGGCGAACCGCCAAGAGAAATGTAGCGGTTTAAGCTATTATTTGAATCAATCTGCGATGGCATTGGATGGTTATGTTCACCCTCATAAGTGGCAACCAACACGGACTGATCCTCCACACTTCTCTGAACCTGAAGAGAAACAAACAAACACAGAATTAGAATCAGATTGACAGGTCCACCAATTTGTGTTATTCCCATTAACTAATTTATCAGCTACCTTCTTTTTGACAGAACAGCTTGGAGCACAAGCACATTTGAAGTAAGCTCGTGGAGATGGATTATCTCTAGTCACCTTCTGTCCATATTTCCTCCATTGATACCCATCTTTCACAACCTATAAGAAACAATCTTGTAGAATCAATAAAACATATTAACTTAAAAGTCACTTAAGATAGAGAGCAGGTGGTTCATGTATGCTTACAAGGGTAGTGTCAGAAGCTTCGGTCTTGTAATAGACCCTTGAGACTTTCTCCTTCACAACAGTCTCTTCTCTCTGCTTCTTACACAGATACTCATCTTGATCCGTTGAGCTACTTTCCGACACTCCACCGATAACAGCTGAACTGAAAGCGTCATCTCTCGCTGGAGATTTGCGTTTCTTGGGAGGACTGATTTGGTCTCTCTCCGTGATGTTGCTCTTGTTTTCATATTCCACGAGTTGCTTCTTCAAGATGTTGTAGTTGTTATACATCAAAGTTAGCATCTCCGAGAGCTTCTTGTTCTCGGCACTCACTCGGTTTAATTCTTCCACCAAAGCATTTGTCTGCTATCATTAAATTATATTATATTATTGCATGAAGTTAGTAACCAAATCTTAGACATGCGATAAGTTCGTATAATTTATGATGTACCGTTTCAATTAAATTTCAAGAACCCACACCAGTACATGATAAACTACTACTAACAAAATCCTTTTATGCTAAAATTTATACACCAATAATTATATGTAAATAGATTAACCTATTTTTTTTTTTTTTTGTCGACAAATAGATTAACCTATATATGAAATTATTTCTATATTTATAGATAGATATTGCAAAATCTCTGGATATTTGTGTTGGTTTAAATAATTTGGAAACTAAAAAATAATTAAATATGTGTGTATATATAATGATGAAATACCAAAAATCTGATCCATGGATATAGATTAGGTGGTATATATTAGAGAATAGGTATGAAGAAGTAGAGACTAAATGAAGAAGACGATAGAAGGTGGCATATATACCGGTGGGTCTTCTTCAACTCGCATACGAGTAACTCCGATAGTGAGATCTAAAGAAGTGTCGACCAAAGACGATGAGTACTGATCCATGTATGTATATATAGAAAATTCGATCTGGTGGGTTCTTGTGGGTATGGGAGTTCTCCGTGAACTGGGGAAGAAAGCTACGAGAGATTCGTAGTAGTTAAAGAGGTCTTCTCTAATTTCTTGGGTTCTTTCTTTCTGTTATTCTCTCTTATGGGATTGTGGAAGAATGAAAGATTTGTGTGTGTATATATAATGGAGTGTTTTAGAGAGGAAACTCGGTGGAAATAGAGGACAAGAGAGAGAGAGAGAGAGAAGATCAGGAGCATGTGCTTTTTTTAATTTTCATGCAATATATAATAGTACTCTTTAGTAAATAATAGTAATGGTCGTCGTCGTCTTATCGTTTCTTTTTCATTTTCCTTTAACGTTGATTAGTCATTTGGACTCTCAACTCGTTTCTCTAAGGGTCCACCACACTCCGCACACGTATTTGGTCCGATCCTTTTTTTTTGTTTATTACCACTTCTTCTTCTTCTTTTTTTTCTTCTTTCTTTAACTCTTTATTTTCTGTTCTTGATTTTTATTTTAGATAATATATAGTTTGGTTGACATTCTTCTTTATGAAACAAACGTTTGGCTCTGCTTTGTCTACTGAATTATTAATATTATATATATTGAGTTTGTTTTTCCACGTTTGCTTTAATATGTTAGCAGCTGATTATTTATTCTTTTCTCTATAGTATAGCCGGCGGCAGAGGCCTCTCAACTCACGTTTGCTTTAAAATGTTATGTAGTTATTCGGATTTATTTTGTCATATTTGCAAGGTCACACGACATATCCATCAAAACGAAATTATTGATTCATATCAACCGCTCTATTTTTATTTTATTTTTTTATAACTATACTTTTTAAAGTTTAAATCCATAATTTGTAAATTCTACTTGTTTATAAATTGAATATGCAAAAGAAAAGCATAGTCGATAAGTAGGCGGCCGTCTAGTTGTTTTGATTACAAAAACATAATAATAAAGGATTATAAAGAAGGGTTAATGCGTATTTTAAAAGATATTTTGTATATTATCTTAAGTTTATTTCATAAGTATTATTAGACAACGTTTTTTAGATAATGTATAGAGTAGGGACTATAAACGATATGTGGGTTAATTACAAATGATTGATTAGGTGTAGTAATAAGAATGCATCGTAGTAAAATGCGTGGTTAATTAGAGATTTTAATACTAGTATAGTATTCGTGAATTAATTAGCACGTTTTTGAAAGAAAGAAAAAATGACAACTTGTAGGTAAATATAATAATGATACAATAGTATAATAGAGTGTGCGGAACGTGGTTTATAATGTTCTAACAGAGAGATATTTGATTAATTATTTTATTCCGAGAGTATATACTATAAAAGTATTTCCCAAAATTAATAGGAAATGTATCCATACGTGTGCCTCGTTTCGGTCAAAGTCAAGCCCACACGGCTTTTCAAAAACCCACTAGACTCCTTTTGACGATCCTGTTGTGCTGCTGACGAACAGGATCAAATCTTATTTCCCTTTTTTCACTCTTTTTATTTTAATTAATTTATTACGAACACCAATTGGTTTTCTTTCTTTTACTTCCTTGCAAAAATTATTACAAAAATTTATATGTAATTTTTTTAAAATATATATATTTATTGCGCAAACAATAATTCTACTGTTGAAGGAAAAGAAAATTTTGGATCAGCAACGTATCTACTTGAAAAATTTGGCGGAGAAAATTTATCAAAATCTCGATTACCTTGTTTTTAGCTCTTTCAGTTTTTCCACTCTAATACACTTATTTTGGTACTTAAAACGATTCAAGAATATGTCAAAATGCTATATATAGATTCTTAGGTTTGGAGATAACAGAAAAAAACCCCATGTATATATTGACCTCAAACCTATATCCATTATCTGGAATCGTACCTTGATTAAGCTTTATCTATATATATATGGATGGAATCGTTATGTGGCGATCAAAATGGACTTCTCATGCCTTACATTACATCATATCTTATGTAATATTCCTTTCACACATCTCATTATACAATGGATACTAAATACTTAAATTAAGTAAAAGATTAAGTTTCGACTGATTGAATATTTAGAAGTTAATTGTAATCATCTCTGTCTACAGACTGACTTTAAAATATTATCGTAGAAAAGTAGGGGCTGCTAATAGTAGTAGCTAGGGGGGTTTTGTTTTTCTTCCTATGTATAAAGAGACAAAATGAAGTATTGAGGTTGGTTCTTATAACACTCATCAAACAATTTGGTCACAAACCATCAATAATGATATAAATCCTGCAAAAAAATAAAATACAACGCAATAACTTGAAGTCTTTATAATTAGAACATTAAATTCATGTTTGGGAATGGATGTCTATTCATCATGTCCAGAAAATAAAAGACTGGCCGACCACACAAAAAAAAAAAAAAAGAAAAAAAAAGTTTTGGGGGCAGTCGGTGATGGAATGAGTAGACGTAAGGGGTGATGAAGTCATGAAAAAAGAATTAATACATACAGACAAGTTGTTGTTGGACAAACGCCTAAGACAGAAGAAGACGAGAGAAGGCCAAAGTGTAGAAAGAATTTTATTTTTTTAATTAGTAAGAAGGGCAATTAGCACCAAATTCAATTCATCATTTCTTTCTTTCCTGTTTTTTTAAGACTTTGACCTCTTTGACCGTTGACTCGGAGAAATATCCTCCTAAACCGCACGCACGAGTGGTTTTGGTTTCCTTCTTCTTCTTCCGGTCTTAATTAATTTCTACCTCTCTTTTTTCTTTTTTAAGTTGTTTTTTTTTTTTTCTTCCTAAATATTCTCTTCCAATACACTGTTCATAATTTTTAAGGTATAATAAGATCGATAGAGGAAACAAAAAGGTTTCATATCCGTACATTTGATTAGACCGCACGGGACTTTAAGAAAGAGTACAAAAAAAAAAAAAACTATTTTTTCACCTATATATGCTTGCTTCATATAAAGAACAGCTTTGTTGAGTTGTTTTCGAAATGTTAGGGTTAGAGTTTGGACGGTTTTTGTTGGACCAATTTTCACTTAAAATCTATGTTTTCTATTAGAAAATGAGAATGTCTCGTATCGGTCACTGTTCCACTTTTTTTACATTAATATATGTTTATGGATTACTTCACTCGATCGTCACATGTTGGATTCGAGCATCACAACAATGCTATTCGTGGACATTAAAAGTTCGACTCCTTTTTTGTTTGGTCGTCGACATAAATATTTTAAAATAATGAAATATTATTTACTAGAATATTTTGGAATATTTATTTTTCTAGGTTAGTTAAGCAGTAGGTATCCACTAAAGAGAGATGCATTGAACTTAGTTAAAGGAACAAAAAAGGCCGTACAATTCAAGGTTTCTTGAACTAGGAAAGGTCTCATAACATGTGTTGTCTTTTAAATATTAATGTTCAGTATAAGTCTTAATTCGTCTTGCCTTTTTGGAAATGGTCGTTTAATTTTTGTTTTTATTGTCCATGTCCACTTAATCTGATGACCAAAGTGTGAAAATCAACGACTAATCCCAAAATCTTAGATTCTTCTACTCATGCGCATGTTTTTACTTTTCTTCTACATATCCGGCGTCTTCTTCTGCTATTTCTAATTTTAGTACTTCGTTTTTTCTTCTAACATTGGTTGTTGAAAAAGGCTGCATAAGTAGCTAATACAACATAGTTTTACTTCATTAGTTGTAGTGATCCCCCATAATTATAATAAATTAACTCTAAACCATGGAGCTTTCAATTTGCAAAAAAAAAATGTATATATATATGGAAAAAAAATTCTGACTATGGTGACAAAAATTGTAGCACTCAATGACACATGGTGGCATAAATCTAACTATAGATTCTTCAACTAATATACGTTACCATAAAAAAAAAAAATTGTGCTCATATGTAAATGTGTCCACATACTGTTATTTATAGCCATCAGAGGAACAGTACGTATCCGTGAATAACACGTTTTCTTTGACATCTGTTTCCGGAGAATAATATTTTATTCCGATGGTTAGACTATGTTTATCGGCGTCTTCAGCCTAAGTCCCAACCAATTAAGCCATTTAATTTAAATATAAATGTCTGATAAAAAGAAGAAACGTTCGTATAAACGGGACGAATGAAGGTGGTCCTTCGACGTACGTGTCATGTTCTCATTCGTCACCGGTTTAGTGAAGAAAGAAATTATTTGGGGTTGAATTGTTTTCTTTTCTTCTCTTCTTCTTCTCAGAGGTCGTCGAACTGGTTTTATCAAAGAGCTCACAAACGGTGAGTTTCGGTCTCTCTCTCTCTCTCTCTCTCTCTCTCTCTCACTCTGTTCTATCTTCTTCTTTGTCCGATTCTGGTTTTATTTTGTTTCTAGCCTGACTAAAAAAACAAAAAACGTCCTTTTTGTGGGTTTCGTGAGATTTGACGATTCTGGGTTTTTTTTTGTGTTTCTTGTTTATATGCAGATATGGTGAAGTTTTACCAAACGTGTGATCCTGGTGAGTTATTTCTTTACCTGTGTTTGTTTAAATTAGTGTTGATTCATAATGTGTTCTAGTTTCTAGTGAAAGTGTTATGTTGAAAGTTGCATTGATTTGAGAAATGAAATCTCGAATTTGTCCACTCATCAATGGTGTTCTCTATTTTTTATGTAATAGAGCTTCCGTTTAATCATATCCTTCAATTGTTCTCTAGTGATTGAGTTCAGATCTCTTTTATGAGTAAAAGTTCTAGTCTTTTCTCATCAGTTCAAAACTTTATCTTGGATTACCTTTGTCCTCCTCTATCTAATCCTTTCTGGAGGCTTTGTTTGTTGATTGTGATTATCTACTTATTTCCAATTAAAGATTGAGTTAGTCTTCTTGTGGTTTCTCTTAAGGTCTTTCATTCTTGTTTTTGCAGAGAAGGAGAACTTGTGCCTCTATGGACTTCCATGAACCTCTTCGGCCACCATGAACCTCTTCGTTGTCCTTTCAGCTGTCACCTTCCTCGTTATCTCCGTCGCCTATCTTCCTCTGCTCAGCGACTTATGTAGTCAACGCCTTATACCATTCCCAGCTCCCTTCTTCTCAAATTTGGACTGTTCCCAGCTTTGCCACTCTCAAGGTTCTTCACTCTTTCAATGTTCATTGTGGTTGTTGTAGTATTATTGTTCAAGTGGTTGATCAATTTCTCTGCTGCGATTATACCTACTTCACTAGCATGAATTAATCTGAAAGTTTGATACTTTGTTCCGTTCTCATGTAATATATTATGATGAACAAAAAAATTCAGATGCAAAAGAAGGCTCATGGATTCTAGGAGGTGGAGGGAACAATGATGTTTGGGGAGGAGAAATGCCCTCTGCATCATGGATTGATGAAATTTCCCCTCATAATCATGTATGAACTCTGCTGACTTTTCTGTTTGTTTGTCAATACTCAACAATCATCGCTTTTCTTATATATTTTTCTCTTCATTTAGGTTTGGTTGATTAGGATGGATAGTCATATGGCATTGGCAAATTCCCTTGCGCTTAGGATACATGTGCCCTGCTTATGCTTCCAATACTTGGAATTGCAGAGACACTCATATATTTTATAATTCAAAACAAATTATTTTTTTTTAAAAAAATAATATTTATAATTGTAGGACAAAAATTCAAAATACACCAATGCTTAACCTTAAAAATAAATCAATTGTCCTACATGTAAAATATAATAAAAAAAATTAATGGGACAAAACATTGGGACAAACCAATGTTTATGCCCTTACGATTTTGGCTTTACGTTATTTTCTTCAGTCTTTTGTCACTTAGTCTGTTTTTTGTTTTGTTGAAAAGAATAATTAGTTCTTTTTTTTTCGTCATGGGGTAGTCTTTGGTAGATGGCCGACCAAAACAAAAAAGAACTGTACATGAACAATACGGTTTCTAGTGACTAATTCATTAATGTAATATACAATATAGTCTAAAATATATACTAATTTAGTGCACGAACGTTCGTGCACCTAATATCTTATTTTACGTAGTTTCATACTACTATTCCTATCAACTTTTAATTTTTCTTTCCTCCACTGATGCTGTAAAAATTCAAGTTTAAACTTTGACGAATCAATTAACAAAAGAAAGAAAATTATATAATCCCACGTGTTTTTAATATTGGAGATTGAACTTAAATCAAATAAAAGAAAATTATATGAACTCATCTAAGTGACATGGGGTGTAGTATGAGATTGATGTTTCATTGATTCATTCATTGCGTTGGTATAGCATTATAGCATGGTCCCGTGTACCATGGGGGAAAAAACAATTGGGGAAAAAACCAAAACAAGAATGTCATATACATGCATGTAACTTGTTCAGATTCTTAATTCTACCCCCATGCTTAACAAAATTAGCATATATATATACAACACGGTACCTGTTTTTCTCCTTTTGTGGTTTCTATAGGATATTTTTGGCTTTCGACTAAATATTGGTCTAAAACTCTAAATACTAAAAAACTATGTAATTTACACTAGTTTGATGGTGGGTTTGGGTTGGCAAAGGAGTATTTGGTTAGTACTATAACCAAACCGACAGCGTCGCCTTCATATAGATAACAATCTATGGAGGCTGGACTAGTTTTAATGTTTTTTATAGACTGGGAATTCTGTTTAGAAAACTCATCTTTAAACAGGGAAGCTTTGTTAATTGTTCAAAGCGTCACCAATGACTGTAGGTTGCAGTCTTATGTGGCTTTGGGTCATTCATCTTGGCTTCACGGTTTGTTTACTGAAGAAAGAAGGTATTGCTTAATTGAATTTGAGTTTTTAATATAGTTTGGGAGGGTTAGATGGAATTTTTTGTATAAACCCGTGGCCTTGCTTTGGTTTAGTTTAGCAAGGGTTTGTAGTTGTCTTTTAGCTCATTCAGTTGTTGAATTGGAGCTTTCTCTGTATGCTTGTGATGTATTTTTTTAAATCTATCAATACAACACCAGTTGATTAAAAAAAAAAAAAAGCACTAGTTTGATGGTGGGTAAGGTTACTGGGCCACGAAAGTAAACATTAAACAAAGGAGAGAGCCATGGGTCAGGGGAGTTCTCTGCTCTCTCAGTATGTAAAGCCCATATTAAACAGTACTAGTTTTTTAGAGCTTAGACACTTTCTCGTATTTCAAATGAAGCCCAAAAGTACTTCATAAGTCCTAAAACTCCTAACCTAACCTACGTGTAGTAGTTTTATGGAATCTCCCCCAACCACCCAGCTGAGCTCCCCATATAATCTCACAGGCTAGCCTGTTTCACGCCACCATTAAATACAAACCGAATGAAACCAATAAACTTATCAAAAATACTAATAAATATTTCACGCCTGTTTCACGCCTGTTTATATCAGATAACTTCAAAAATTATGAAAAGTCCTTTTCGACTTTCCATAGTCAAGAAATTGTATAACTATGCTAGGAAGGTTTACATAAGCTAGATTGTCCAGTAGTGACAATTTGATGCCTATAAAAGTATACTATAATAACAATGTAATGAAAGTATACTATAATAACAATGTAATTTTCGTTAGATAATAATAGTACTGACGCAACTCGTTTCATATAAACCCTGCACTCGTAGATTCTCCCAAAATGGTTTCATTTATATTTTATATATCTTCATTATATATATATATATATATATATATATATATATATAACTCTGATTGTCGCGATCAGTGCACCGGTAGATTCTCCTCTAAATATATAAATTCAGTGGACTAGAATTAATATGGAGAGAAGAACATGTGTGATTGTGTGTATAGCGCAAAAAAACATAATTTGTGTCAACTTAAGAATTTTTTTATTTATTATTATCTTTGACTGCAAAACAGTTTTATCACCGGTAGAAGAAGACTTTAGCATCTTATCTTATCAAATATCTCTAGCTCGCTCCATCAGTTTCATACAGTATTATATTTTTCCGTTTAGATCATTCATTTACATATACATATTCTTCTTGATAAAATAATGGCCGTAGAATGTGGATGTCAAATTAACTAAAACATTGGCATATATATTATTATCAACAAATATATACTTATGCTTCCGTTTTTGGTATATAAAATTATTAATTTGCAAATCAATGGCTCGTATGTTTTTAACTTTTACGATCGTACGGGCTAAAGGCTATAAAAAGCATCTTTTAGTCAACTAACAAAAAAAAAAAAGAAACAGTGAAAATCAAAACTGTTTATTCGTTCCGTCTCCAAAATAAATATTCCGAATCGTTCTTTATCACTTCTCAGTTCTCACGAAAAAGCCACGATAGTCTAATCATTTATCAACAATTAGACCATATAAAATAAAAAACATAGATATACACTCACTAGTAGTGAATGAATTCTTAGCTCGCCAAATCATTTATTAATTAAAATGTGTGAAAAAGTCAGATACCTCAGATTTTATCTTTTCTAGCAATAGTTTCTTAACTAACTAACTAAATCCGTAGCTGAAAACAAATTAATATATACGATTAAGGATAGACATAATTTTCCGATATCCAGTTCGGTTTTTGTTCAGTATCAAATTCCCGCATTTTTCATACAATACAAGTAGTGATTTTTATTTGTTTACATACACTAGTCACTAGTGATTTAGAGTCTAGACACATATACATATATATATATATTGTTCCAAATTAAATCTATGCTTGAACCGAATTTAAATTGATGAATCAATGCAAGAAGAAAAGAAAAGATGTATTGAAAACTCTGAAAGTGAATAAGTTTTTTTTATAATTTGTTTGGTTGGATCCAAATCTATGCTTGAACCGAATCTATTGTGATGTATTATTATAATATCAAAATGAATTATAGCAAAGAAGACAAAGAATGGTGTCCGTCCAAGTTTTGGTTAAAGGAGCAAAAGAGAGAAAAGCCGTCCAAATAAAAAACATCTTTTTCACAGAGAATCTCTCTCTCTCTCTCTCTCTCTCTCTCTCTCTCTCTCTCTCTC